CCCCCCCCCCCCCCCCCCCCCCCCCCCCCATGTCATGTTTAGTATAATCTAATTTTGAATAAATGGATGGACGTAACCACTAAATAAAAATGGGCCGCACTCAAAAACTGATTTATCTCCATTTGACCAAGAAAATCACACTGCGCCAGCGCTTTCTTCTTCACTTCCTCTTAAACTGTCTAGGGAGTCAAGAAAGATAAGGTTCTGCTTCTGGCCGCATCAAGCAAACATCTTTTGGGGATGTCGTGTATTGTATCACAAGGCAATCTAATTGAGCAATCTATTTGATTTGCTTTTTTTTTTAATGTTATCTAGAATGGGTTCTGTGCTGCCTTTATTCTAAAGATCTCATTTCTCATTTGATCTCCTTCTAGTCACCCCTGCAGTCCTTAGACATCTCTTGTCTGTGGTTACTAATAGTTTTTTTATGGTTTGTTGTGAATAAGATGTTTCTCTATCAGTGACTGTGATTGTCTTAACTGTTTTTTTTAGGATGGGGGGGGGGGGGGCAGAAGAGAAGAGAAGAGAGAAGGCTAGCCATCTTAACAGTTTGCTTCACTGCATTTGATGTTCTTCAGCGATCTCTGGTCATGCGCATAATCCGCTGTGGACCATAAACTGGGATGTCTTTTTAAGGTCTCTTAGGTTTCCCCGAAGCTTAGTTGTCAGTTCTACTGTGTGTTGCCATATGTTGCTCCGCCAAGAGAGGACATTCTTGCAGGACATGTTCTGGAGTCTGTTCAGCAGGAAGACACTGGCAGAGAGCTGTTCGGCTCATACCTAATTTATTTAAGTGTTTATTTGCATTTGATGTTAATCTGTCATCTATTTTCCCAGTTTTGGCTTTGCACTCTATTGCAATATTTTGAGTTAATTTTCTTATTATGTTAACATTTTTTATTCATGGATGGTAATATTACAATTTTATGGCTGTATCTGATATTGCGACCTGGTCACCAGCAAACAGAGAAGACACATCCCTGTCTTAGCCCAGATGTTACCAAAGCTGTTATATAGGCATACAGAACACCAACCACAAATACCATGTTATCAATGGATGTAAATAAGAATCTGGAGTGAGTAGGTGAGTGACACCTGAATGCACCACAAGGACATTCCATGTTTGGGTTCCCACTGCGCGTTGGAGAAGATGAGGAATAGATCCGCTGTCCTTTAGCAACATTATATATATATATATATATATATATAACACAGACTGACTGGCACTAATAGAAAGAACCTGATAAACATGAAAATGTGTCATTCCGTCTATATATTTTAGCTGTGTATCTTTACAGGATGTTGCAGAACCAACTCCATAATATGTTGGCTGTTGTTTATCTAGGCAAAATGTTACTATCAACAGTTTGCCACTGATTACTGGACGGTCAACTATCTCGGCACCACTGTCGAAACCAGGTCAAGACATCGCCTGCAGCTGGAATCCAGCCAGGCACCATGAAGTCAGACGCTGGCTGTGCCAATCAATACATTGCTTATTATTATAAATAATTTTTCTACAGCCTCAATTAATTCAATATACATAATGAGATCTTTAACTGATATGCCCAAAATTGTGGTTGGTGGGCACAATATAAACAATTTACGTTATGCTGATGACAGTCTTGATGGCAACAATTCAGAAAGTGGAAGAATAGGCCTCAGTTTGAATAATGGGAAGACAGAAGTAATGATAGTCTTAAACTAATTAGTCCTAAATGTGTAATAAAAGTTGATGGTGTTATTTTGGGACAAGTACAGAAATTTAAGTATCTGGGCACATGGATAACATCAGATGGAAGATGCATAACTGAGACAAGAAACAGAATAGGGCAGACAAAAACTGCATTTTATAAAATGAAGAATATCTTGTGCAAAATATCCTTGTCATTGAGTTAGAAAAAGAATTCTTGCTTGCTACATACATCGTTTTAACATATGGCTGTGAATCCTGAACAATCAGTAGGAAGGCCAAACAGTTTCTTGAGGCCTCAGAGATGTAGTTGTACAGAAGAATGCTTAGAATACCTTGGACAGCCAAAAAGAGCAACTAATAGGTTTTGAAAGAGGCGGGAGAACGAAAACAACTAATCACAGACATCAGGAGACAGCCATCATTTTTCTGCTATGTTATGAGACGAGGGAAAATAGAACATGTGACCACTGGAAAGATCTGTGGAAGGAGAGATAGAGGAAGAAAACGAGAGAAGATGCTTGACAGTCTTGTTGCATGGGATGGAGGTGTGTCGGCACACAAACTGATACATGCTGCAGGTGATCATAGATTATGAAGATGCATGATCGCCCATGCCAGTCGGCAAGGCATCTAATGACGATGACATCCTCAATGTAGTCAATGTTAATATAATATGATCTGTAGCAAGCGTTTTGTAATAGGTGATCAATGTTTTGTTGGAATGAAATATATTTGACTAAAAGGTGCAGATTTTGAAGTGCTAACCGCAGGTGGGGGTGAGTGTAGAGGGTGAAGCCACTCAGAGGGAAGATGAGTTTACAGTTCAGACAGCTCGGAACAATCCTCACTGAACTTCTGTTGTGAACAATAATTTGTTTTCTAGCTTAAATTACCTGCAGTTCTTATCAGGTCTTTACTGTAGCACGACAGTTTAATTCAACAAATGCAAGGTAGGTCGCTTGGTACCAAATAAGTTAATGAGGAAAAGAAACAGAAGGTAAATAAAAATGTAAGAGCATACCAAAAAATTTATGGCAATCACCATTCTTTCAACAGATATTTCTAAGTGTGGATATACTGTTCTTGTGCACAGCTGACGTTCCCTATATCTACCTCGACACCTCTGGCGGTAAAAGACAAAGTGGAGAAGAAGACGAAGTTTAGTGTGCAATAACCTGTTGTCATCAACCCAGCGGCGCATGAGCTTTTACCCTTCGACCCAATGCCATGTAGATGAATTTGCATGTTTTCACAAGCTGTTCTTTTCCCCCGTACAAGGTGTTCCACTTGTCTGGTCTCGGAGCGAGTAGCAATATTTCTAGTCTCGCTAGTTTTGGGCACTCAAATCTATGACAAGGTGTGTCTGTTTAGAAAACGTATTTCTCTGTGCCCTGGTGGGTTCAATTAATTGGACCAAATGCTCCTTAACAAGCACACTGAAAGAGAAATAACTCAAGGACTCCTTTCCCCACCTTCAGGTCTACATTGATATTTTACAGACTGACCGACACTTGGTGGGTGATGTGGTCAGCATCACATTGGCCACAATCAATTTCCAGGACCGCATCTGGGACCCACTCAAGGCTAGGTCAACTTTGGAACCAAGGTCATTTATATTAATTATTTTCTTTGTAGTTTTATGACAACAGCCTATCTTGCAGTACAACATTCACATTTAAAACCCGCATAAAACAAATACCGATTGTTTTATCTTCATCAAAACTACTCAAGAAGGGAATACAAACTGATAAGGCTTTTTTTTTTAACTGTACAGACTTTCTTGAAGATGGTTTTGGGTCTGTAAAAAGTGGATGGTGTCTTCGGGGTGGCTGGGGCTGATAAATATCAGTTACCATTTCTCATTTACCATTTCCAGGGAAAGCAGGCATACAAGGACACGAGCAAGCCATGGGCTTGCAGGTAACCCTCCTGTGTAGGGCAGACGAGCCACTGACCACCTGATATACCAAAAGCGCTACAAGAACTAAGAGTAAAGACATTTGCAAGTAGCAAGTGATAACTTAATCTGCAAGCATGACCAGACTGCATGAACAAGTTAAGAGCACTAGGCAGTAAACAAAAGAATAAGAAACCACAGGATTTACTGAGGAGATAATCTGAGCATGTATAGACTGAATGGTTCAAAGTGTCATGAGAATAATATGTCAACTAACATACATAAATACTAAAACAGACTACATGTTTTTTGTATACAGCGTTGGTCTTTATTAGCAATACGTAAGAAGCAGACATCTTTACTGAATAAAAGCCTAATTAATGTGTTCTCTTGCTATGAAAGATGGCCACATAATAGACTAACTTACTCCTGCATCATTAGAGCCCATTTGCTCAACTGAAGATGTGGTTGATCTTATAACTGCCGCTTTAAAAATCAATAATACAAGAAGCTACAAAAACAGGTTGCACATTAAAATCATCTACACAATGTTTACTTAAAACAGTACACGAACATACACAAAAAGGCTTAAATGCTTGTCAATGCAGCCTGAACACATGGGATAAATATATTTTAAAACAGCTGATATAGACAATCTGATGGTGCAGGGTGATTTCTGAATGTGTTATGTCATGTTTTCAGCAAATTTAACTTTCACTGCCAGCCAATGTCAAAAATGTGAAGGTTTAGGTAAAAGCCAAGCATTTCATGGTTTCGGAAAGGACTTACAAATTTCTCATTGCTATTTGTTCTTCTCACTAAGTGCACCACAACTTCTCACAATGTTCAAGAATACAGACATTTGATAACCCGCCACAGTTGTCTATCATTTCTCCCGTTTTATCATTGTTTTCATTAAATAATTTTAGAACAGCTTGGCACAGAACCTAACAAAAATCTAAAGACGTGAAAATTTATGTCACAGGGAAATAGACAACACAAAAAGATTAGCTGCTAAGGCATTGGTGCCTTTGAAACTGCCTTTAACTTTACCCCTTTTAACCATCATATTAGCTTTATTACCTGCAGGGTATCAACATCTACATCACATATGATTTCTCAGAAATGACAGTTGTAAAATAACAGAAAGCTAAACAATACATTTTTGTGGGACATTCTTAGATATTGTCAACACTGAGTATTATATTACAACTAAAAAAACAGCATAAAATGTATTATTATTTCATAGATGTAATGTTATGTGTGGTATCAGTTGCGCCATAACACAAGCTATACATGACACATTTGTCTTTAAAAACCCAAATCTATATATACTGGACAGTGTCCACCATCAGCTACTTGACATTCAGACGGCACAGAAATTAAAAACTAAACGTAACAAACAGGTTATGCTGCCTTCTGAGACCCCTTCTTTCCGATCAGGGACTTGTGAATGTGGGGGATCACACCTGTGGATCATTGAGAACAAATATTTGTTTTTGAATATACAAGCTACTTGCAATCAGTGCATTTGTAATTAATGATATGCACTTTTCACAGCATAGTAGTCATCTTCTCGTTCAATTTGAAGGATGCCAGTCACTTACTCGACTCTTATGACATGCTTGTTGGGGAGCCAGCGGGTCTATTATGGATTTCTCCTGGTACCCCACATAAGGTAAAGCACAGCTTTGATATTTTATTTTAACATTGTGTCCAACACCTCTCACTTCTGGCGTGTTATGCAGTTTCACATCTAAAGCAACACACAAGAGGTGACTTTGTCAGCCACTGTTCCACTGTTCCAGCAAGCAGGTCGTAGAAGTTGACTCGCTGGGGACTTCCTTTCAAGTCAGTTCATAAACCCAAGTGACACATTCAAATATGCCAGTAAAGCAGATGTACACACAATACTCAGGTCCTGGCATAAGGCTAAAAGTAAAAAATAGACAAGACTTTCCGCTGGAGCTAAGAGCCGGTGAACAAAGAAGAAGTTCCAGGGCAGTCACATGCAGACTTAACCCTTAAGAAAAGTCACTGGAGAAGCATTGGCATTCCTCACCATCCAAGGATGCTTCTATTAATGCACAGCTGATGCGTGGTGTATTGGTCTCACCCAAGGTACCGTCACATCTTGCAAGGCGTTCAAGGTTTACGACCCTGTGTCACTTTTTTCTACCCATATAAGTGGCAGGGTAGGACAAGGGAGTAATGAGACAGCAGCTATGGTCATGTGGCCAGTGCATTCATCTTGAACTATGGTATGTAGGACACTGATTAGTTCTGGCAAAATAAATAATCCACTCTAGAACAAATGGCAAAATAAATAATCCAAAACACAAGAGAGAGAAAGCAGATGAGTGATATGGAAAGGATGTGGAAGAAGAAACAGGAGACGACACAAGCTTTGGGTAAGTACAGTGGATAAACCCCACATGAAAGTCCAGTATTCTAACCAACACAGAGTTGTGTGAACTGTCAGTGCTGAAACAGTAGATTACAGGCAATGTGGAGATCAGCACTATCAAGTGGTGTGTATAGAAAGATAATGAAACAAAAAAGATTCTCTGGCATGAATTGACCAACATGTATTTCAAGATAAGCTTAGACACAAGATCATACTACCACCCTTTACATCAAGGCTATCTGAGTTTATCCCAGAGCCAAAATAATGTGAATTGTGGATCACGGGCCAGAGGCTACAAATAATTGCCCGTTGTATTGTGTTATTGGTCTATTTATGCTGGGGCTCTGGCACCTGACGATCCACAATTTTCAACATTTTGGTCCACAAGTAAACCTAGGCCAATAGTCTTGCTGTATGAGACAGGAAAACCATGTCAGAGTTTAGTAGCTGCACCAACCAATCAATACAGAACAGGTGTTGTAGGACTAAACACACAATAAGACATGCTTAGGAGAAGATAGCTACACTAACTAATACAGAACAGATGGTGTTGGTCTAAACACACAATAAGGCATGCTTAGGAGAAGATAGCTACACTAACTAATACAGAACAGGTGTTGTAGGACTAAACACACACAAAATCTCAGCATTTATGGGTAAGCCGAGAGTGCAATGAAGATGTTCCTGATATGAATAATGAAAGATCCCGGCTCTGCTTGCTTGTTAGATATGCAGGTACAGGTAGTCACTAGATACCGAGTAAAGGAATTGTCACCAGAGCTACTGAACTCAACACAGATTTCAGCAGAGAGTGCACATATCATGATAGTAAATGACTAAAAGCATGCTGAGGAAGGTGAGGACAGGCATGCTTCGTGCACAGAGTGGCAGGCTTCGCTTAGGATGTCATGGGTGGAGAAAAATTGTCTTGATATTTTCTCTGGAGTATGCCAGTGTGTTCAGAAATGAACAGATACCTGTTGAAAAAGCAAGGGCAAGCTACTGAATGTAAAATTTGGTCAAGAAAAACCACACAAAAAACAGCCAAAAAAAGCCATGACTGGTTCTGCAACATCCTGTACAGAATATGCAACTTACTGAGTCCTCCAAAAACTGGACTAACACAGGTGGTGTTTCTGTATCATTCTTTTGACCATTTTTAGTGTTGTGCCATTGGGCTTCGCAGGTTCAGCAGATGATCTGTTACCAAGCAATGTCACGCTCGGCTGCCCGGTATGTTGTGACATGGATTCTTAAGATGATATTTTATCTTCTGTTATGCTTACCACTAATAAATCAACCATGATGAACCTAAAATCCACATTCATCCATACGGGTTAGAATTAAAACACTGCTCAAGCCATCTGCCGCAAAAAATTTTGCTGGTTTGATGTCTTGGTTTTAATCTAAACAGACAAGAATTAACACTTACCGCCGCCTGCAATTGTTGCTTTGATGAGGGAGTCCAACTCTTCGTCTCCTCGGATGGCCAGCTGCAAGTGACGAGGTGTGATACGTTTGACTTTCAAGTCTTTACTGGCATTCCCAGCCAACTCCAGAACCTGGCAACACAATTACAAGATCATGTTACTATGGAGTCGTTACAATACAATAACAAACACACAAATAACGTGACATCACATGTGTGTTAAATAAGTACTTTTCTTTGGCTGCATATATCCTATTTTTTTAGGGCAACGTCTGTGGAAGGGGGTTTGGTGAGGACGCGAGCCTTTGGATTTAGGGCAGCATGGCTGGTACTGTTCACCGGCTGTTAATTCTAGACTAGTGTTAAAGAGCCTCAGTGTTAAATGCATCCAACCCCTGTGTGGGTTCCGGGGCCCCATTGTGGGGAAAACAAGAATAGACCCACTGCCTCCCCAGAAGCATGTTGTAAGAGTCAACTAATTGGGGAGCTTCCTTTGAAGACGGAGTGCGTCTGCCGGAGAGGCAAGGAACCAACAGTCTGTATTCAAGAGAATGAGATCTGTAAAACTGATGCACACGCAACACTCGGGTTCTGGAGCAGGACTGCAGTTCAGTAGTGGACGAGCAACCAGAACCTTCCGCCAGAGTTTACAGCTGGTGAACGCGAAGAAGAAGAAGAAGAAACGCATTCATTTTAAAGATCTGGCACATCTGTATGGAGACTGCTAGTTCCTTACTTCTCACAGATGCATTCAGACGGATGCTCTTAATAAGATGACACTTATGACATTGCTAGTTCCTTCCTTTTCGGACAGATGCATTCCGACGAAAGCTGCTAATTAAATTACACTTACAATATGCTGTTAGGCAGGCAGTGGGTCTATTCTTGTTCTCCCTACAATGAAGCTGCGGAACACACAGGGGACATGATGTGCTGTACAGGTAAGATAAAAGATTTCTTCACCTGACAAATACCCAACAAAACCTCACCAAGTGTTTGAAATTAGGTTCCCCAAATGGAAGCCCTGCGTTCACTAACCATGACTTTAAAATGTACACATTTGTGAGAAATATAATTTACAAGCTAAAGATAAGCAAGTTAAGAATGATAGCAGAATGTATTACGCGCTTAAAAATATTAAAATGTTATTTAATATCATTTTAAAATGACTTGCAAAAAACACAAAAGTATATCTTCACTGGCTGTGTTAATTCCAGTGGAAAGTTCTGGTAGTTTCTCCCAAGTTTTGCGTGTGTGCACATCCATTACCAGATCTGTCTTATATGTATGCAGATTGTTGGTTCCTTGCCTCTCAGGCAGATACAATTCGACCTCAAACAAAAACTAAATAGTCAAATTACATCATCATCATGGAATGGACATGACTGTTGAGGAGGCAAGTGGGGATCTTATGCTTCTAGGTTCAACTTTAAAAGGCTGGTCAGCACATCGTGTTGTTATTTACAGCTAGGCTGTGGTATCTGTGCCTTTAAGTATGGAGCGCTTCAAGAATGTGTGTGTCATCCTTGTGCAGGGGCCATGCTAATCTTTTTTGTATCTGTATCATTCCAATTTTAGCATATGTACTGTGTGAACAGTACGCCAGCATGTATTCGAATTATGTTTTACCAAACAATAGGCACCAAGTCGAGTTCTGCTCTTGATTTAAGACTATTCAGATTAGAATTACCTCGGTTTTTATTTACTGATAGTCATACAAAAAACCACTTTAAAAAGCAAATAAAATATAAATTGTATTTCTTTTTACTTCGACATTCGAATATTCCTTGTTAGCCATTTTCCCGCCAACAGAATAATTTTGATATGTGAATTAATTCCCATAAAACTTGAGAAGAAAAAGTCTCGCTAAAAGATTACTGGGGCAGTGTTAAGAAACTGTTAACGCTTTTCTGGACAATCGATAAAATTAATTATATTAAAATAAATAAAGGAAAATAAACATTATTATTACTGAGGAAATGCCGGTGATCATTTGACCTGGGGATTAAAATTAATCCAGGATTATAGTTGCTGTTTGTTTACAAACCACAAAATAAATGTTAATTATTGTTGAGAATACATGGATGGTTAAATTAGGTAGGTATAACGATATATTTGTTTGTTTACATACCTCAGCGGTCAGGTATTCCAAAATTGCAGCGCTATACACGGCAGCAGTAGCTCCAACCCGCCCATGGCTTGTCGTTCGCGTTTTCAAGTGACGATGGATACGTCCGACAGGAAACTGAAAATCAGACACATAAACCGTAATTATTAAAAAAATCGACAAATTTAAAAAAAATGTATATTCACAATTAGTAAACGTAAAGTATTATTTTAAGAGATTTATTCTTGTCAACAAACACATACCTGAAGTCCAGCGCGAGCCGATCGGGACACAGCTTTAGCTTTTGCCTTTCCAGAATCCTTTCCAGCTTTACCACCAGGCTGGGGAAAATAATCAAATCAGACGATATAAATATTGCTAAATCACTTTGGGGAGTCAATAAAAATATGTTATTATTACACAAAATGAATATCGATATCGGATGCTGTTTACTGGTTATGATATTGACGGATTTTCGTACCATCTTGATAGAGTAATCCGACGTTCAACAGCGGGTAACAAACAATGAGAGAAATGAAAGTTCCGCCGTCGTCGAAGCGTCAGGTCAAAGTACCACGTGATGGATTGGGCCAATGAAATCGTAGAGTGTGCACGTTTTTCCCGCTTCATTCATTGTTCCCACATTCACGTAGATCTATGAAACCGCTACTTTTCTGTGCTACACATAATTAGACAAAACTCGAGGTAAAAAGTCAGCTATTGACAAGAACGCAGTCATACTCAAGAACATAGGAGTTACCCAACTGTTCTTTTAAGGGATTGAGCAGCAAAAGAAGAGGAATGTGGAAGATCAATGATTCTGCGATTAGTCCACACACGCAAACGTTGAAAAGATAGATGATTTATAGTCATCTTTCCGTCTTCCCAGACGACAGTGTTATATTGCGCTATGAGGAGTTATGGGAACTCACAGCCCATAGCGAGTGTGACTAGCAAGACCTGCTCATGTTAAGAAAAGTCTTCCACACTTATGGTATGGAATTCAGGATCGTTGTTGCCAACATTTGTGTTTAGTCTGTTTCTTTTCAGACGCTCAGCTCTCATTCTTTCTGCAATAACTTCTTCCTTCATTCTCAGTCCCTTCCACACAACACGGTCCGTGACATTTTGTTCCCATGAGTCCACCTCAATATCTGTAGCATTCAAGATGCACACATCTTTATATCGTAGTAGAGGTCGGCCTCGACATTTTCTACGTATCATTAATTCACCTCAGAGGATGTCAGAGTCCGAAGGACATCCTCTATGGTAGCGGTTCTCAAACTGGGTGCCGCGTAAATAATCAAGAATAAATCAAGTTAGTTGCTTATCCTTTACAGGACGTAGCAGAACCAACCCCATCATTTTTTTTTTTTTTTTTGTGGTTTTCCTAGGCAAATTTACATCCAGTAGTTTTGCTATTGCTTCCTGGGCGGTCGGCTTCTCGATAGCACTGTCGAAACCAACGCAAGGCCCACAGCTGGGATCGAACCCGGCATTACAAAAATCGTTCGTAACACCTAAGCCACAGACGCGGACAATCAAGAATAGTCGGCTAAGAATTGTAAAATTATTAAAGAAGACATGTAGATTCTTCAAAGTTAAAATGTGTCTTCCATCACCAAGGTCGAAAAGAGTTAATTTCTTGTTTCACACTCAGGCATGTTTTATATTGCAGAAAATGCTAACCGCAACGTGCTAAGAATTGTCCTTGTTTATATCTCGAGGTGCGTTCGATCCTCTACCCACATTCACGAAGGTGCAGTCGATAAGTAAAGCTGTGGTTACATTTAGACTGAAATTCTGATGTGGAAAATGTGGTTTATACAGTAGTGACTGTTGGCCTGGTCAAACCACTACTCGGGGGCCGCGTTAGCGCAGTCGATAAGAGACTCGTTTTTTTTATCCAGTTGCGACTCGCTACAGCTCACGGCCGGTGTTCGAAACTAGGCGGTTCCCGGGGTTCACCTAGCCTCTAGGAAATGGGTATCAGAGTTAACACTCTGGGGTAAATGGAGGAACGTCGCTGTAGCTACGGAGTTGGGAGTGGACGGCAACACAGGCAGACAGTTTCTTATCGGCTGTCCGTAGTGGTGGCAGAGCACTTATGGTTTATAACCGTGTGCAATGACGCTGGTTCACATCTTCAGACTTTACTTTTCTGATAGGTACTTTTATTTTAAAGTAGTGTGTTTTTTTGGTGCTTTTGTGTGTGTTAAAGAGACATCTGGAATACTATCATTCTGATTAAGTACACACAGATGAAGACATCTTCAAACGCCGCGCTCTGTCTCTTCAGGCAGGGTCATCCATGCTGAACAGAATTTCTAAAAATGAAAAGGAGATAATGAAAAATCATCTGAACAGTTTCATTCACCGCATTTAAGACAACTGAGTGTTAAATTTGCACTGTTTTTCGTCTTTCCTAAGTATGTAACCTCTTTAAGGGTAGGTGTGCCGCGAAACTTTTGTTAGTTTCCCAAGGGTGCCACGGCGAAAAATTGTTGAGACCCTCTGCTCTATGATTTAAAGGTAAAAATTAACGTTAAAATAATTACTTTAAGTGATACACAATCACGTAGACCTGTGAATACAACACACACTTAGTCGACACACGAGGTAAGAACAGTAACGAGGCTTGCATGTAACAGTTGTAATCATTGCTTACATTTTCTTCTCCTTCTTTGCGTTCACCAGCTGTAAACTCTGGTGGAAAGTTCTGGTTGTTCGTCCACTTCTGGACTGCAGTCCTGTTCCAGATTCTGAGTGTTGCGTGTGCATCCGTTTGACTGATCTGACTCATTCATATGCAGCCTTTTGGTTCCTTGCCTCTCAGGCAGATGCACTCCGACCTAGAAGGAAGCTCCTAATTAGTCGACATGCTTTTGGATAGGCAGTGGGTCTATTCTTGTTTTCCATATAACAGGGCCCCGGAACCCACCGGGGGGGGGGGGGGAAGAGAGGTGCTCACCCTTTTAATTGCCAAAGAAAACTCTCGGAATTGTCTAATTATACATAGCATTTTCACCAGGGCTTTTTTTCCCCTAGATAAAAAGGTGCCGTGTTTTTTATAAGGTGCCTGTGCTCCATGAAAAGTTTCTATTATAGTACCGCTGAAAATATGATGCACACAAAAATCTGTTGGTATTGCGTAACGTCTGTGGAAAAACAGTAGAGGTTCTGGAAGACATTCAACAGTGATGGGGATATATAAAAGTAAAGTACCCTTTTCCACGCCTTCAGGCGTATTGGGCATGCAGGGCTAGACCTATATTTTACTTGGTGAGTGATGTGATCAGCATCAGGCCGGCCGCCTTTACTCCCAGAACTGCACCTGGTACCTACTCAAGGCTGGGTCGACCTAGGAGCTAAGGGCCCTTTTTGACAAAAGTCCGGCTTCGTCATGACCCGAGCCCACGATCTTTCGATCTGTCAGCGAGCGTCTAGCCACTAGACCACGCCGGCTCCTGAGGAAACACAGGCGGACTTTAAATCGGGTTATAACTGGCGCTATTAGCGTGTGGATTTTTTTTTTTTTTTTACTACCGAAGAAGGTGACGACGGTAGTAATCACGTAATTCACCCTATCTCGCTCTATTCGTATTCGTTCCCACACTGTTCTATGTTCTAGAGGTGTCAGACGTAGCTTGTTATAAACGCTTTAAGCATACCCAACACCGACGACAGTCACCGCCAACAAGCGTATAAGTAATAAAACCTCAATATTTCAAAACTCACAAACCGTCGAAACTTCCGAAAGCGGCTAGAGAAAGAGATGTATATCCTTTTCAGAACCTCATGCATCAACCGCCGTTGTATGTATTTTAAGACGTTCGTTACGGGCCTAGCACTTCATTAATGCATGACACACTGACCTCAGAATTACCTTTGATGCATTGTAATTTATGATGCATTCTCTTGCTGTCACTTACCAACTAACCCCACTGCTTAGGCACCCAAATGTCTCCCTTCCAGTAAAACAGTAAATTAACAGCATTTTTATCCCTACTTTAAGCTATTAATGCCAAAGATGGACAATGAACAGGGCATTAGTACAAAATAAACCTATATGTGAAATGTGCTGTCTCCGTTAGGGCACTAACAACACAAGAAGAGAATACCAGGGTTAGAGAAAAAGCTGGAATAGGTCCTTGTCTGCATTATTGTGACAAAGAATGAAATGATTCGGCCATCTTGTGAACACAGCCAGACCAAACTGCATATGGGATTTTGTTTTCTTACAATAGAACATCTTAGAGGAGGACGAGGAGAAGACCAAGAAAGAGATGGATAAATGGAGAAGCTGAATTAAAAAACTATCCACCATCCAAGCCAACCAAGAAACGCAAGACAAACACAGGAAACCACGTCACTTGGCTACAACCGAGAATTAGTGAGACTTCTTCTTTGCGCTTACCAACTGTAAACTCTGACGAAACAGTTCTGTATTGGTTGTTCGTCCACTTCTGGACTTTGGTCTTGTTCCAGAACTTAGTCTCATGTGCACATCCGCTTTACAGAGATTGCTTATTTGCATGCAGACTGTTGGTTCCTCTCAAGCAGATGCACTCCAGCTTTGAAGGATCCATCTCTAACTAGTTGACATTTACAACATGCATGATACGGGGCAGTTGGTCTGTTCTTGCCCTCCCCCACCCCTTAAATCACGGGGAAGTGAGAAGACATAACAAGTAGAAGATTACTGTATAACTTTATTAATTACAGTATTCGGTTTTTACTTCTTGTGCGCCCCACCCCGTGTGTTCTTTGTTGTGTGGGTGCCCCTATGAAGAGAAGACATCAAAGGATAATTTATCTTCAAGACAGTATGTCATGTTTCTTCTGTTGCAGAGCTTCGCCTGTTAGCCTCAAAGGGAGACAGTAACTGTTACCCCGTGTGGGTTCCGGGGCCCTATTTTAGGGAAAACAAGAATAAATCCACTGCCTACCCACAAGCATGTTGTAAGAGTCAACTAACTGGGAGCTACCTTCAAAGTCCCACTGCATCTGTCTGAGAGGCAAGGAACCAACAGTCTGTACACAAATGTGTCAGATCTGTCAAGCGGATGCACATGCAACGCTCAGGTTCTGGAACAGGACTGCTGTCCAGAAGTGGACAAACAACCAGAACTTTCCACCAGAGTTTATGGCTGCTGAACGCAAAGAAGAGAAGAAGAAGAAGAAGTCTAACTGTTAGGAAGGTCTGAATGTACTCTCCAATCTTAGCCAGCCCATTGAGTGTTGAGGTCCTAGCTACTAGATGCTTCAGAGTTGATCACCAACTCTGGAAGTGGCTAAAACAAAAGCAATTCTCTTCTTCTTTCTTCCTCAGCTGTAAGCTCGAAGAAAGTCCTGGTTGTTCATCCATCCGTTTTGACTTTGGCTTCATGCCAGGGCCTGAGTTTTGCGTGTACATCCATTTTACTGGCTTATTTGTGCGCAGCTGGTTGTTCTTTGCCGTTCAGACAAATGCACTCACTTTAAAGGAAGAAGCAGTGTTATTTTGGACACACCTGAAAACACAGTGACTAAACCCCCCCCCCCCCCATAATGTGACATAGGCAGTAACAGCAGCTTTCCGATGGCTTGAGAACAGTACAGCCTAACCTGTAATTGCTAAAAAAAAACAGCAACTGGCCTCCTGAGTACAGTGGCTAAAATTGCTTGATAAGATCCAAATCATGAATTTTCTATCCAAGATTTCCGGGTGTGCCGAATAAGAGCAAGCTGACAGACTGGCTGTGTTGGCCGCTCTGGGCAGTGGGTCACTTTATGGTATAGCAGACATGGTGAAAGCTCTCAGGGATGAGATCAACTGGACAGTGTGTAACACAAGACAGTATCCATACATTCAAATATATACAGTATTATGTATCAGGTACTCATGCCATGCTCTCATGACCTCAGTGAGGATCACTGAAAAATGTGTATCAACCTGGCTTTAAAAATGGGTTCATAAGGACAACCCCCCCCCCCCCTTTTCTTTTTTAATTACTATATTCACACCTGTATTAATTAAATACTGTGCAGGCGCACACAGAACCAATGGAACTGTACTAGATTTTTCTAGAACAGGTCACTGCAAACATGGCGACATATCAGAATTTACGAGACTGTGTCACAACTGGAAGTGACGTGATTCAGTCTTCTCAAGGTGTTAACAGTAATAACATACAAGTATTGTTGTATCAGGTTATCGTATTATCTTTAATAAATGTAAAGATATTCTTGGCTTTCACGATAACTACAGACATTTGTTGAGAAACAGAAGATCAAATGGTTTGGTTATCTCATTAGAATTCAGCCACAACAACCACCAACACACGAGCTACACATGAACAGATCTTATGCTAAAGCAAGAGGTAGCTCTAGGGGACTATGGACTGATGTCACTGAAGAGCTTCTACATCGAATCAGAATGACACTGCTACTCATCAAGCAATGGATCCCATACTGTTCTTCCACAGGCAGCTTAATGGCAGAAGTGGAGATTGATTACAATGATGACTTTGCAGTGTAGCCTTTCCGGACTTTGGCTAATGTTCCAGAGATTGTCATGCCTTCTAATAGATATAAACTTCAAGACATGGTCTTGGCCACCTTGCTATATTCCTAAACTTGGACAGGAGAAGAGTTCAGCAACACAGTCCATATGGAGGTGGTCCTTCTGAACCAGAGCAGATGAAACATCTCTACAGCAACCCCAATCCACTAGCTGCTGGCCTTTTTCAGGGTTAAGGTGACTTGAATATCGATGCATCAAGCTTAAGGGCTACACGTCCAGAGTTACAAATTAAGTTATAACTCAAGAGTTTCAACTTAAGGGTTAAAACTCAAAAGTTATAACTAAAGAGTTACAACTTAAGGGTTACAAGTCAACAGTTACCTCTTTAGGGTTACAACTAAGAGTTACAACTTAAGAGCTATGGCTCAAGAGCTACAACTCACAGAGTTATAAGTGTTCAGAGTCCTTTTTCAGAAGATTCACAACTCACCAACCAACCGTGGACTAAGCTGCCAGGCAAGTAGTGTACCTACAAGACTCTTCTTCTTCCAATTACCCCAGCCAAGTGTTTGGGTTGCAAGGGGTATGTGAGGACTGTCTATGTGCTCTTTCTATTATTGTATGTTGATCTTTATTTCACCAAGTCGATGCCAACATTTCCTTTTGAAGCAAAATCTACCCCTTGCTCTGTGTTCACTTTATTTCTTTAGCCTGACTTTCTGTGGCCGGTGGTACTAGGGCATTCTCAACACAGATATCACAGACTAGTTGTAAGCCACAAAGCAACATGCCAACTGCTCTTTTATTGGCAAAACATGCGGGAGAAGAAAAGGAGGTCCAAAAAAGATATCAGACAAAATTGGATACAAATATGCTGTCTTTCGGTAAAAAGAGAACAGCCAAGATCTAGAGAAAGTGCTTTCCAAATCTTCTCCTTCTTTTTCGCATTCACCGGCTGTAAACTCCGCCGCAAAGTTCTGGTTGTTCATCCACATCTGGACTTAGGGCTTGTTCCAGAGCTTGAATTTTTGTGTGCACAGCTATTTTACATATCTGGTTTATTTGTATGCATACTGCTGGTTCCTTGCACAACACCAGTAAAATTGCTAGTCAAATCTGGATACCACAAGCCACAGGCTTGCTTCATAATTAATTATTAAAATAAACTACATCTTTTCTCGTCAGCTGTGCTCTAGAAATGTCTACACAAGAAATCTCTCTGCCCCCCTCTTTCCCCCCACATTTGTAACGACATTGAAACATTCCTTGTGTGTCACCAAAATATATTAACCCCCCCCCTCCCCCCCCAAAAAAAAATTTCTTTCACGTTTGTAGACATTAAAAATATTTATTTTGTGCAAGATAATTTTCAGGCAAAGCCCAAAAAAATACACTTTTTCCCACACATGTAACTATACTATTCAAAAAACATAAAAGAAACGCATAGTTTTTGTATTATGTTTCTTTCAGCAACTATGTATTTCTATTTTTTTTTTAACAGTATACCTTAAAACTATAGGCCTAGCCCTATATGCTTAAAGATGTGAAAAAAGGTCCTTGTTTTTTTTTTAAATACAGTAAAATTTGTTTGCATGCCTTCAGAAAGTGGAGAAACAAAACAACAACGATTGCTAATCCAAATCCAGTCACTTATACAAACAAATACTCATAGCCACTCACTCACCTACCCATTCACGCACTCACTAACGCCCACTAACGCCCACAAGGACATTTAAAAACTCTCCATGTTACAACAACTGTTACAGGTCAAAAACTACAGATCTGAGGCATAAAAACAAGCAAATATGTCATCCATGTCGGTGTCACCAAGTTCCTGACTCATCAAAAAGCTTTTCTTTGGTCTTTTCGGTCTCGCCATCTTCCATTTTTTGACCAACTGAAATGAAAAAAATGATAAGAAAATTAATCAATCAATCAGGCGTGTCTTTACGGTGAAGGTTGTCTGCAAAGGATTATTTTGATTCTACACTCTCTCAGACTGCTGTTTTCCTCCCACCTGTATCACTGTCTACCTCTTGCTCTCTTGCCTTTGACCTCCAGTATGGCTTTTATAAAAGTGTTATATCTGTTTAAGTGGCTGAACTATTTCATTCGACTATTTCAGCAGCTGTCTTTCATTCTGACTGTACACATCTAATTGAAATTCATATCTTTTAGGCCCTCTAGCCTCTCGCCCTAAGAGCTTCAGACACTCTAACCTCTCACGTCAAGAGCTACAGGCACTCTAACCTCTCAAATCAAGAGCTTCAGGCACTCTAACCTCTTAACTTAAGAGCTTCAGGCACTCTAACCTCTCGCCTCAAGAGCTTCAGGCACTCTAACCTCTTAACTCAAGAGCTTCAGGCACTCTAACCTCTCGCCTCAAGAGTTTCAGGCACTCTAACCTCTCGCCTCAAGAGCTTCAGGCACTCTAACCTCTCGCCTCAAGAGCTTCAGGCACTCTAACCTCTCGCCTCAAGAGCTTCAGGCACTCTAACCTCTCAACTCAAGAGCTTCAGGCACTCTAACCTCTTGCCCCAAGAGCTTCAGGCACTCTAACATCTCGCCTCAGGAGCTTCAGGCACTCTAACCTCTCGCCTCAAGAGCTTCAGGCACTCTGATCTCTCGCCCCAAGAGCTTCAGGCACTCTAACCTCTCGACTCAAGAGCTTCAGGCACTCTAACCTCTCGCCTCAAGAGCTTCAGGCACTCTCTCAACTCAAGAGCTTCAGGCACTCTAACCTCTCGCCTCAAGAGCTTTGGGCACTCTAACCTCTCGCATCAAAAGCTTCATGTCCCACATAACTCATATCTGAATTCCCGACTGTATTTTGCAGCCCCTGGCTGTTGGCCTTCCGTCTTACATCAAAGATTCTAACAAGTACTCAGGAACTGAAATCAAGTCTGACATTAAACCCCCACCCTTCAGAGCATAATTTCAATGATCTAACCACTTCACCATGGAGAGCTCTACACAACAGATCTACCACTAAGTACACTTACCACCCCTTCCCTGTGTGGTATCCAGGACCCCATGAGGGGGAGGGGGAGGATACCACTGTTTCATAACAAACAAAGTTAGTTGCATAGCCTTTACAGGTCACTACAGAACCAACTGCAGCATTTTTTTTGGCTGTTTATGATTTCAAGAATTGTCCTAACCTGCCCTGTTTGTGGCGTCTGCACTAGCCATGTGGCCCTAAATCCTCAGGCTCACAACTCTCCCGGTCTACACCGCCCTAAAAAGCAGTAAACAGTGACATTTTTTTTTTTCAAAATGATTTCTCTAGGCATTTGTCTGAGAGGTCAGATCAATACTACTGATGAAACCAATGCAACGGTCTGCAGCCAAATCACCCACAACCGGGATTGAAACAACATACAGGGGTTACGAAGTATGTTCGCAATGATTAAGCCAGAGGCCCATTTGTAAAAAATGACTCATGAAGAGTTTGCTGAAAGAGAATGCGCTGAGCTGAAAAGTGCAAATATCACAGCCTATTTCAAAACCACAACACAAAGCGCCAACTGCCCTTTTAAAAGTGAACGGAAAAGAACTCACGATCACTGTTGCAACTCTCATGCTGGACTGTCTCTGTCGGGCTACCACAACACAAAGCGCCAACTGCTCTTTTAAAAGTGAATGGAAAAGAACTTACGATCACTGTTGCAACTCTCATGCTGGACTGTCTCTGTCGTGCTGTCATTCAAACTCTCGTCTTCTTCAGGAATTACAGGGTATGGTGATACTCTGTGAATGAAAACGCACACAAACTATTTCAGCCCGAGCAATCTATCATGTCTTAAAGGCTCATTTCCCTGAATCTCAACTACTGCGTAATGAGTTCTCTTATGTTGTACATCTGGGCAGTCTGTGCACACACAAGTAAAAGATGAGGAAAAGATGCCGGCAATAGTTAGGACACACAATCAAAGAATCTAATAATAGATGTGTAATCCTTTCTTATGGAGGCAGAAAGAGATAATTATCGATTTGAAGTTCTTCTTCTTCTTCTTCACTTCCTCTTTTACCACTGTGGGTGTCGAGGGAGATATAAGGTTCTGTTTTTAGCTCTTCTGGCCGCCTCGACCATAGGCACATCGTGCTGTTGTAGAGTTTCTCTGATGTTATCCTTCCATCTTGTTCTACCTCTGCTCTACATCCCTCTTCTCTTTCCATGTATGTCCTGTATGGTATGGTGTCACAAGGCATTCTCTCTAAGTGGGCAAACCATTTCACTTGCTGTCTTCGTATGTAATCCATAATAGGTTCTGTGCCGACTTTTTCTCTTATGATCTCATTCCTGATCTTATCCCTTATGGTCACTCCTACAGCCCTTCTCAGACATCTCATTTCCCTGGTTACTAATTTTCTTTTATGGTTTGTTGTGAATGACCATGTCTGGCACTGGTATCACAGAGCTGGAATAAATATGATTTGAATAAGATGTCTCTTTGTGCTGATTGGGATTGTCTTATGCTGTAAGAGGGAGGCTAGCTGTCCCAATACTTGGTTTGCTTTACTGCATCTAATGTTAATTTTTTTATCCAATTTTCCATCTTCGGTAAATGTAGTTCCCAGATATTTAAACTCAGATGCCTGTTTAATGCCTTTGCACTCTATTGCTACGATTAGATCTGTCTTCTTTTTTCCTATTGACATTACTTCTGTCTTTTCAGTGTTGATTCTCATATTTTTTGTTTTACATTCTTCATTCATGGATGTTAGATGTTGTTGCACTTTCATGGCTGTATCTGCTATCAAGGCCTGGTCATCTGCAAAGAGTAATTCGTTGATCTTACTAACATTTTCATTCATGGGCTTGGCATTCTTGCATATACTGTCGATGTAGGTGATAAACAGCAGTGGTGATAAGACACACCCCTGTCTTACTCCAGATGTCACTGTGAATGGATGAGATGTTCCCTGATTTATTCTAACTACACTTCTACAATCCCTGTATAAACTTTTGCACACTTCGATGAGGTGTTCGCTTACTCCATATCTTGCCATTACTTTCCATAATAATTGTCTGTCGACTCTTTCAAATGCCTTCTCCTGGTCTACAAATGCCACAAATAAGTTCTTATTGTATTCAATGTTCTTTTCTATTAACTGTTTAAGTGTGAAGATTGCATCTGTGCAGCTTCTATTTCTCCTAAATCCCATCTGTTCTTCTGCCAGCTGTGGTTCTATCACTGGTCTCAGTCTTGTTTCTATTATCTTTGCATACATTTTGCCAACATGGCTTAAAAGAGAGATGCCTCGGTATTGACCGCATTCTCGTTTGCTTCCTTTGTTCTTCCACAATGGTATAACTATTGCATGTTGCCAATCAATAGGGGCAGTTTGTTGTACCCATGCTGCATTAAATATTCTGTGAAGCCATCTGATGCTGCTTTCACCTGCTGCTTGAATTATTTCTGTTGGTAATCTATCAGCTCATGGTGCTTTATATTTGGGAGACTGCTTAATGACTTTTTCTATTTCATCCATTAGTATGTGAGGTTCTAACACTGTTGCTCTGTGCTCTTCAGTTGTTCTTTCCTGATGATCTCCTAGAGGATTAAAGAGCTCATTGAAGTATTCCATCTTTCTGCTATCTCGGGTGGATCTATCAATGGCCTTCCTGTCTTATCATTAATTGTTTCAGTTGGCTTGTAGCTCTCATCTCTTTTCTGCATATTTTTAACTACTTTGAAAAATTTTCTGCTGGCTGTTTTCTCATTTTCTGCTAATGACTCACCGAAAAGTTCCCAGGATGCTTGTTTTGCTTTCTTGACACTCCTGTTGGTTTCTGTCGTTTGCAGTCTATAGTTTATATAATCTTCTTCTTTCTTTGATTTTATCCACTGTTTGTATAAGTCCTTTTTCTTTTTAATTGCTTCTTTTACTTCTTCGCACCACCAAGATGAATATTTGTTATTTCCCCGTCTGTTTCCACTCTTCCGTTTTCCACATAATTCTTCTGCAATACAAAGCGTAGTGTTTTTATATTTACTCCATTCTTCATCAATATTGCCAACTACATGTGGAAGTTGTTTGAATGCTGAAGTCACCCTGGTAAATTACAAGACTATCATGAAATTCCAGTGATTTGACAATAGTTCCCAAGACCATTTGTATTTTGGCTGATTAATTTATTTTTATTCTTCATTATATTTTGATATACCTCAAATGACGCACCTTAGAAGATGCAGCAAAATTTGCCCGGCAATAAAATGTCCAATGTATAGTTGTGCTATTGTTTAAAATAAAAAATAAATTTAAAAAAAGCATAATTCAAAATACCAAAGAGAAAAATAAGCGGGGGGGGGGGGGGGGGGGAGGAAGAAGAAGGGGGGGGGGGGAAGAAAGGGGGGGGGGGGGGTTGAAACACACAGAACAGAATTAAAGACAGGGAAGATGGCAAGAATATGAAGGTAATTGGGGAAGAGTGATACAGAAAGGACAGCATGGCAGCAGTTTGTTGAGGTCCTATACTTCAGCATGGCAGCAGTTGGTTGAGGTCCTATACTTCAGCATGGCAGCTTTTGGTTGAGGTCCTAGACTTTAGCATGGAATAAGGGGCTATATGTATGACTTAAACCTTAGACCTTTGGGGCACAAGCGAGCACCTAGCTACTATGCCACTGTTGATCTCATTAGGTTCCAGGTTCCAGTTTACGTTTCCTGACCCCTCTACACACTGGCTGACCTTTTAATCATACTTTCTCAGACTCTTCTCAGGGGTGTCATGTTGTCTTGCCTCCACTTACATCAGCGCAGATGTCGCGTGTTCTATACAACACAGCTTTCAACGACCCGAGAACATCTGGAACTGGCCCTAACCCAAACCCCCACCCATTGGCCTGTCTAGGTCACTTTTCGAAGAAAGCATTACAACGTGACACCCCTCTGACATAGATCAGACTGAGAAAGTGTGCTGATGGGCCCGGAAACAGGAACAGGTCCTCTTCCTGTGCTTTAGTTGGTATGTGGTGTTGTGACATTCTGAATTCCTAAACTATATTGTGACATGAAAATATTCCCTGTAACCTTCTCCTCGACTTATGATCGGTGCGATTTATGACAATCCATACTTAGGACAACATAAAAAATGAAATTTAAAAAAAAGGGGGCAATCAAGACAGATAAATGCACTGGTAGGGTTAAAAAGTCATTAAAGAAAGTTAACTGCACTGGTTGGGTTAAAAAGTCAATAAAGAAATAACTGCACTGGTAGGGTTAAAAAGTCAATAGACTAATAGCGGCACTGGTAAGGTTAAAAAAAGTCAATAGAGAGATAGCTGCACTGGTATGGTTAAAAAGTCAGTAAAGAAAAATAACCTCATTGGTATGGTTAAAAAGTTCCCGGAACTAATGCCTAGAGTGCAGCAGGGTCTAAATATGAGTTTCTTTGAACCTGTCTCCTACGGCAGATTGTCTGGAACCGCAGTCTAAATGAAAATAGTGTTGGAAAATAAAAATCTGAATTATGATCATTTTGGCTTTTGACCTGTCAGTCAAAACAGATCAAAACTTAGTCTCAAGTCAAGAAGACCCTGTTTTACAGTGTAACAGTAATGTAAAGGATCCTTTTCCATGTCTTTAAGCCTATTGGATATATAGGGCTAGACCTATATTTTATAGACCAATTGGCACTTGGAGGGTGATGTGGTCAGCATCACGTCGGCCACCTTTACTTCCCAGGACTGCATCTGGTACCCACTCAAGGCTGGGTCGACCTGGGAGCCAAGGTCATTTTTTGAAAAAAAGTCTGGCTGCGCCAGGACCCAAACCTACGACATTCTGATCTGTTTTACAGTGTGACGTTGTAATTTCCCAACACTACCGTGAGACATTCCAGTTTTCTCTTTGCTGCACAGTGACATTACAACTGTTATTACCTTGTAATATCTCCTGTATTATAGTGATATTCCAGTTTACAGATCACATTACACAACTTACTCATCTGTTAAGGAGTGACGTTTGGCTTTCCGCGGCACAGTATCTGCTTCATTGACCTTCAGCTTTCTCTTGGCAGGGATACTTGGAGAAGATAGTGGAGCGGGTGAGCTGGCTGACAAGAACCGTGTAGACTTGCTGAGGTGGTGCGCCGCATAGGATATGACATGAAAGGAGCCCACGTGTTGAGACAGGGCCTTTAAAGCTGAAATGATAATGCATAATGAATTAAAAACTTTATCCCTATTATTATGTTATCAGTGCCAAACATGGACAATGAGCAGGGAACTAGAACAGAAAATAACGACATGTGAAATGCGCCGTCTCCGCAAGGTCACTAACAGCACAAGAAAAGACAGAGTTACGAATACCAGCATTAGAGAGAAAGTCGGAATAAGACAATGTCTAGATTATACTGACAGACAAATAATGAAATGGTTCGAACATCTAGTGAGAATATAGTGGGACCAAACTGAGATTTTTTACAGCAGAAGGAAGGAAGGTGAGAGGAAGACCAAGAAAAAGATGGATAAAAGGTGTAGTTGAAACCTGCAAAAAGATGAATAAATCCATCACCCAAGTCACCCAAGAAAAATACAGAAAACCACGACACTGGACTACAAGCTGGTATCAGTGAGACGACAAAAGAAGAAAAGGATTGTACTGTGAAGAAGTCCCTGTCTGGGTTTGGGTTCTAGGGTTCCTGTCTGGGTTTGGGTTCTGGGGTTCCTGTCCGGGTTTGGGTTCTGGGATTCCTGTTTGGAATACGAAGAACAGACACACTGCCTCGCAACAAGCATGTTGTAGAAGGCGACTAATTAGAGGTGTTTTCTTCAGTCAGAGTGCATCTGACTGAGGCAAGGAACCCAGCCTGCAAACAAATAAGCCAGATGTGTAAAATGAATTTACATGCCACATTCAATATCTGGACCAAGACTGAAGTCCAGTAGTGGAAGAACAACCAGAACTTTCCGCTGGAGTTTACAGCCAGTGCATACTATGACATACAGTGATGTCTGGCAATAAATTGTGCAATTACAAATTACTGTTGTTTGTGCCTTCTTGTGCAAATTTACAAAAGGGAACACTGCCCTTTATGTGGTCTCATTCTAGAGAGGCAGTTAGAACTTATTACACGGGTACCATTGCTATTTCAGCCACTGACTACTATGATCACACCTTATGTGATCAGCCAAAATTTACGCCCAGCTACCACGATCGCATCCCTTGCGATCATAACCTTGGAAGCTCGCCGCCATGGTAAAATTGCAACTTTCGTGATAAATGTAGTTGAAGCCATTTGTCCAGCCATTTCTCTAGTTTTCTTTTGGGAAAATGACCCTGCAGTGATCAAAATTAATTTTTCAGGAATTATATCCTATGTCGATGACGTTATATGGCTGTTTTTAATAATGATGCCTCATTGTCAGAATCACCACTGACTCGCGGTAGCAACATTTTTTGCGAATATTTTTTGTGCTGCTGGTGATTTTGATGATTTAAAAAAAATTTGAAATTGAAGGTAAGGTGTTTCTGAACAATCTGATGACTGTGACAATTCCTATGAACTACCATCAAAAACATTGTTGAAACTGGAAGACGAGGGTTTACTTACAGAAGTGGTATGGCAGTCAGAAGTAGGTGTGTCATGATACATTAGTTCCTGTAAACTATTTCATGTATGTGCTTTGATGCGTATTGTTCAATGTCTCTGTAAGTACAGATTGTGTACATTACGGCCCTGTGCTGCTTCGCAATGCAATCCTTGATGTTTACCAGGGTGCCATTCCTGCACTGCGTATTTTGGGAAAAGATCGTTTTTGTGGATTTTTAGTTTCACAATTCTCAGTCATAATGTAACAGAAGTGCTTGGTGCAAAATAGCAAACAGACACTGGATTTTATTTCCATTAGGCACAGTCATTCAGGATTATTTCAGGGCGTGCAAGCACGCTGCACATACATACACACACAATTATATTGATGTGAAGATAGTTGCCTTTTATCCCCAACCAATGTACAGCTGAATGACGATGGAGTAAATAAGATTGCACAATTTTTTTATTCTTGAAATTTGTACTCCAGTCAATTTGGTGAACAAGTGCAAAATACCATGAGTTTATGTTAAACAGTTGTGAGCTATGGAAATTCTGTTAATCTATATTGCTGTCAGAAAAAAGATTTGTTGGTTGCCTTTTTTGCACCAATCTACAGCCATATGATGATGAAGGCAGACAAGATTGTGCAGTTTTTATTCTTGATACTTGTTCTCCATTCCATTTAGAGCAACAACAACAACAAAATATTAGGAGTTTTTGTTAAAATGTTTTGAAACTATGGCATTTTTAGCAGACACTAAAATACGTGGTATCTGGGGAAGTGCAAGGGTTAACGGTTTTGGTAGTTGGTTGGTTTAAAAAAATGTCATAGGTGCGAAAGTGCTGTGTCAACAAACAGTGAGTATTATCATTTATGATGTAGTCTCAGTATAATGCACCGAGGATATTATTTCTCATTTCAAACTGACTGTAGGTAAGACAATACCTACGTCCCTCAAGCTTAGTGCATCGGCCAGCATTGCACAGGCAGAGAAATGAAGGCAGACTAGAAAGAATCGTACCACTAATCCCACATTTACTGCGGCTTCCACCTGTTGCCCACACTGCTCGAGAACTTTCCTGGCTCATATTGGACTAATCAGCCACCTTCGTACTCATAATCACTGATCATTTCTACTTTGGATGAAAGTGGTCTTCATCACTTGTGATGGACGAACAACACCTACCCATAGAGGCATTCTCCTTTTTGTGCAGTGCAACATAGGCTGTCGTCTCTGTCAACCACGAAATTTGAACAGCTCCTGTGGACAGAAAACAATCATGCATCAGATATTTGTTTCCAATCCCGTGTGGGTTTTGCCCCATTATAGAATGAGGTGGGAAGAGTGGAGAGATGTTTCATTCGAAGAACAATTCTACCGCCCCATAATAATAAAAATGTTAAAATAAAGTAACAAATCCTTTTCCATACCTTCAGGCGTATTAGGCATATAGAGCTAGACCTACGCTTTATAGATCAATCTGCACGTGGAAGGTGATGTGGTCAACATTACGCCGGTCGTCTTTACTTCCCAGGACTGCACCTGGTAACCCACTCAAGACTGGGTCAACCTGGGAGCCAAGGTCATTTTTGAAGAAAGCTCGCTTCAATCAGGACCGAACCCACAAACTTTTGATATGCAGGTAAGTCTAACTGCTACACCACACTAACTGCCAAAAAGGACGCTAGGGGGCTACTAAATTGCTGCCCCCCCCCCCCCCCTGTAACTGCTTGGAGCCCCCCTTTGTTGAAACTGCCTGGCACCCCCCGCCGAAACTGATCGACGCCCCCCGCTGAAACTGCTTGGCGTCCCCCACTAACACTGCTTGGCGCCCCCTTTTCTTAAAACTGCCTGACACCCCCCATTGTAACCGCTTGACGCCCCCCGTTGAAACTGCAACTCCCTGACGCCCCCCATTGATACTGCATGAGCTCCCCCCCCCCCATTGAAACTTCCTCACACTCCCCAGCTTGGAGACCACCTGGTGTAAATGATATCACAGCCACCTCAAATTTGTTCCACTGACTCTCAGGGATTCTCAAACCAACAAATGGTAATCACAGGACTAGGATGTAAGTTTAAAAACGATTATAAGGAAAAGTTCTCACCATACGGCTGGAAAAGTGCATGCAAGTCTGAGGGTTTCCATTCTTTGGGAAAGGTGACATGGAAAACATGTTCTCTGTTGACCCTCACTGAAATTATGAAAAAAAGAAAACAGAAGAGAATCAATGATTTTCACTTATAAATATACTGGATTACCCGGCAGGGGAAAGATAACTGTATCTTCCTGTCCTCTAATTAATCTTTCTTCACCACTGTCGTATGATTAGTTATTGCCCCTACACTCTTACTGCCCCCCCCCCCCTACAACAGCACTAGCAATTAACAATATGGCAGATAGACACACATATTGTCTGTTATACAGGCGGAAAGTTATGTTTGTTCAACCTCCTCTGAACTTTAGTCTTGATCCAGAACTTGAATTTTTTGTGCACATCCATCTAACATTAGGCCCCTATGCACATGGGAGGGTGGGGGGCAGGGCAAGTGTCCAGCTGACCCATGTGTTAAGATGACACTGTCCATAGATGTTAACTACAGAGTAAATGTGGCCACCAGGTAAGCCAGATTTCTTTACTGTTCAGACCAAATGTAAAATGTTACAGAATTCATTATGAGACGGGGATTCAGGGGCAAGAGCCAGTTACATACCATGTTGATTGCGACCAAAAGAGTTCATGTTGCTAAGGAAACAGATAAACCAAAAGGACAGGTGAAGAGGAAGATGAAGAAGAAGATAAAAGTTAGAGATCTAAGAAGAACGAATGAACGAACAATATTTTCAAAGGGTCACAAATTGGGCACCCAAGCCTGTATTACATTGGGCCCTTCCAAACACCCGCCTCTCAAACAGCAGTTGTGTGTTATCAATAAAGCTTGTTATATTCATACAATAATATGCATATTATGAAAATCAAGAAAAAACACAAAGATGGGTTGTAAAATGCATACACACACTCACGCACATACACACAAATACTCATCCTAATACATACATACATACATCAGCACATATAAAAACACACATACTCATACATACGTAAATGCATGCACACATGGACTAATGGACAGACAACACTCACAGACATACAGACAGCCACACACAGACATAGACAGTCACACATGCACACACAGAAGAGGAAGAAGCAGATGAGGAAGAGCAAACAAAAGTAAAAAAAAAAGAATACAGCATAGCTGAAGAACAAGAATAAGAATGGGAACAAAAAGAAGTAGAAAAAGGAGACTCATTTCAGAAAACATTTATTATAAAATTTCTTAAAACAATCTGCTATGAAAAAACTAATTCTAATAGCAAATGTATAAAAAAAAAAAATACACACACAATATTTCAACTTACAGTCTGGCCCATCTAAATTGAGATATGGAATGTCATTGATTCGCATGAGGAACAGCCTGAAACAGATTCAGTGGCACTAAGAACAATGAACGAATAGAATAATGTTCTTTTTCTCGTTCTCTTCCCTGTCACAGATTCTGCTAATTCCATGTAAATACGGATAAATACTGGTTATTGCTGAAATTAGTGAAATGTTACCCCCCAAAAAATAACTAAACCTCACTGTGCAAACAAAAAGAGCATATGGTAAAATGTATAATTTCAATGGTAAACATATGACTATCTTGAACGTTCAGTCATGACTAGTGTAACCAAATTCAAATTCTCTTTCGTTGACCACTTTCAGCTAGGTCCGCTCACATTTCTACTCACTTTCCTTTCAGCTATATTTGTGGTGACGTTTTCTGGTCTCGATCTCATTTGATTTTGGATTGTGTTCAATATTGTCGCTTTCTATTTGTTGTGGTTTCCGCTCTTGTTGTTATTTTTGTAATTTGGCTGGCCCTGTGCTGCGCTCAAGATGATTGGATGTTGAATCGATTTATTGTGGTATTCCTTGGCTGTTTGTTGTTTCCGGGGAAAGTAAATTGCCTATCCTAATAAGGACCGGCGGTCGATTGACTTGGGCAGGTACTGATGGCAATACTGGTGAGGTCTGGTATTATTTGGTGATTTTCTCGTATCCTTGTTGTAAAGTACTTCTCCTACATAGGGTTTTGGTAATTTTGGCCTTGGTTGAGTCGTATCTGGTATCAGTGTTTGAGGTAACGGTGTCGACCTCGTTTGACTTCAGGTTTTGGCTGTCGATATGGTTCCTCTGGTGATGACCAAAGAACATCATCATCTTGCAGTTCTGAGTCAAAGAAGTTAGGGTCCTCCAGCTCCCTGATGCGTTGGTTTATTTGGTTAGTAGTTTCTACCGGAAACTGTTTCATCAGCGGCGTTGGAGTTTTCTTTTCTGGTGTTTGATGTGGCTTTTTCTGGGTCTCGGCTCCCTGTATTTGCTGCCTTCTTGTTGCCTCTTTCCGTGCTTTCTCTCTTTCTTCCATCACTCTGTTGGTTGCTTGCAGTTCCTTATTAAGTCTGTTGTTTTCTTCGTATGCTCTTCGTAACTTTTCCTCTGTTTCAGCTAGTGCCTTCTTGATCATTGCGACTTCTTTCGTGAGAAGTTGTTGGTTATCCCGCAGATCATTGATGCCCGCCTCGTCTTCCCTTGCTTTAGTTGGTTGTTCCTTTTGTGTCTGGATAGTGGCCAGTGCATTCATGATGTCCTCCTTGAATTTCGTCATTTCTGCTGTCATCCGTTTCTGGGTGTCAAGAGTCGCCTGCATTATAGCTCTCAGGCCTGTTATTTCATCTCTGTCTTCATCTCATTGGGATTTGGATGCGTCTTTCTCGTCTCTGAGAGCTTGGATGTCACTTTTGAGTTGAGCCACCTCGTTGCTCAATTTGGTGGTAATGGCTGCAGTTATGCCTTGGGTTGCTTCGTGTCTTCTGCGGGCCTCATGGTATGGAATCTTTTCCCGTATGGCCGTGGTTGCTATTTCTCTACATTGTTGCAGATAGGGGCACCCCAGGTACCTGGTGCTGTGCTGGCCGTAGCAGTTGGCGCACTTCCTGTTCGTATTGGGAGACCTAAAGTCTGTGTCCAGCTTTGCCAGCGGGCAATTGTTGAAGGCATGGGGTTGTGAACAGTATCGGCATACTTCATGTTCGCTCACACAAGTGGCCCGGGAGTGCCATGCTTTTTGGCAACGAGAGCACTGGATCACCTGTGGCACGTATTGCTCTGGTCTTTGCATTCTTTGATCTAGGTAAACTTTATCCGGGATGTGTTCTCCTTCCGATGTTATCACCGAAACTGGCAATGGATGCCGTTTTGAGCCCAGTCTCTCTGTTTGGTTGATGTTGACATTGGGGTTTTCTTTCCTTATTTGTTGCAGAATTTCTTCGTTGCTCCATTGCAGGTTGACTCTTCGGATCACCCAGCGTCTTACATTCTGGAAGATTGTGGCCGTCACAGTTATCTCCTCGGATAGTCGGAGTTCTTTCTTGCCGTCGGGTTGGATGTCTTCCAGCATGTCTGAGGTGCGGTTGGTTCTGTTTAGTGAAGCTATCACTCCTTCTCGAGTTCTCCTAATCTTTGCGACTGCCCTCTTGCCTAATATGATCTCCAGCATATTGATCAATGTTAGCGTTGCCAGTGTAGTGATTACAGTCCGGCCCAAGCTGGTCTGTCGTAGAAATATTGTGGCAGGAAATTCATAGCTGCCTGTCTTTCGTCGATCTGGAGATGTTTGTGGAGTTGGCTGTGTTGGTTCAGGTGACGCTGGAACGTCACTCAGGGCCTCACTGGTAGTCGGGGCGTCTTCCTGTGATTCGGTAGTAACTGTCTGCGTCTTCCTGGCCTCCGAGTTAGATCGGGTAGATCGGTCAGTGGGTTGTTTCCTCTGTCCGTTGCGCTTTCCGTTAGGTTTGTTTCTCCGAGACATGGTGCTTGCGGAGAAGGCCTCTCGCTCTGGCAAATACTTTGTATTGTATTATGTAGGTTTCAGTCCTATCTGATGACAATTGCGGAGAAGTCCTCTCGCTCTGCCTATCCTCAAAGGGACCAGCATGTACTGTATTGCGCAGGTATCAATATTTGATGACAATTGCGGAGAAGTCCTCTCGCTCTGCCTATCCTCCAAGGGACCAGCATATACTGTATTGTGCAGGTATCAATACTATCTGATGATTGGCTGATATGGTGGAGCCGATGGCCCATGTGCCGATGCCGTAGCCGGCCGGTAGTGTAACCAGAGAAGACAATGCAATTTATGTATTTCAGTAGAAAGAATTCCTTTCTGTGTGTGCTTCACTGTAAACTGATGTCACTCTGTAGTAATGCACCTAATGAGATACAGCGAAATATGCCAGGCCCTAAACTGTGCAATGTATTGTTTGTATCCTTCTTCTTCTGTCTTCTATTCCCCAATGAAGCATAAGTCGTCAACCAGTCACACCAAGTCGTTCTATTCTTTGCCACTGCATGCAGCTCACTTCACGTCCTTCCCATCTTTTAAATGTCATCTCTCTCTAGCTCCCATCTCATTTTCTGTATCCACATTATTCAAATTCATTATGGAAAAACACTCACTACTAAAAATATGGGGTGCTCTTCCCATATGCTAGATGTGCCCAAAGGCCTGAAAAGGGATCTTTACTTTTTACTACTTACTTATGGAAAAATTCTGTTTTAAAATGTTGATACTCACTTATTGACAAATGGCTCTACAATATGAGACGAGGGCAATGTGAATTCCTTGGGAGGGTTCTGCAGTGTACCTGTCAACATTGTGAGAAAATCATATTCAATATAAAAATAGAAGTAGAAAGCAAAAAGGAAGCCACCGCATTAGCTTTCTAAGAATAAGTTTAGATGCAGAAGGAATGCTAGAATTATAGCAGAGCATAAAGATTTTGGGAAGCCATGGTAGCAAAGTGGCTAGATGCTCGTCTGCCAGCCTGAAAGTCTTGACTCACAGAGTCAGATGTTTTAAAAACTTATCTCGGCTCCCAGGCCAATTCAGCATTAAAAAGGAAGAACTGGTTCCCCTTCAGGCCTCATGCGAGCACATGGGCAATTCTGAGGAGCAGACAGTTCATCACAGTCTTGTGAAAGTGATGCAGCAAGGAGTGATGAAGGGATCAGGCCGATACCCGATGCTCAGAAGAAAAACAAGACAGACATATAATCAGACTACCACTGGTACCATTGGTAGTGAAACTCTCCGATGGCTGCTGAAGATGGGGACGAAGCGCTTATAGCAATGTCCAAAGCGCTGTTATATTGGTTCTTAAATCAACTCAACTTTTATAGGATTGACCTTTCCTCTGAAGTACTAACGCACGTGCTGAGACAGGTGAGGAATTAACAGTCTGCACACAAGCCAGATCTGAAAAACAGATGTGCATGCAACACTGAAGTCTTGGAACAAGACCAGAGAAAGTCCTAACCAGAACTTTCTGCTAGAGTTCACAGGCAATAAACTCAGCAGTGAGTAAGTCAGTAAAAGACCCTTTTTAACCCAGTGGGGCATCCGGCATATGATCCGTTTGTCCTCTTCAGGCTGTTATTTAAAGGTTTACCATGTGGTTGCAGAATCTGAAAAAATCTCAATCTGGACGGTAGACTACTAGGCAGATTCCAGATACCTCGTTCAACCACCAAAATAAGTTATAATTAGCTCACACTTAGCAGCTAGATGAGCCAGGTGTCCCCTGCAGTCAGATGTAACCTGTAGTCATCTGTGGGTAGTGAACTGAAGACATATGATGCTACACATCTATTGTTTTCTTATAGACTGGCCCTCGGTAGGCGGGGTGGTTGGTGTCCTATTGTCTGCCTTCATTTCTCAGGATACAGTCTGGTACCCATTTAAGGCTTGGTCAACATGAAAGGACCCTTTTCCACGCATTCAGCATAATGGGCAACCTATGTTTTATAGACCAATCGGCACTGGGTGGGTGATGTGTGTGGTCAGCATCATGTTGGCTGTCTTTACTTCCCAGAACTGTACCTGGTACTCACTCAAGGCTGGGTCCCTTAAGAGTTAATGTCATTTCTAAAAAAAAAAAAAAAAAAAAAAAAAAAAAAAAATCCAGTTCAGTCAGGACCCAAGCCCATGACCTTCCAATCTGCAGGTGAGCGTCTAGCCGCTACACCACTGCGGCTGGCTCTCAGTCAACCTGAAAACCAATGTCAATTTAAAAAAACATCAAACTCGACACAGATCTGAACCCAAGACCAGCAAACTATCTAGCCACTGCACTACCAGAGCTCCTTGTAGAAGAAGAAAGTCCTTATTCTTTGTCTTCCTTATGGGCCACAGTAACATATGGACAACTATATTACACACCTAAATAATTGACCATTGTAGCAAAGCACCGGCCTGTGATGAGAGCATCATAACCTGCCTCGTGCAGAGCCCCTGCCCCATTGTGGTAGCGTTCAAAGCCTTCAGCAACATCTGAAACAGAATAAAAAAATCACAACCTTATATTTACAAAGAGTTAAATGGTAGGACTAAATCCCTTACATAAAACTTAGGAAAATGTTTAAAATGCAATAAATCAGAGGGTCACTTCTTCTTCTTCTGCGTTCATCCGAAGATGTAATTGTGTTGTGTCTGTTTACAGCATGGCTGTGATATTTGCACCTTTCGGCCAACACATCTGACTTCTGTGGGCATTTGTTCACCAGGTTAGCCTTCCCGGAGAGGGTTACAACGTTAGCTGTGTATCCTATACAGGGCGTTGCAGAACCAACGCAAGCATTTATCGGCTGTTGTGGTTTTTCTAGGCAAATTTTACGTTCAGTAGCTTGCCACTGCTTTCTGAACAGGTCAGCTCTCGGTACCACTGTTCAAACCAGCGCAAGATATATTGTCTGCAGCAGGGATCGAACCCGGCACACCAGTATTATGAAGCGCATTCGTCACAGACGAATCACTTATATGGGAGCTGCGTGGTGTAGCAGTCAGTTACTTGCCTGTGGATCTGAAAGGCGTAGGTTCAAGTCCAGAAAGAGCAGGACATTTTTTTTTCAAAAATGATCTTGGCTCCCCGGTTGACCCAGCCTTTCGGGTACAAGGTAAAATCTTCAGAAATAAAGGCGGCTGGCGTGATGTTGACCACATTACCCACCAAGTGCTGATTGGCCTACAAAACATAGGTCACAATACGCCTGAAGATGTGGAAAAAGGTCCTTTACTTACATACACCTATTTATGCAGTAATGTAGATCAAGATGACTGAATTGAGACACCACCCAAAAAAAAGTAGATTTTGTAACATTAGAAAAACTTGCAGAAATCTAAGGACAATAATACTACTAATGAATTTAAAGGGAGCCGCCATATTTTAGTGGCCAGACGCTCACTTGCAGATTCAAAGGCTGAGGGTTCAAATCTGCATGGTGTAGGATTTGTTTCAGACATTACCTTTGCTTTCATGTCAACCCAGCTTTAAATAGGTCCCAAGTAAAGTCTTCGGAAGTAAAGGCGGCCGGCGTGATGTTGAACACATCACCTATCAAGGGCCATTTAGTCTACAAAAATAAGAGTTGCATGCCCAATGTGCCACTGTCGTATAAAGGGGGGTTTTTACTTTTACCTTATTGAGCTTAAAATAGTTTGCAGTACTGTTATATCAGTATTGCTGTATGGAGCTGAGACATGAAGAACTAAAGCAATTATCATTAAATTAAAAACGTCCATTAGCTGCAACAACAAAAAAGTGAGTTGCATATTCTTTACAGGATCCTGCAGAACCAACCCCAGCATTGGTTGTTGGGGATTTTCTAGGCAAATTTACATTCAGTAGTTTGCCATTGCTTTCTGGACAGTTAGCTTCTCGATACCACTGTCGAAACCAACGCAGTGCCAGCAGCTGGGATCAAATCTGGCACCCCATCATTATGAAGCGCGTTGGCAACGCCTAAGCCACAGACGACCTAGCAAGCATGTCATAAAAGACAACTAATTAGGAATTGGTTGAAAGTGGACGTGCTGGGTCGAAAGGACTAGCTGTAAACCACAATACCATGTGCCAGCTGCCCTTTCCCGAGCAAATGCTGAAGAAAAAAGGAAGACACAACCACTGACAATCATCCCAGTGAGGGTTCCATTTCCCATTCTGGGAGAATAGCACCCCCCTCTCATTTCAACAAGCTGGTCATAAAAGGCCGGAGTGCATCTGCCTGAGAGACAAGGAATCAACAATCTGCATACAAATAAGCCAGATCTGTAAAACGGATGTGCAAAACTTAGTCTGAATTCCAGAAGTGGAGTCAACAGCCGGTGGAACGCTAAGTGGAACAGGGGTAGGGCAGAAGTCATCAACATTATGTACGTACCGACCTGGACCGGCAAAAATGGCGGACTTTGTAACGTCTGCAATACATCACTCAAACCAGAAAATGAAATCAGTTCCTGCAAAACAGTAAACACAGCATCAGAATTAGGCTGATGATCACTTGGAAAAGCAATGTAAAACAAACTAAAAGTAAAACTTCATTAACACAAATTTCGAGGGGAAAAAAACCCACTAATCAAGAGGTTGTATTAAAAAATGCATACTAACCAAGGATTAACAGATGAATTTTGAATAAAATATCCTTGCTGGGACCGAAACTTTATGTGTTGGTGATGGTGTTAAACAGGTTTTTCTGTATCAACAACCTGCTCTTACACTCCGTACAGAGCTATGGTGTTAACCTGAACTGTATGTTTCCGCTGCTGCTTCTTCTTCAGCGATTTCTGGCCATGCACTTCATTGATCCTGTTCCCGTTTCCCCGCCCATTTCTGACCACTCATTCATATTTTCTCACTCTTCTACTTCGCAGGGGTGTCACGCTCTCTTGCTCCAATTACATCAGCGCCGATGTCGCATGCTCTATACCTTACAGCGGCACAGCTTTCAACGAACCTAGAACATCTGGCCCTAACCCAAACTCCCCTACCTAGTCTGAGCCTAGGTCACAGGAGAGACTCTTTTCGAAGAAAGCAGTACAACGTGACACTCATATGACCTAGATGAAACTGGTCCGCTTAATCTACTGTGGGCCATAAACTGGGATTTCAGCTCTAGGTCTCTTGTTTCCCCAAAACTAAGCAAGCTGTCAGGTCTACTGGAGCTGGCCACATTTCGCTTCGCAGATCCACCAGGAAAGGACAGTCATGCAGGACGTGTTCTAGATCTGACAGGCAGGCATGAAGAGAGCTGTATGGGTCGGGTCATACTTTGAATTAGTCTTGATTGTAAGCTTCCCCATGTGGGTTCTAGGCCACCCCCCCCCCCCCTTTAAAGAGCAAACAACAGATCCACCCCTCAAAATAAGCATGTTGTAAAAGTCGACTAATTAAGGATGTTTCCTTCAAAGTTGATGTAATCTTGTTAATCTTAGTTTCAGCTTTATAGCAAATGGGTTCACCCCATAGTTGCTCCGCTCCCGTGCCAACTAAAGCCCCACAGAATGTTCACCAGTCCCTTGTGGAAAGATTGACAGACTGCTGTCTCAGCATACACACGCATTAAAAGCATACGGTAGCCATCAGAAGTGCTTACACAAACAGTCCAACATTAGAAATGCAGTTCATCATCGACAGTAGCAGAAGTTACCAACAAATCAGCAGTTGCACACGCGATCAATTTTAACGACATAAAGGCAATACAAATATTGCAACAACAGGCCACGTGCCATTTTTTTCAACGACAGGCCACGTACTATTTTTTAAATCTAAAATTCACAATACCCCATCAGCCACAGTCAAAAAAACATTCCAAATTAAATTCGCAGCTTATAGTGTCGCGTCATGAACTCAACTCATTAATTAGGTGGGCGATGAAACTATATCCTTTCAGTCTAAACATGGAAAATAAATGTGACGGCTACTGTTTGGCAAAAGCAAAAAATTCGTCATGACCGTGCCTAGCGTCCATTTTGACCAGAAGTTGGAGTTCATCTGCCCGAGAGGCAAGAAACCAGTCTGCACACAATTAAGCCAGATTTGTAAAAGGAATGTGCATGCAAAAGTAACTAAAATTCTAGATAAAGATCAAAGTTTAGGAGTGGATGAACAAAAACTTTCCACCAGAATTTAAAGCCAGTGAAGAAGAAGAAAAAGAAGAAGACTGTAAGCTGACTTAATTTCAACTACAGCCAGACTGGCCCAGTTGCTAGATCCTTCTCTGGCAGTCACAGTCTTGCACTGGATGGATCTGAAAACATCCTGGCTCCCAGGATGACCCAGTTTTCTTTTTCTTCTTGTGTTCACTTTCTGACTTACACCGACAGACAAGTTCTTGTGATAAACTTGACTGTTTTTAGGAGTTCCCATTTAGATCCATACAACTCAGAGAGCAGTGTTGACTCAGTGAGCCAGTATTCTTTTTTCAATGGGCTGTAAATGGGACATTCTTGCAGGACATGTTCTGTAGTCTGCACAAACATCCCACCTGAGCACAACAGTGAACTACTTAGACGAAGCCTTTGCATTTGCTTGTTAAGTTTTGTTATGTCCTGTCATGAGGCGTAGAATAATGACCTGCCCTAGCCGGTTAAGTAAGTGGTGGTTATCTCTGACCAGATTCTATTCACTTCTGATGGACCATTTCTTCCCCTCAAAAGACCCAGCTTAAAATGGGTATCAGCAAATGGCTAATTCCATTGAATTCCAACTGGTCTATTTTTCTTCTTCTTCATGCTCATCGGCAGCACACTTCGGCAGAAAGCTCTGGTTGTTTGGTCACCTGAAGATGTTCATCTTGTTCCAGAAATCTAATTTTGCGTGCACATCCATTTTACAGATCTGGCTTATTTGTATGCAGACTGATTGTTCTTCGCCTCTCAGGCAGATATACTCCACCTTCAGAGCAAACATCCCTAATCTGTCCACCTTTACAACATGCACGTTGGGGGAGAGTGGGATTATTCCTTTTCACCCAGAACGGGGCGGGGTTGGGGGCCGTGGTTCGATTCTTTTTCGGTTTAGAACATAACAGGTGATCCATGTTTACACTGTTACAGTCGATCACTTTAGAACATTTCAACTGATCCCTGCTTAGAACATTACAACTGATCCCTGCTTAGAACATTACAACTGATCCCTACTTAGAACACTACAACTGATCCCTGTTTAGAACATTTCAACTGATCCCTGTTCAGAACATAACAATGATCCATGCTTACAACATAAGAGTTGATTCCTGTTTACAACATTACAGCTAATCCCTGCTTAGAACATTACAATGATCCCTGCTAAGAACATTTCAACTGATCCCTGCTAAGAACATTTCAACTGATCTCTGCTAAGAACATTTCAACTGATCTCTGCTAAGAACATTACAACTGATTCCTGCCTAAAACATTACAACTAATCCCTGCCTAGAACATTACAACTCATCACTGCCTGAAACATTACAACTGATCCCTGTTTAGAAGATTACAACTGATCCCTGCTTAGTACATTACAACTGATCCCTGCTTAGTACATTACAACTGATCCACGCTTATAACATTACAACTGATCCCTGTTCAGAACATAACAGTGATCCATGCTTACAACATTAGAGTTGATTCATGTTTACAACATTACAGCTAATCCTAGCTTGCTAGTTCACCATATAAAGACACAGGGAACAAACTCAAACCTGCAGAGGTCGTGTGCTAGCCATCAGCTTTGTATCCAGCAACCTAAAAATGCAAAAATTTCAGAATAATCTGACGTTTAGACGACAGATCAACATCATGGTACAAGGCCAGTAACCCATAAGCGCTCTGTATTTTTCTAACCCAAGCCTGAGTTAGAAGTGTCTCAGCGCAGTGCACGAACTGCATTGCACCAGCAAGGATCCTTAAATACTTTGGGAAGATTTTTAACTCGAAATTTTGCCCGGGCAGCGCTGTTAGACCACTCTTTTCGATTTCCAACTGCCGAGGGATTTTTTATGTGCGCAACAATACACAAGGGCGTCTGATATTACTACCCAGAGACCAGGAAAAATTACTAGAAGTCCACATAAAAACATCCCGGCCTTCACTGGGGTCTGAACTCAGGACCTCCAGCACTCGAGGAGGATGCCATACCCCGAGACCATGCAGTCCCCTCAGAATAATCAGCATGGCAGAAGCATAACAGTAGCACATTCTTCTGCATTCATCCAAAGATGTAAATGTGCGGTGTCCGTTTACAAGGCTGTGGTATTTGTGCCCTTCATGTGAAAAAGTCCAACTTCCACAGACATTCGTTGCCCGGGTTAACAGTCTGTGGTCATCTTTACTTCTTAGTTCACAGGTGGTTTTCCCTATCCTAGCTCCCATCAGACCAGTCAACAACAGCCAAGCAATTCTGGTGAGTCCTCAAGATAAGGTAGGGGCAGAATATGAGCAACCTCGGCCATCCAAGGAGACTTCCATAAAAGCAGAGTCAATGCATGGTGCTCTGGTACTGGGCTCACCCAAGAAACTAGCAGGAGACAGCCTGTAGACATGGGATTTTGATTCTTCTTCTTCAGCATTCCGAGCCCTTGAGGTTCTCACCTGCAGACATCCCCCGCCTCCATTCATCTCTCTGATTGACCTTCTCTTTCTAGTTGGTGACACCCAGTGTTTGCAGGTCTGTCTGGATATTATCTCTCCATTGTCATCTTGGTTTGCCTCGTGGGATTTCAATTACCAACACAAACTAAGTACTTTCCTTCTCACTCATGTTAGACTTTTACTGAGGCCGATTATGTGCCCACTAAAGTTTCATTAGTAATACATTCAATAATGTAGAAAGAAACTATTACTAGTGGTTACCACAGAACATTTGACTGCTATTTCAGAATAATTTCTCCTCACATAGAACTTGAACTTCTTTACAAGTATAGCTTTTAATGACATTTTCTCTGTGTGGGTTCCTGGGCACCCTTTAAGAAAATAAAGAACAGACCCATTATCCATAAAAAGCATGTCATAAGAGGTGACTAAATAGGGGTGTTTCCTTGAAAGTCGGAGTGAATACCTACCTGAGAAGGAAGAAACCATCAGTCTGCATACAAATATGCCAGATCTGCAAAAACAGATGGGCAAGCAAAACTCAAGTTCTGGATTAGATCAAAGTCTAGGAGTGGACAAACAACCAGAACTTTCCACTAGTGTTTACAGCTAGACCATGAACAGGCACAATGACAGTAATATACCCCCCCCCCCCCCCCCCCCCCCACTTTTTGAAGATTTCCATTTTCAGATTACAATCTCTTTAACTCTGTGGGTTCCACTGTAAGAACATTTTAGCTGTACTTTAATCAAGTGTCCTCAATGTGTGCCGCATCACGGACCAGAACTTTTTCCTTTGAATTTACACAATGACTACAAAAGAATGAAATAGACGACTAAACATTATGAAGTTACCTTGGAAACACACTTTTGGTGACAGCCTTAAATTCCTCCAAATCCTGAAACAATAACAAGAAACAATTTTGAGTTAAAAGGACAAAACAGCAATGAAATATATAAATAGGGCCCACAGAACATATGCTGGGAAATTAAATCAATTAACTCTTAGAACACCATGCTTGGGGATCGGTGAGAATCAATGTAGGTCAGGTTGACCCAATGTAAAGTGAGTAGCAGAAAATATTCTCTTACAAGACTCATTCAGAATTCCTCACCAATTAAACCCATTATTTCTCATTACTGTGTAACTCATAATTTCTCATCACTGTAGCCTAGAATTTCTTACCATGAAACCTATAATTTCTTACTGCTATGACCCATAATTTCTTACCAGATAACCCAGAAAATCTTACTGCCTAACCCAGAAATTCTTATCACTGTAACCCAGACATTCTTACCACTGATATAGTTAAGAATTTATTTATCCCCAACATAACCTAGAATTTCTTACTGCTACGCCTGAGAAATGTTACGCAACACCTCAAAATAGCACGACTCAACATTTTCAGATAAACACAAACATAAATGGCCATTCACAAGAAATGAACTGTCATCACTTACTGCTGGCAGCGTTCCGTGGAAATTGTTCAGTATGTGAAAGACATCAAGAAACATGTTGTGACCAACAACCAACTTTCCCTGGAATAAGAAAACAATAAAGTTTACAGTATGGTTTTCTACTTTCAGTCAGAAAATCAGCCTAGATGAAACTTTTTTTTTTAAGAACAGGGTCTTAAATCATACAAAATGAAATAATTATTACATTCAACTAACAGCAGCTGTATCTAAATGAGCTCAAATAATAATATCAAAGTAGAATATAATAAAATAAAAAGCAAAAAGGTCAAAAGAACAACTGAATGAGTTAAAATGACAATGGAACAAGTTAAAATAACTTAATAAGCTTTAACAAGTGAATAGTTAAAGATCAATAGAATAAGTTAAAAAAACTGAAAAGTTAAAATACGATTGAATAAGGTATAATATCAATAGAATGAGTTAAAATATTAATCGAGTAAGTTAAAATATCAACAGAATAAGTAAAAATAACAACCGAAAAAGTTAAAAATTACTGAATAAGTTAAAAACTGAATAACAACTGATTAAATTAAAAATAACAACTGAATAAGTTAAATAACACATGAACAAGTTACAAATTCAATGGAATATGTTGAAATAACAACCTGGCTAAGATCATAGATAATTTTTTTTTTTACTTTCAGCATCCACAAGTGGGTTGTGGGACACTATTTTGAAGGAAGAGAAAAAAGCCTCAATGCCTCCCACAACAACATCTCGTAAAAGGCAACTAATTAAGAGTTAGGCCTCCAAAGGAAGCGCATCTGCCTGAGCGGCAAGGAGTCAACAATCTGCACACAAGCAGACCGTCTCTGTGCAAAATTAAAGCTATGGAACAAGACTGAAGCTCAGAAGTGGACACAAAAAACCCAGGATTTTCAGCTGAAGTTTACAGACAGTGAACGCTAAGACGAAGCAGAAGCTCTTTATCAGCATAACCACAAGCACCACATACATCTGCTGGCAAAGACTAAACACCAATGAGACTGCTCTCAGTGCAGCGAAAGATTATCCAAGTGATAATGAAAAATGTATCCTAATCAACTGTAAATAGCTACCACATTCGTGACCTACTTACAGATGATGTTATAGCTCTGATGACCTTTGTAAATCCGACCTGAATATCAAGTTCCATCTGAAATATCAGAATAAATGTATCTCAACACATGATACTGTTAAAAAAAAGGGATGGCAAGAATCTAAACTCAACACATGACAGTGTTACAAGATGTGACTGCAAGAATCTTATCTTAACATATGGAAGTGTTTAAAAAAAATATGACAGCAAGCATTTTATCTTAGGCTACGATAAAGCATAACAACAAGAAGTATACCAGGACAATCCTTTACTGTGTTGTGGTTTATAGCTAGGCTGTGATATATGCAGCTTTCGAGTCAAAACATCAGTTTGTAGAAAACCTTAATCAGCTGTCTTTTATAACATGCTTATTAGGTGGTAGTGAGTCTCTTCCCCGCCCCCACCCCTTCCAAAAGGAGCACCAGAACGCACACAGGGAACAGAGATACACAAAGAAAAAAAATATTTATACACATAAATATATATATATATATGGTGGTAGAGGGCAGCAAATTGAAGTCCTGTCTGTTCTGGACCTGGTACCTGAGAGGGTTAGGGGAGAGAGAGAGTCATGAAGAGAGAGGAAGACACATGCTGAGGTAGGCTGGGAGAGACAATGTAAAGATGGACAGATGAAGGTAGAGAAAAGAAGGAAAAGAAGTCTGGGGAAGGAGGAAAAAATGAGAGGGAGGGATGGAGACATGATGAGGAAAAGTGGGGAAGGGACAGCGAAAGACAGAGAGGGAGACAAATACAGAAAGAGGGAATGCAGATACAGAGATGGGCAGATGAAAAGAGAAGGAAAAAGGGAACGAAACAGAGATATGGAAGGAGGAAAATATGACAAAGAGTTGAAAGAAGGGAGACAGAGGGAGAGAGAGCGGACAGGGTGAGAAGCAGATGCAAGCAGAGAGAGATATAGACATAAAGGAGAGAGAGACAAAGGGACAGCACAGAGAGGCAAGCAGACAGAGGGAGAGAACCAAAGAAAGAGAAAAAAGGCAGAGCAGGAGAATGGGAGGGAGGTATACAAAGAGGAAGTGATGAAGGGAGGCAAACAGACATAAAGCAAGAGAGAGAGAGAGAGAGAGAGAGAGGTGGGTAAGGAAGGCAGTGACAAACACAGACTAAGAGAGGGGGGCAGGAAGGGAGACAAGATACCTCAAAGAAAAAAAACAGCCACCTACTCCCCCCCCCCCCCCCCCCCCCACACACAATTTCAAGTGTAGTGGACACAACCACTAGGAAAAGATAGTTATGGGGCAAAAAAAATACGTAGATGAACCAGTAAAAAAATGGGGGGGGGGGGGGGGAGAATGAGAGAGGGGAGCGGGTAAGGAAATCTAGAGAAAATGAAAAGACAGGATGGAGAGGAGACAAAGAAGAGATGGGACAGGAGAAAGGGCAAGGAAAGGAAGAGAGGAAGAATGGAGAGAGAAAGGAGAATAGTAGAAGATCAAAGGAAAGAGAAGGGGTGAGAGAAGAAAGGTAAGACACGGTTGTGGGGGGGGGGGTGTAAGAACAATGAGTGCCAAAAATAGAATTAGGAAATCTCTAAGTGAGGCCACTTTTCCGGTTCCTACCCTCTCCCAATGTGAATATCGCCGTGGTCCAAAACCAACAGTGCTAACCCCTACTGCCCCTTGCTTGTCCTATCTGTGTGTGACAACAATAATTCAATTTCTTACACTTAAGGCTGGTGACCTGAGAGCCAAGGTCATTTTATGAAGAAGAAAAAAGTCCAGGGGATCCCAACCCACCACTGGTGGAAAATAGAGAAGTTTACCCACACACATAAATAGGTCAGACACATAATTAGGTCAGGGCAGCAGTGGACTTCGTTTTATTTCTGGTTTTCCAATTACAGAAAGGAGGGGAGAGAGGAGGTGGTGGAAAGTGGTGTAGAAGGATAGGTGGTAAGGGTGAGACAGAGGAGGTGAGAGAATAAAGTTTAAGAAAATAAAGTGGGAATGAGACAGGGAGAGAAAGAAGGGAGTAAGAAATAAGATGAGATATAGAGGGAAGAAGGTAGCAGGAAGGGGTGCACTCCCTCCCCTAGGTGTCATCAATGTGGGAGGAGAAAAAGGGGGGTGGGGGTGACGGCAAATGTGTTTTTAAAAGTACACATATATTTAATGTGTGTGAGGGGGGAATGGTGGACATGAAATGTTCTGCACTAGGCAACACATAACCTTCTACACCAACTGAAGGTATGGAGAAAGAGAGAGAGAGAGAGAGAGAGAGAGAGAGAGAGAGAGAGAGAGAGAGAGAGAGAGAGAGAGAGAGAGAGAGAGAGAGAGAGAGAGAGGGAGGGGTGAGGGAGAGTGGCAAATACAAAGAGAAAGAGGAAAGCAGTGACACAGACAGGCAGAGAGTGAGGAACAGGTAGGACAAAATGTGAGGGGGCGGGAAGGGAGATGGACAGAGATTAAGGCTGCTAGGAAAACAAACACATCAAAAGAAAATATCCACCATGTTTACACAGAATGCCCCCCCCCCCCCCAATACAACTTCCTGTGTACTTGAGTTGCTAGGAAGAGTTATGGAGCCGCACATTTACTAAACATTTAAACAAGAAATAAAATAGGAAAAAGGGGGAGGGGGGACAGGAAATGAGAGAGTAAAAGGAAAGATAGAGAGAAAGAGAAGAAGAAGATCAGAAGGGAGGGTTAGAGACAATGCAGGAGACGGAAAGGAAGGAGCAATAGGTAGAAGAGTGAAAGAGGGAGGGAAGAGAGAGAGAGGGGTGAGACAACAGAAGAGGGAATCTCGGGGAATTACAATACTGATCTCCAAACACACTGTAAAGATAAATCCAGGCCAAAAATAGAACTGGGAAATCCAGCTGCAGTCACTTTGCTTAGCCCCAATGCCATCTCTAATTAATAGAGAAGGCCGGCGACTCTATTTAAAAATACAACTGAACCGAGCCCCACCATCTCCCAATGTAATCCTTTCTAGAAACCACTGCCATAAACGATTTATACTGTTCATTCTGCTGGACTTTCTAGAAACAAAGGCACACACACGCGAGACAGAAGCTGCTCCTTCCCGCCCCATGTCACACCGCTGCTGTCTGCATGTATTCATGATCTGCAACAAAGCCCGCCCTCCCCTGGCCTTTAACAAGCCATTTCGGCTGAAAATAGCCAATAATCAGCTGCCCTCACACCTGAAACGACCATACAACGAAAGTAGCCAAAAACTAGCCAAATGGCCAAAAAAGCCAAATGGCTCCCCCAAAATTGCCTGTGCTAAAAATTACAGGATTTCTAACGATTTCATTGCCGCGGTCAAAATTCACGGCTTTTCAAGGTCGGAATGTCTTTTATAAGCTAAAAATTCCGGTTCAAGGTCAACGAAAAAAATCCCGGTAATTTCCCGATTTCCCGGTCCACTACGAACCCTGATATATATATATATATATATAATACAATGATACCTCAGCTATCAAATGTTTCATCAAATGCAGATGTATTTTTTGCCATCTTTCAGCCTCAGCTAATGAATTTAGATTCAACTAATAAATGTTTTGGTGGATGTGTGCACTAATATAACGTGACAGTACTGTGTACTACATTTTCTAACCTCCGGTGACATGGATTGAGTTCTTTCATAATATCCTAACCGCAGATGACATCACAGGACAGTCCAACATTTAAGAGGGTGGTAAGACTGGGTTTCCTGGCTTTCTGATGCTTTTAACAATCCCAAAACACCTTGAACTGGCCCTAACCCCAACCCACCTACGTCCCACGAGAGAGTGCAGTCTAGGTCTCATGACTGCATGAAATATTAGACTGTCCCGTGACCTGTCGATTTTCCCTGTTTGGGGTAGGATATTAGGAAAGCACCTGGATTTTTTACAATAATTCTTCAATTTACAAAATAGAGTTTTAATCTATCCTATTCGGTTCTTTATCTACCCATCTATACAAATACACACATAAACCTTGAATAGCCAGCTACCTTTTCTAAGTTTTGTTTTTCCTTCAGCAGTTTCTGCTGCTCCTCTGGACTTTTTGCTCTGGTCACCTCCATGTATCTGATTTTCTTCTCTCCTGTCTTTGTTTCAATGTGAGCATCAGGAAACCTAGACAATATAAAATGTACTGGAATAAACCACTCATTTGTTTAACCCTCTTGTCCCAGAGAACATCCAAAATCAACACAAAATGTGTCTTGAGCCAACTGTAATTCCACAAAAAATCCTTTAGGAAAAACAAATTTACTCTGGCCACCAAGAAATTCATTTAAAATAAAGGTGTTCAGCAGGAAGTAATCAATAAACACAAACAGGGTGAAGCATTTAATGTAAAACATTTTCCAGGGCATTTTAACTCTTTGAGTCCCAGGGGGTTTAGCATCACAGGCCCAGGGGGTAGTCAAGAAAGTCATAAAATCTGCGCATCGTGCATTTGTTGGGCTTCCAGTTAGGAACCTATGAATGTATGATGTGCTCCTTGGGACTCAAAGAGTTAAGAAAAAACATGCATCTAGTGACTTATATTATAAAAGGTGACTAATTAAGGGTTAGCTAAAATCAGCACAAAGAAGCAGCCTAGCTGTAAACTACAACCAGATTTAGACTTATGAGATCCTATAATGCCCTGAAACCATTTTAAATTACACCAGTTCACCCCAGGAAACTTAAAATAAAGATGTCCAGCAGGAAGTAATCAATAAACCTAAACAGGGTGAAGCATTTAATGTAACACATTCCCCAGGGCATTTCTGAAGGGGAAAAAACATGTATCTGGTGACTTACGCCCTGACCTCTACCACTGAAGCTAAAGGGAAAATGTTCGAGACCCAAGTCCAGAAGTGGATGAACAACCAGGTAGGTCCTTCCACTTGAGTTAACAGCTGGTGAATGCTTAGAAGAAGAAGAAGAAAAAGAAATGGGGGAAGGGGAGAAGGTAGTTCTTTTCCTGCCTTGTATCTCCTAAAAAGCAAAGGTGTCTTATTTCATTCAAATAAATAAACACAGCGCCGGTCAATACATTGTCTCTTTATTTACTATAGTTCACACAAAGACCTTTGTTCACGATTGGGTAAATTTTTGCTCTATGTTTAGCTTAATTAGAGAGCCAGTCTCATACCAATCCTCCTTAGTTGTAACTTATGGCATGCAGGTTAGGTTTACATTACTTTCTTTATAACCCTTGGTAACACACAGGTGACAAAGGTACTTCTTCTGACTTCCCAGTGGAGCATAGGCCCTAAAGCAACTAACGCAAAGTCATTCTATCCTGTGCTATTGCATGCAGCTCACATATCCCCCAATCTTTTCAGCTTTTCTCTCTAGCTCTTTTCCCTATATGTTTACTGGTCTTCCTTTATTTCTACTTCCCTGTGGATTTTAGTACAAAGACATTCTACATAATTTTTGATTTTCTCAACGTGTGTCCCAGTTTCTCTTCGCCTCTCGATTCACCGTAATTTGTTCAATTCTCCCCCAAAGCTTGACATCAGTGAGTATATCATAACATTTAATTTCAGTTATAACAATACTACGGTTCACTGCTTTCTTCACAGGTCTGGTACTTACCTCTCTTCAACTGTCTGATAAATGAGTTTTCGTTGAAATGCATTGCAAGGGGGAATAACCAATGGTTCTTTATCCTGACCCTTGAGATACTCTGCGATCTGTTCACTGTGGACAGAAAGAACAAATGGAAATATGTTGTCATTCCTGAAATAATATACCCCAACAAATTAATAACATCAGAACATTTTGGAAAGCGAGAAATGGGGAAACCGTTAAAATAAATAAAAATTTTATATATATAAATATATATATAAATATATATATATATCTTCTTCTTCGCGCTCACCAGCTGTAAACTCTGGCGTAAAGTTCTGGTTGTTTATCCACTTCTGGACTGCAGTCCTGTTCCAGAACCTATGAGTTATGTGTGCATCTGTTTTACAGATCTGACTCATTTGTATGCAGACTGCTGATTCCTTGCCTCTCAGGCAGATGCACCCCAACTTCAAAGGAAGCTCCCAATTAGTCAACTCTTACGACGTGCTTTTAGGTAGGCAGTGGGTCTATTCTTGTTTTCTCTATAATAGGGCCCCGAAATCCACATGGGGAAACTATATATATATATATATTTTAAACTGCATTTGTGAAAACAAACTATTTTTTTATGCCCTGCAGACTGTGAGGCCCTGAGCAGTAGCTTATTTAGCTTGTACTTATATCCGGCACTGACTACAACAATGTACAAGCCATTTCTTTTTAAGCCCAAACACAACTTACTTTGATACTGCATTCTGAAAGACAAAGTTTTGTAATGATTATCACGTCTATTTTCCTGCTAGAAGTTCTGCAGAGAGAAACCCCAGCCATATGAGATCAAATCCTGTGCAATGGGGTCAATCCTCTCGACTTTCTATTTTTCTGCTCTTAGACTAAGATCTTTGTTTTCAACTGCTATTCTAATTATATTCATCATTTCTTGAAACTTCATTTCCTTGTTTTAGGTTCAATATACAGAAACTGTGTGCTTTTGTTTTAGTCAAACCATGCTGTACTTTTAATCAAAATATGTTTTATTTTTCATCAAAGTGTGCTGTTTTGTTTTTCATCAAAGTGTGCTGTTTTGTTTTTCATCAAAGTGTGCTGTTTTGTTTTTCATCAAAGTAAGCTGTTTTGTTTTTCACCAAACTGTGCCGTTTTGTTTTCCATCAAAGTGTGCTGTTTTGTTTTTCACCAAACTGTGCCGTTTTGTTTTCCATCAAAGTGTGCTGTTTTATTTTTCATCAAAGTATGCTGTTTTGTTTTTCAAACTGTGCTGTTTTGTTTTTTATCAAAGTGTGCTGTTTTGTTTTTCATCAAAGTGTGCTGTTTTGTTTTTTCATCAAAGTGTGCTGTTTTGTTTTCCATCAAAGTGTGCTGTTTTTTTCCTCATCAAAGTGTGCTGTTTTGTTTTTCCTCAAAGTGTGCTGTTTTGTTTTCCATCAAAGTGTGCTGTTTTTCCCCCATCAAAGTGTGCTGTTTTGTTTTTCATCAAAGTGTGCTGTTTTGTTTTTCATCAAAGTGTGCCATTTTGTTTTTCATCAGTGTGCTGTTTTGTTTTTCATCAAAGCGTGCTGTTTTTTTCCCATCAAAGTGTGCTGTTTTGTTTTTCAAACTGCTGTTCTGTTTTTCATTAAAGTATGCTGTTTTGTTTTTCAAACTGTGCTGTTTTGTTTTTCATCAAAGTGTCCTTTTTTTTTGCCAACTGTGCTGTTTTGTTTTTCAAACTTTGCTGTTTTGTTTTTCATCAAAGTGTGCTGTTTTGTTTTTCATCAAAGTGTGCCGTTTTTTCCCCATCAAAGTGTGCTGTTTTGTTTTTCATCAAAGTGTGCTGTTTTTTCCCCATCAAAGTGTGCTGTTTTGTTTTTCATCAAAGTGTGCTGTTTTGTTTTTCATCAAAGTGTGCTGTTTTGTTTTTCATCAAAGTGTGCCATTTTGTTTTTCATCAGTGTGCTGTTTTGTTTTTCATCAAAGTGTGCTGTTTTTTCCCCATCAAACTGTGCTGTTTTGTTTTTCATCAAAGTATGCTGTTTTGTTTTTCAAACTTTGCCGTTTTGTTTTTCATCAAAGTGTGCTGTATTTTTAAAAATGTGCTGTATTTTTCATCAAAACTGCACTGTGTTTTCATCAAAAGCATGCTGTATTTTTCATCAAAAGTGTTACCAGATGTTGTCAAGAAAAGGTTTCTGCTCCTCAGGGATCGATGCATAATTCTTCTTGGCACTTCCCTGATAAGGACTTGTGAGTAACCCGGAGCCTGATTTTCTAGCCTCTTCATGCTTACGTTCCAGTTCAGCCTTGAGTTTGTTCTCTTCATCAGGTATCAAGAATGGAATGCCTTGTCAAAACAAAAAACATATATAAGCTTAACTACAAAATATTTTATGTGACAGATCATTTTACGAAATGATATGATCTGTTATAAAACTTGTTTTGATGTCACAAAATGTGTTCGATGATATGTCATAAAACATGTAATGTGATAAAATGTGTTACAATGATAAAATGTGCCATGATAACGTGTCATAAAACATGTAATGTGATAAAATGTGCCATGATAACGTGTCATAAAACATGTAATGTGATAAAATGTGTTTTGATGTGGAAAAAATGAGCTACAAAATTATCTTATGATGTGACAAAACATGCTGTGATTTAAAAAGTTATAGGAAAGGGTAAAATGGGTAAAATATATGAGATTCAATTAAATGTGTTACAAGGCAATGGGTGAAACCATGTATTATTCTGTTATTAATTCACACCAGAAAAACAAAATCTAAGCAAAACTTGCTGCTATGAGATTAACATTAAAACTGCTGTCACATTATTATTTAAATAAATGTACCTTCTTTGAACAGTTTGTTGAAGTCAAAGCCTTGGGAACAAAGGAAGTCTATGCTTGAGCTCTGTTTGAAACACATTAAAGTCCAGTTTAAAAAACAGTAAAAACCTCAGTCTAAACCAAACATTTAACGTCTAATTCTTCTTCTTCTTTGCGTTCACCAGCTGTAAACTCTGGTGGAAAGTTCTGGTTGTTCATCCACTTCTGGACTGCAGTCCTGTTCCAGAACCTGAGTGTTGCGTGTGCATCTGTTTGACAGATCTGACACATTTGTGTGCAGACTGTTGGTTCCTTGCCTCTTAGGCAGATGCACTCTTACTTCGAAGGAAGCTCCCAATTAGTCGACTCTTACGACATGCTTTTGGGTAGACAGTGGGTCTATTCTTGTTTTCCCTATAATAGGGCCCCGGAACCCAAACAGGGAAACCTCTAATTCAAAACAGCAATGATATTAATAGTAATAATTATAATAATGCAGCCAGACCAAACTGCACATGAGATATTTTAGAGTAGAAAAATCTGAAAGGAAAGTGAGGGGAAGACAAGAAAGAGAAGGATAAGCGGTGTAGCTGAAGCCACTTAACTCCTACCTGGCAAAGAAATCTCCTGTCTGGGGCATGTCGTGTCAAAGGTGTCGGGAAAATATAAAAATTATAGGGCTTGGCCTCGTATCTGGGGGGAAAAAAAGAACATTAAATAAAAAAATAATCAGATCATTATATCGCTTACACACTGGGCACTGTAGACTCAACAAATACTCAAATAAATTACGTATGAGCAAAGCAGCTCTCTGCCAGTTTCTTCGTACTGAACAGGTTCCAGAGCAAGATTGTTCTTTCCTAATGAAGCTGTCAATCATGTGGTCATACCCAGGAGGTCTGGGTTTCTCAGGTTCCCCCCCAAGCTTAGTCATCAGACCTCCTGGGTATGGCCACAGCTGGGGGGAGGAAACCTTGAGAGACATTGAGATGACATCTGAGTTTATGGCCCACAGTGGATTAAGTTCATGACCAAAGCCTGCAGCTGGTATCGACCGGGTATCTATGAATTATAAAGCATGTTCACAATGCCTAAGCCACAGACATCCTTGCACATAAGTATTAAAATAATGTAAATCCTACCGAAACATACCTTCTTTTTTCTTCATCTGCCTTGAAAGCGCACAGGCCAAACTGGATTAACAAAAAATCGGAGCACTCCTGGAAAAAACAAGTTGCAAAATCTATGCGTGTATATGTACACTTGAAAAAGTCCCCTAAATTCATTTTCAGAGCTGTTGTTTGTCACTGCAATATGCCAAACATCACATATGTGAATTCTTACTCCAAACAGGTCAAAATAAGGAATTATTTTTAATAAAACTACTTAATTTTCATTTGCCACTCATTGTTCAGAAGTGATTTTCTCTAGCAAGAATTTAGTACTGAGGCGACTTTAGTGCAGTGTAAACATTAGGTATATTTATTCAATTTGTGAAAGACGTATCACAAAGATTAAGAATATAAGAGAACGAACAGAACCGCATTTCATAAAATGAAAAGCATTCTATGCAATAAATTGCAAACAGTTCCTATTTCGGGGTCCTCTTTTGTGCAAACCCACTGCCCTCTTAACTCTTTGAGTCCCAAGAAACGCGTTACACGTTCATAGATTCCTACCTAGAGACCCAATGAACGCAAGATGCGCCGATTTTACGTCTTTCTTGACTACCTCTTGGGCCTGTGATGCTAAACCCCCCTAGGACTCAAAGAGTTAAATAGCATGTCATAGGAGGCTACTAGCTTGAGGCTTCATTCAAAGTCAGACTGCATCTGCCCCAGAGCCAAGAAATCAAAGGTGTGCAACAAATCTGCTTGCAGAACTCAAGTTGTGGTACAAGACCAAAGTCAAGAAGTGGACGGACGACCAGAACTTTCAGCTGGAGTTTACATGGGGTGAAAGCAAAGTAAGAAAAGAAAACAGAAAAAAAAAGAAGTGCTGATAGTGAAAGCTAGAACCTGAATTCTCAAATGTGACAGAGAACCAGTTTTAAATACTTGGCTGTTAAGATGTCACAACTTGAAAGAAGAATAGAAAGAGAGCTGGAGGAAGACAACAAGAGTAGATTCTTAATGGCCTTCTGTCATGGGTAGGGAGGGTAGGTTAGCAGCGAGACATCTGCCTGCTAGCCTGAATGTCTTGGGTCTAAGTTCACATTAAGTCAGGTCGTGAGTAAAATGAGTACCAGGTCATTCCCCCAGGTGGGTTCCGGAACCCCACTGCGGTGAAAATAAGTATGGACTCACTGCCTCCTCAACTAGCATGTTGTAGGAGTCGACTTCACAGTCAGAGTACACCTGCCAAGGAGGCATACACTTATGGCAGATGTGAGAAACGGATAAGCATGCAACCCTCAAGTTCTAGAAAAAGACTAAAGTCTGATCCCCCGTGTGGGTTCCGGGGCCCCATTGTGGGGAAAACAAGAATAGACCCACTGCCTCCCCAAAAGCATGTAAGAGTCGACTAATTAGGGAGCTTTCTTTGAAGTCGGAGTGCATCTGCCGGAGAGGCAAGGAACCAACAGTCTGTATTCAAGAGAATGAGATTTGTAAAACTGATGCACACACAACACTCAGGTTCTGGAGCAGGACTGCAGTTCATTATTGGACCAGAACTTTCCGCCAAAGTGTACAGCTGGTGAACGCGAAGAAGAAGGCTAAAGTCTGATGAACACCCAGAACTTTCCGACGGAGTTTACAGCCAGTGAACACGAAGAAGCACCAGGCAATGTCCTGGGAAGTAAAGGTGGTCAGCATGACAGTGATCTCCATCACCCACTGACAAGTCTATACAAATATGAGTGTGGCACCATGCACCTGAGGGAGTCACCGTGGCATAGCAGCTAGACGCTCGCCTGCGGATCGAAAGGTCGTGGGTTTGCTCCCTAGCTGAGCCCGACTCTTTTTCAAAAATGGCCTTGGCTCCCAGCCATGAGTGGATACCAGGTGCAGTCCTGGGAAGTAAAGGTGGCCGGCGTGATGCTGACCACATCACCCATCTTGTGCCGATTGGTATATAAAAATATAGGTCTAGAACTACAAGCCTAAAGGCGTGGAAAAGGGTCCTTTACTTTATTATGCACCTGACGAGCCACCGCAATTAAAAAAAGGGTCTTTTATTTCCTTTGCTTTATCACATGGCGTGGGAGGATATGGAAAAATCCTAGGAAAGCAACATCATCCAAACAAGCATGGGTGTATTTAGGCTTAGGCTTTTGTAGAGCTGAATTCCTGTGTGATTCTATGACCCTATTCTGGGGAACCCAAATAACCAAACCCACAGCTCCCCTAACAAGCAGGTCGTACAAGGTGACTCATTATGGGCGTTTTCTTCAAAGTCGAAATGCATCTGCATGAGAGGCTAGGAACTAACAGCCTGCATTAAAAAAAAATAGGATAGAATTGTAAAAGGGATGTGCATGCAAAACTCAAATCTGAAACAAAAAAGTCCAAAAGTGGATGAACAACCAGAACTTTCCACCAGAGTTTACAGCCAGCGAACACAAAGAGAAGAAGCTGAGGTAGTGGGCGTGAAGGGATATGGTCAGACTTCAACAACAGTCTTTGTGCTGACTTATCTAATTGAATGGATGAACACATATATGTTGGAAATTTAAATCATGGCTGACAAAATACGAACATTAAATTATGCATACAAACATACATTCATTTACTAATTTATCCTTTCACCAACATATACATGCATACCTGCAAAGGATACCCACATGAATAAATATGCACACTTTGGTAGGAGTAGAGAGAACTTCAGACATATACACACACACATATACATACATACATACATATATATATATATATATATATATAGAGAGAGAGAGAGAGAGAGAGAGAGAGAGAGAGAGAGAGAGAGGGGGGGGGGGGGGAGAACAGAGTGGGAGACAGAATAAAATTACAAAGCATGGGAAAAGCACAATACTAATAATCGAAACAACAAACCGATTTTCCTGAGACAGTAATCTATGCTAGAAGGTGTTTATATTTACATTTTATCGAATCCGGATCGGACCACCAACCCCAACCTACCTGTCTGATTTTATTGTATCTCTCTTCTGGTGTGTCAAAATGTGAGGCATGTCCTGAAGCAGTAGCATCAAGACCTGTGAACATTGATAAATTAATATAACAATAACATTAACGAATGCACTCAAGCGTCTTGTATATGGCAACTATGTTTGCGGGGGGGGGGGGGGGGGGTTTAATTCCCCGGTGGAGCATAGACCCTCAAACAACTTATGCCATGTCTCATCCTTTGCCATCACAGACAGCTCACCCCAAGTCCTTCCCACCTTTTAAAATTTTCAATTCTATAGTTCCCTTCTTCGGTTTTTTTCATGCATTTATTCCTATGACCCTGTGCAAATGCATTCTAGTTATCTATAAGTTTTCTAAAAATTTGTCACATCCAAAATCTTTTCCTCACTATGAGTTCCCTGGAATTTACTTTGATTTTATAAAGGTGGATCTCCACAGCGAAGGGTCTAGCCACATGTCTTGTATTCTGCAGGTTTTAGGTTAATTTTCGGACTGTTCAATTTTGTTTGTGTGTTTCTTCTTCTTATGCGGTCACCATCAACATGGCATCACAAGCTGTGGTTTACAGCTGGGCTATGATATTTGCGCCTTTTGGCAAAACACATCCGATTTCAGGAAAACTCTAGTTGCTTTTACAACACATATCTTAGAGGGTAGTGAGTCTGCTCTTCTCTCCCCTTCCCCTCCCAAATAGTAACCCTGAAACCAGTGCAGGGAATACAGTGACATGATCTGCTGGAGTCCTATAAATATTTGAAATAGATATGTTCCATCCATATGTTACCATTACTTGCCTCTTAGGCAGATGCACTCAGATAAGAAAGCCCCTAAGCAGTCAAATTATTCGACATGCTTGTTAGGGGGCTGTGGGTCTATCCCTTCCCCCTTTCCCAAATGGGGCCCTAGAACCCGTAGGTTGCAGTGTGGAAGCCATAAGAGTATCTGGTCTGTGGACAGCTTCCTTTCAATCCCCTGAAAATGCAATCCTTAATGAATGGGAAGTTCAATAAATGGACATGAGGTTAAGCAGTCAAATGTCAGGATTCCTTGAGTGCACCCAGTACCAGAGAGTCATGTATCATCTCATGCCAATGTTCATTTGTCCTTCTTATAAAACTGGGAATACAGAAGACATGTACATAATGTTTTTTAAAAAGGCACATGCTAGTGTACATAAAACAGGCATATGCTAGTTACATCATCATCATCAAGTGCCCTGCCAGCTGGCGTAGGCGTTCATGCGTTGCCACAGATCTCGGTCTTTGGTGTTCTGGATCAATTCCACTGCTGATATTCTGCCATGCCACTGTCTTAAGCCATCCACCATCACTTCTCTTGGTCTGCCTCTGCCTCTTCTGTCAGTGATCCTTCCAGTCGTCACGATATTTTCCAGTGCTCCTTTTCTCTTCAAATGATCAAAGAACTTTGTCTTCTTCTCATTGTTTTATATAATGTTCTACTTTCATTAGCTATTTCCAGGCATTCAGTGTTGGTTATTCTGGTAGTTCCCCGTGTGTGTTCCGAGGCCCTATTGTGGGGAAAACAAGAATAGACCCACTGCCTACCCAAAAGCATGTCGTAAGAGTCGACTAATTGGGAGCTTCCTTCGAAGTCGGAGTGCATCTGCCTGAGAGGCAAGGAACCAGCAGTCTGCATACAAATGAGTCAGATCTGTAAAACGGATGCACACAAAACACTCAGGTTCTGGAACATGACTGCAGTCCAGAAGTGGATGAACAACCAGAACTTTCCGCCAGAGTTTATAGCTGGTGAACGCAAAGAAGAAGAAGGTTCTGACAGTCCAAGGTATTCGCAACATTCTTCTCAAGAACCACATCTCAGTTGCCTTCACTCTTCCTAATTTGTTTGCTCACATTCCAAGATTCACTATCATACAACAGTACATAGTGTACATAGAAACAGTTTATGGAATGCTATGAAGAACCTTGGAATACCAGATAAAGGTACAGGTGGGAAGAAGAAAATGGAAGCGGAAACAAGATCATGAAGCTTAAGGAAAAACTGGAAAATGCATCGCTATCACAAGTCTGACAAAGAAGAAAAAAGCAGAGAATATTGCATAGATAAAAGGACATATATTTACCTGTAAACTCGCCATCAATTGCAATGAAGGCACTCTCATTAATATCTTTGATAACTGTTTCCAACTGTTCACTGAAGGCTGAAACAATTTATTTTATTCATAAATAAACCGCCAAACATGACAAGAAAATACAAGCACTGCCTTTTAGCTTATACCCTGGGATGCAAAGATGCATCCATAAATGTGATGGTGCTTATGGATTAAGATTCAGACTGATCATGACTACGGTGATCATAAGTCCTGTTTTCACCGGATCAGAATCCTTTTTTTAGGTAGGTCCAGACCGCCCAGCCGATACCCAACTTCAACCTAGGCTTTTTTTTTATTGACGGGAATGTGTGGCTCTACCTAAAACCGAGACTGTCACTAAAATACTGTGACATCTCTGTGGTCATCTTAGAAACAGGGTTTCTATCGATAACACAGATAGGATTGTCATACCTTTTGAAGTCGGAGTGCATCTGTCTGAAAGGTAAAGAATGTCTAGTTGCAAACAGTAAGCTTCTTCTTCTTCTGCAGCCTTCCTAGCCCTTGAGGTTCATTGCTGCAGATATCACCCGCCTCCATTCATCTCTCTGGTTGGCCTTCTCTTTCCAGTTAGTAACACTAAGTGTTTGCAGGTCTGTCTAGACATTATCTTTCCATCGTCTTCTTGATCTGCCTCGTGGTCTATGACCATTCAGATCATTTGTGTATACAGTTTTTACCTCTCTGTCATTTGACATTCTCAATATGCCCAAGCTATTTCAGTCTATTAGATCAATGATGATTTAAATAGGTTATGAATTTCATTGTTGCTTCCCACTCTACATTCCCCGTTGTTTGCATCACTAATGTGTCCAAAAGATTCGTCTTAATACTCTGATTTGGAGCTCCAAGTTTCACAGCCCTGCCATATAAAATGATTGGTCTTATCGTTTTATATATTCTGATCTTGGTGTTGCGAGATAAAGAAAACAGTCAGCTAGATCTCAAAAACAGATGTGAACACAACATTGAAGTCCTGAAAGAACAAAGTCCAGGCATCGATGGCCAAACAGGACTTTTCCCTGGATTTACAGTCAGCAAACACAGAAGAAGAAAAGGCTTATACTTATATCGTGAGGTTCGCAGTTTGGGTTATGGGACCTCACTGCGGGAAAAACAAGAATAGACCTTCGATCTCCTCAACAAGCATGTCGTAGGAGTCGACTTATTGGGGGTATCCAGAGTACATCTGCTTTAAAGACAAGGAATAAGCTGGATGTGTGAAAGGGATGTGAATGTAACACTCAGTTTCTGGAACAAACTAAAGTCTGAAGGTGGATGAACACCCAGAACTTTCCAGCTGGTGAATGCAAAGAATCACCTTACCTCTTCATTCTTATGATGGATGATGTCATCAAGACCTGTAAGGAGAAGACAAAGAAGTACTCTGTAGGGTACTGGAAGATGAGACCAATCTGTATATCAGAGCTGGCATTTGCAGATGATGTGGCCCTGATAGCTAAATCAGAGGCACACCTTCAGCCTAACTTAATTGTCTGAAAGGAAGAGCTTGAGAAGAGAGGGATGACCATCAGTATCTCCAAAACTAAAACCATGATCTCAAGAGAGGAGAAGAAACACCAGATCATGATGGGACAATATACATTGGAGCAGGTCAACCAGTCGAAATACTTTGGATATGTATTAGACCAAAATGGAGGAATTTAGAACCAGCTGGCTACAAGAAAAGCAGCTGCTGGGAGACTCTTCCAGGCCATACACCGAGGGTTTCTTAGCAAAAGAGAAATTGGCAAGAGGACAAAAATGGCTGTTTACCGCTCTACCTATGTACCAGTCCTGACATATGGGTGTGTTATGGGCAATGACAACAGCTCACAGAAGAAATGTCCGCAATCAGACAATAAAGATCTTGATACCCAGTCCTTACAAACCCGAGTGGATCAGTCACAGTTACGATGGTTTGGTCATGTATGCAGAATGGGAGAAAATCGGCCACCATGGCAGGCATGGGAGGCTAAGAACCAGGGAACCAGACCTCCAGAACAACCCAGGGTGCGCTGGGAAGACAACATCCGACAGTCCCTAACTGACAGAGGAGTGGAATGGAACAAAGCCAGAAAGAAAACTGCTGATAGAGAAGTCTGGCGATCTCTCTGGCAAACCTCTACACCCCAAGGTAGAAGAGGAGCGACTAAGTAAGTAAGAATGCAAAAAAGATATCCCGAGGCATTGGTGTAGGGTCAAATATGTGCCAGATTCAGATATCCTACAGATGCAGCAGAAGACATCTTCCAGTGGGACATCCCAAGCAGTCACTAGTCTAGGTAACTTGTTTTACTTATCACATTTAGTTCCAACCATAACGTTCCCACATTATCCGCCTCTTTATTTCTCTTACCCATGTGTTTTTTGGCATGCTTTAGTACTTAAGTCCATTTTGCTCGTCCCTATATGGGTCGGGAAGAAACTGTCACTTTTTCTAATGTATGTAGTAACTTACTAAGGTAGTCGACGTCTGTGGCTAAGGCATTGCGAACACGCTTCGTAATTCCGGGGTGCCGGGTTCGATCCCAGCGCCTTGCGTTGGTTTTGACAGTGGTATCTCCCTGTGTGGGTTCTGGAGCCCTATTACAGGGAAAACAAGAATATACCTACTGCCTACCCAAAAGCATGTCGTAAGAGTCGACTAATTGGGAGCTTCCTTTGAAGTCGGAGTGCATCTGCCTGAGAGGCAAGGAACCAATAGTCTGCATACAAATTAGTCAGATCTGTCAAACGTATGCACACGCAACACTCAGGTTCTGGAACAGGACTGCCGTCAGAAGCGGACGAAGAACCAGAACTTTCCACCAGAGTTTACAGCTGCTGAAAGCGAAGAAGAGGAAGACAGTGGGATCGAGAAGCCGACCGTCCAAAAAGCAATGGCAAACTACTGGACGTAAATTTGCCTAGAGAAACCACAACAGCCAAAAAATGCTGGGGTTGGTTCTGCAAAGTCCTGTAAAAGATACGCAACTACTTAACTTAATGTAAGTAAGGTTACCAGTTTACTTTCAGTTTCAAATCAAAAGCCACCAGGGCAGTTGGTAAACTTTTTTTTACACTGACTGAAAGTCTGATGATAAAACTGCTCCCCCCCCCCCCCCCTCCCTTTTTTTTTTAACCTGCTTAAGTTCTTCATTAGATCCACACATTAGGTTTTGAGTATCTGGTGTTATTTCATTTACGCCGCAGTTTTAAAATTTACAAACAATTAAAAACTAGAGTTCCCGGCACTCTAAAATTTTAAAAAATTGATTGGTTTTATTTTTATTAATTTTACTAAGTAATTCAACCCAAACTGAACTTTTTTATTAGCAATGAATTACAATGTTACCTGATGAAATTAACTAAAACCGCTGCAAAGTCAGAACTTATTCTAAACTTACTGTGTCTGGTTATTTCCATCTTAAAATGTCTACAGTGAGAAAACACAACCAGCCTGCTCTCCACTTCTGCCGTCTTTCGTCGACCGGTGTTGTAGAAATATAACTCCCCAGACTGTTTTGTCAATCTCTAACAATGAATCATGTGTTCACAATAAATAAGATGAAATAAACAGATACATATAAATATTTTTTACAAAAGTTACTATTATTTAATATTCTATGTAAACATTTAATTCATAATTACTGTTGTGAGATATAAATGTATGCAGCGAATGAAGAATTACACAGGAGAATTAGAATGAGGACACCGGTGCCCAGCACATAGGTAAATGCGGATTGGAATAAAGTAACGTATTTTACATCACAGGCTCGTAAAGAAAAATTGCCTAACCTCAACCCAAAGAAATACTTGAAATAGTGATAAAAGAGCATCATTTTGTCAGTTCTTCTTTATGGAGCAGAATGATGGAGACTGAACAAAAAGGGATGCGTATAAGCTATCCACCTTCCACCCCACATGTCTGAGTTGTGAGATATGGGTTAGATTATCTTCACAGCACTCCCGACACATCCATAGGCGCTAAGATTCCTCTCTCAACATATTCATCAGCGTCGTGCGGTTAATAGTGCCAGTCCTATGTTGGTTAACTAGACTACGTGTGCGTAGTGTGCTTCTCATGCTTTTCTGTGCCGATCTTTACTCCCAATTCACGTATTCTTAGCAGTGATGTGGATACCTTGCTCCCCAAATCCTCAGAACGTCCTATATCTCTAAGGGCAAAGACAATGTCTGTGTGATCCATGGGCCGGTCATCTTTAATTAATGCAGGACCTGCCAGACTATCAGCTCTTTAATTACAACGCCTGCATTCGCTGGGACGAATATGGAGGTACAGTAGAACCTCGCTTAACGAGCACCTCGCATAACGAGTAAAACAAATTGTAAAAAAATGACTTGCTTAACAAGCGACGTTTCGCATAACGATTTGCGAGGAGAGAGGAAGTCCCGAATTGTGCGCATGTTGCATCAGTTAGTTAGTTAGTTAGTTAGTTAGTTAGTTAGTTGGGTTATCCTCATTGCACTCCGGACATGTCCATAGGTGCTCAGGTCCTCCCCTCAGTATGAACCCCAACGTCCGATGGCTAATAGTACCAGTTCTATGTTGATTAACAAGTCTTCTGGCGTGTCTGGTGTGCGTCTCGTTTTTTGCTGTGCCGATCTTAATTCCCAAGTCTGCCATTCTGGCGAGTGATGTGGATTCACTGCCACCAAAGTCCTCTATCCTTCCCATTTCTCTGAGGGCATTGATAATATCAGCATGATCCATAGGCTGACCGTCGGTAGTGATAGCGGATCCAGCCAACTTGTCAGCTCTTTCATTTCCATCGACGCCTGCGTATCCCGGAACAAAAATAAAGGTGACTCCACGCACAGTGGACTTCTGTAATGATTCAAGCCATTGTCTTCGCACTGAACCTGCCTGAACCCTCCGGATCATACTCATTGAATCACTGAGTATACATACACGGGTGTATTTTTGTGTTTCAAGCCAGGCAAACGCTTGCGTCACTGCCATCACCTCCATCGTCATGCTGCTGGTTGTCATGGAGAAGGCGCCGTTGGCTTCTTTGACTGTTCTGCCCGCTGAGCGTGCTGTAAATGCCCATGCGCTTCTTCTTTGGCGTATAACGGATCCGTCTGTATAGATTATTGCATCTGCTTCATCTGAATTTTCACCGATGAGAGCGTTGACCTCTGCATTAACAGCAACAGGATTCTCTTCTCTACATCGCCTGTTGAGTGTGACAATACAGGAAAATGTACAAATAAACGCCTGAGGCACAGGTATCCATTCTGCACCAGGTATGATGTCGGTTAGGCTGCATATTTGCATAATAACATCTTCTGCCAGACCTAGCCACGATTTTCCCCTCTTCAGTCTGTCGCCCTTTTCACTAAAAAGCGCTTGATGCAGTGGGTGTTTCTTATCAGCACATATTTTGAGATATGTTGCATCAGTCTGTGTTTAGCACTCGTTCCAGTAGCATCGTAGTGTCACTTGTGATCACACATTTTCTCAAACTTGTGTTATATTGTGATTTACATACATGATTCTTCCAGGCCTACAGGATGACCTCTCTGAAGAATTTAAGTTCATCAAGATCCAATTTCTGCTTTCTAACACCACTCCGTTACTCCAGCTCATGGACAAGCAAGTTATTTCTAACTTTAAGAAACTCTACAATAAAGCACTCTTCGAGCATTGTTTTCATGTGACTGAAGGGACCAACCTCACTCTCAAAGAGTTTTAGAGAAAAATCACGTCCACATCGTTGCCTGCCTCAAGATGATCGACAAGGCGGGAGAAGGGGTTACCAAGAGAATCTTAACTTCTGCCTGGAAGAAGCTTTGGCCGGAGAGTGTTATCTATTTTGTGACTTTGAGGGGTTCGAGACAGTGAAAAATGTAGTCAACGAGATTGGGTCTTTGGTCACTATCATGGGGTTGTAGGTGGATAACAGTTATATCAAAGAGCTTGTGGAAGAGCACAGCCAAGAGCTGCGTTTTGGAGGAAAGTTTGTCAGAGGAGGAGATAGCAGAAAAGCAACAATTTTCTGTCGAAATAAGAGAAATGCCGAAAGTATGGCAAACTGTTGCATCTTACATTGAGAAGCATCGCCCTAGTAAGGAAGTGGCTATGCGCGTTGCAAATCTATTTAATGATAATGCTGTGTCGCATTTTCGTCAAATTTTGAAGCGTCGGCAAAAACAAATCTCTGGACATCTTTATAGTACAAAAAAAAAAAAAAAATTATTAGCTATGTATCATAATTATTTCGACTTTTTTTTCTGCAAATCGAATTCGCATTCCTTGTGGGTTCGTTACGCGTTTGAAGAAAAGATGAAAGTGATCCACTTTCCTTAACAATATGTATATAATTTTCTTTGAATAAACGTTATACATAGCATTTTGTGAGTATCTTTTTCGACATGAAACGCATTATCGTATTTTACATTAATTTATATGAAAAAAACTGTTTCGCTTAACGAGTATGATTCTGGAACGAATTATGCTCGCTAAGCGAGGTTCCACTGTAATTGCACACACAGGAGAGTTTTGCAAAGACTCATACCACTGTCTGCGTAACCAGCCTGCCGTGACCCGCCGGATCATGCTTAAAGAGTCACTCAGCACACACGCAGGAATAGTCCTGTGATTCTAGCCACATAAAAGCTTGTGTCACCGTCATCACCTCCATCGTCATGTTGGTGGTGGTTATAGAGAAGGCACAGCTGGTTTCTTGAACTGTTCTGCCTGAAGAGAGAGCTGTAAATACCGATGCACTCTTATGTCCTCGTAAAACGGACCCGTCTGTGAAGATCACATCTGTCTTAAAAGCGCGCATACCTCGGCATTGACAGCATCGGGATTCTGCTCCCGACAACTCCAATTGAGCGTCACGACACAGGAGAATGTGAGATTGTGCGCTTTAAACGCTGGTATCCATTCCTCGCCTGGATGGATGTCTGTAAGACTGCAAACGATGTCACCCTCTGCCTTACCCAGCCATGATTTCCCCTCTTTTAAGCCTGTTGCCCTATTTTCTTTAATGTGGTGCAAAGGGTGCTTCAGATCTGAGCTTATCTTAGGGTATGAACGAGCCCTCCAGATCTTGATCATGTAGTTCATGGTAGGGAAGTCAAGAAAGTACCTCATTGCTACACAAGATGTGTCTCCAGTGCATCCCAGAATAATGCGCATTGCTTCATTTTGTACCTTCTCAAGTCTTTCAGTTTGAGAATGGGTGAGAGTGATTATGGCAAGAGCATATTCGATGGGAGAAAGTACAAGTCCCTGGAACAGAAGCAGACTCTGCTCAGTATAAGCGGCGGCCAAGACCCTCATTGTTGACACATGTCTACATAGAATTATCAAAATTTTCTGGCCAGATACAATCTCAAACACTAAACTACTGATAACCAAGAGAAGATGGAAATGGCTTGGCCACGTTATGAGAATGAATCCTGATAAACCTGCCAAACAGCTCTCACTTGGACACCATAGAAGAAAGAAGGAAGGGGCTCCCAAAGACAACAGGGAGACGAACGATGGAAAGTAAACTGAGTGCTGCATCTTTGACACGGAAAACCTCACTGAAGATTGCACAGGGCGGGACAGGAAGGCATGGAATGTCCCCTCTGAAGCCGCATGTGCCACTAGGCATAAAGAGAATTGATTGATTGAAAGAAATCACTACTTATATTACCACCGTGTGGGTTCCAGGGCCTTAAATGGGAAAAACAAGAATAGACCCACTGCCTACCCAAAAGCATGTCGTAAGAGTCGACTAATTGGGAGCTTCCCTCGAAGTCAGAGTGCATCTGCCTGAGAGACAAGGAACCAACAGTCTGCATACAGATCTGTCAAACGGATGCACACGCAACACAGGTTCTGGAACAGGATTGCAGTCCAGAAGTTGACGAACAACCAGAACTTTCCGCCCGAGTTCACAGCCGGTGAACACGACGAAGAAGAAGAAAACCGACTACTTATATCTAAACAAAGATATAAACAGAAATTAAATGTATACAGATAAAACTACTATGGAGAAAGAAATATGTTCACGAGGAAAGATTAGACGTTGTAGACAATTTTGAATATCTTGGGTCATTGATTGCCAACAATGGTGTCAGCTGAAAAACAGCTCCACACTGGATGCCACATGTTGCTTCTTAAAGAACTGGATGACTAATAAAAGATCAAGTTGCATACTGTCAACACCACTTTAGATTTTTAAAATGTAATAAAGATAAGAACATTTAATTTACACATCTTAACTGCTTCCACTCTATTTTAGCCTTATAAAAACAGGGATATGTGAAGACATTTCAGTTACTAAATTTCCCAACATGTGTTCTAACATAAGCCCCCCCCCCCCCATGACTGGAATTTTTACATGCTCTCTCAAGGTTCTACAACAGCGATGATCATTCCCACTATTCCGCACAGCAGCTATCAAATACTCAGTTCAAAAACATTACAATAGTGAATTATATTTACATTCAACTGTTATCTTTATTATGTATTCATTTCAATTCACACAAGACTTTCACACACCTTTCAAAGTCTCCTGTATAAAAATGTCACGGAACAAGGAATAAAATCCGTGTTTAAAAACAAAATGATTAATGACCACAAATGATGTTAAATACTGCTATAGTACAGCACAGTTCTAGAATGAAGCCGACCAATCGTCATATGACCATAGTGTGCAGGTTACAAGTGGTTACCTGAAATATAGTCATTCTGGCTAATTTTTTAAATAATTGAATCAGCTCATGGTGACTGAAAACAAAAACGACTATATTTTGCTGCACTTGCATAAAACAAGTGTCGGACAAATACAATTAATAAAACTCTTGGACAATCTCACAGCTAAACAGGCTAGATATACAGTTCCATAATGCAACGCCACCGTAACATTATGTAACAAATTCCCACTTTAAAAAATGTAGTTAAGTCATTGATATGTAGGCCCGAGTGTTTATAAATAGTGCTCTTTTCCGTGACTGTTCATAAACACAAGACAAATGCGCTTAAAGGCAAAAGGATGGACAAAATATTGATATTATTCAGATGCACATTTGCAATAACTAGAAGGCGAAGCAAAAACTGCAAAGCCAAGGCAGACACAGCCCCTGATACTGCGAAGAAAGAATATGAATAAAAAAATGTAAATAAGTGAAAATGTAAAAATACAAATATGTAATAAATAAATGAGGTCTGCGTCCACGTCGGCCTATCCTTCTAATTACTGTGGCCTACAAGGCTGTTAGGCCCCGAGATATCAAGACTGGTCTACATGATTCAAATGACTACTGCAAAGTAAACACAAATATGATGCGTGAAAATGGAGACGTAAAATGGTTGTGCGATGTGTTCAGACATTGACAGCATGTTTCAGCATCATGAAATTTAAAAAAAAATAAAGGTTGATTCATGACACAAAAACAAAATTAGTACAATAGTTTGTTAGACATAAATGACTTTTAAAAAAAAAAAATCCAAAAACATGCCTAGTGAAAATGGAGGAGCGGAAAATTTTTCAGACAAAAGCAAAATCATGGAGAATTTAATTATCTAATTTTGTGCTAGATCATGATAATGCCCAAGTAGTTATAACCAGATATATACATCAACAGTGGCAGTAAATTTCATGAAAATGATAATTGGCACATTTGTCTTTCCGGAGGACAGTGTTATGCTGTGCTAGGGAGGCATAGAAATCACAACTCATGGCGATGGCAAGTGACTAGCAAGACATGTTCGAGCTGAAATTTGTAAAAATGATATCTGATAAAACAGACACTATGTACAGGTGGTAGCCGCAGAAGAATCACAATAAAACAGGCACAGGCTGTTGAAAATAGTCTAACCAGAAGTAGTTTGGTCTCCATTGTCAACAGGCATGTTCTCAGCTCTAGTACCAACAAACAAAACAATAAAAAAAATTCCCACAACGTTAATTTCTCAGGAAGCTGGAGCCAAAATTGTAATTAATAGATGAGTTTCTTTGGTTGTTCCCATGTGAAGTCATTGCGACCAAAGTGGCCGTAACAGGCTGTCTTTTGGTAGATTGGTTTGCGCAGATCCAACTCCCTAGAAGAAACAAAAATGGACATATAGTAACAAGAAATAATACAACAACAAAAGTAGTAACAACAATACAAAAATGGAATATATTTTTGTTATAAAACGATTTCCACAAGACTATACAACATATGTGCTGCAGAGATGCTCTCTTCATGCAGTAAACAGCTCCAAGTCAAGTCGGATCAAAACCAAGCAGAATGTGTCTCTGGAATAATGTGTTGCACCACAGCCTTCACTGAGGTCTGTGACTTTATTGGGTAGCCACCAGTGCAGAGAACACAGAAATATGAAGGTTAAGTGTTCAATAGTGTCAGAATAGCAAGGGATACAAGTATATGCAACACCCCTTCCCTCAATTACTGTTCAAAAGGTTGGAGGGAAAGAAAGTTCTCAAAAACTAGTCAAACAACCAGAACTTTCCGCTGGAGTAAAACTAAGAAGATGAAATGATACTCACTTAACGATGCGTCCAGGTCGGAGGTCAAAGTTCTTTTTGACAATCTCCAAGAGTTCCTGTTCTGATTTCTTTGATGTCCCATAACTAAACACTGTGATTGACAATGGTTCGGCAATGCCAATGGCATAGGAAACCTGTAAAAATAAAACAAAACGTTACTGAACATTTCTAGGTTTCTGAATATTTACATAGATCATTATGTAGGAATTTAAAAAAAAATTAAGACAAGGTTGTGTTGCTGAGGTGTGGGTTGAATAAGAAAATAGATCCACTGCGCCGACCCACCATGATGCATAAGATGACTGATTAGTGGTGTGTCCTTGAGTCCGCATATCTTCTTCTTCGCGTTCACCAGCTGTACACTCTGGCAGAAAGTTCTGGTTGCTCGTCCACTACTGAACTGCAGTCCTGCTCCAGAATTTGAGTGTTGCTTGTGCATCAGTTTTACAGATCTCTTTTCTCTTGAATACAGACTGTTGGTTCCTTTGCCTCTCCAGCAGATGCGCTCCGACTTCAGTCGACTCTTACGACATGTGCTTTTGGGGAGGCAGTGGGTCTATTCTTGTTTTCACCACAATGGGGCCCCAGAACCCACACAGGGGAGTCTGCATATAAATAAGAGCAGTTGACCCGAGCACACTCCGTAACACCCAAAGTGCAAAGATGAATGTAATAACATAAAAGAACCGTAGCTGGATATACCCACTTCCAGTCTTGCTACATACAACGATTGTGTTGATGCAGTATGTCCACATATGATCACGGTTAGGTTTGTTGTTTTCTGGATACATAGGGGATGTATATCTCTAAGGATGGAGTTTTACATTAAAAGACTGATAAACAAAAGACTATGAATGAGAAAGAGTTGAAAGAAATGAGATGTGAAATATTCTGGCCACAAATGTTGACTACTTGTGTGGAATCATACATATGTCAATCAACTGTTTTTTTTTGGGTCAAGCAGGGAAAAGGCAGACCAAGACATGCTAGATGGTTCAAGATGTAAATAAAAAAAAATTTAAAAAATGATCAAAAACAAGAATGAGATCTGCACAAAGTGAACATGCATACATATGAAGGAAGCTTACCTGTACAAGAACACGCTTGCAGAGACCAGCCTTGACCAGAGATTTGGCGACCCAGCGAGAGGCATAAGCAGCAGATCTGTCCACCTTAGAGAAATCTTTGCCAGAAAATGCTCCGCCCCCATGGGCACCCCATCCACCGTAAGTGTCCACAATAATTTTACGTCCAGTCAATCCGGCATCTCCCTGTGGGCCGCCGATGACAAACTTCCCTGAGGGCTGCAGATGGTAAACTGTGCGGTCGTCCAGATACTTGGAAGGGATGACTGATTTGATCACCTTCTCTCTCAGATCTTTCCTCAGCTGCTCTAGAGTTACATTCTCGTCGTGTTGTACAGAGATGACAACTGTGTGGACTCGAAGAGGAACAGCAGCTCCTTTGATGTATTTGTATTCCACTGTAACCTGAAGAAACAGATGTCAGAAATAGGATTACTAATCATACGTGTGCAATCAATAGTTGACTTTCAGAGAGAAAAAAAAAATTACACACAACCACACCAATATTTGTGTCCGGCATCATCCATAAATAAAGAGGATGGAATAATATTTTTCTTAAAGACATCACGTCACAGACATGCACCTATGTAGAGTAATGATTAACAGCCTATCTGTCAACAGCTGAGGTATTGGGTCTGAACCAGCCGTTAACATTTGCAAACAGTGCATTCAGACAGAGATAGCCTAAAATGGGTAAAAGGTGGTGCCCTGAGAAATAAAGACGGTAAGAATGAGGATCACCGCGCACAGACTGGAACACTCCTTGTTCAGTGGCTATAGAGTTCAGGCTTTTGTCCACTTCTAAAATTGATTGTCCCAGAACTGAAATCATGCAGGCACATCCACTTTACAGAAGACATCTCTATGCAGACTGCTGATTACCCATCTCATGAGCAGATGCACTTTGAAAGAACATGGCACTTTATGGGCGGTTTATTCTATTTTCCACACTACAATGGGGGTCCTAGAACCCACATCATATGCCTGATGAGCCACAGGCATAAAAAAAAGGCTACCTTTCATCCATAAATATTTTCTGTTTTTGGTCTCAATTCAGCTCGGTGGTTTCCAGTGCAAGAACATTCTAGCCTACCATTTATTTGGCTTTGTCACTTCCTATCCAGAATCTTTTCCCCACCCCTAATTCACTAGAATATTTTAAACTAGCTGCTACACAGAATCAAAACTCACCTGTGTCTTGGAGTCAGGTCTGGCCCATGCCAACACACCACTGCGCCTGAGCTCTGCTATTTTTGCATTCAGCTGATGGGAGAGAACCACAGTAAGAGGCATGCTCTCTTCTGTCTCATCTGTAGCGTAGCCAAACATCAATCCCTGGTCTCCGGCGCCGATATCATCGGAATCCTTACCCTGTTTGGTGTGGACACCCTGGGCAATGTCTGGGCTCTGTTCTTCCAAGGCAATGAGGACATTGCAAGTCTTGTAATCAAAACCTGTAATGACAGCACATGGCACGTATAAGAAGATATAATAAGATAAAATAAACAGTAGAACTAGACAGCTTTGCATTATCACAAATACAAACAAGATTACACAAAAATCGCAGTAAGACAAGACAGCACACACATATAACAAAAAGACAGCACACATGTATAACAAGACAGCAGACATGTATAGTTAGATATCACACATGTATAACCAATACAGCTGCTAGCAATGAATCCCAGTCTGATCATGTTTCATTGAGTTCAACAGGGTATCATGTCATGGCAGTGCTTACAAGAATTTCATTAAGGTTGAGGATTAAAGTCACTGCATCGGGTTTTATCCCATAAGGCTAAATCTCTCTCTCCGCACAATCTCTGTAGCTCTGGTGACGATGGTCGAGGCAAACGGCTTGACCACTTCGCCATGTGTGATTTCTCAGATCTTACTGAACACTTTCATATACTCTTGTGTTAACTATTATGTTCAAATGTTCTTGCATGATTTTTTTTTAATGGGGGGGGGGGGGGGGGGACAACAAGTTGGAAGAAATGGACTTGCGAACTTGGGCTAAAAGTGATAAGGCTAGGGAAAAGAAAGGGAAAATGGCCAAGATAAATGGATGGCTTGCCATGATACAGCAAGAGCACTGACCTAATCGTGATTAGGCTGTTCATTTCAGATGGCAGAACACATACCTAAAGTGTGTTAATGACACTGAGGCTAGTATGTAAAGAATACATTAACACCATACCTTTTGAGGAGTCATCATATCCAATCTGTTTGATGGTGTCTCTGATCACTTTCTGGTAGTCGACATTTGCAGTTGAAGAAATCTCCCCAGCCACAAGAACCATGCCTGTCTTAGTGATGGTCTCGCAGGCGACCATGGCACAGGGGTCTTGCCGCAGGTGAGCATCCAGTATTGCATCACTGATCTGATCACAGATTTTGTCTGAAAAGATTGAAAAGGGAGTTCAAGATTACAAGAATTCCATCTGACATTATATACAACATTCTTACTGACAATGAATCTTTATTCCAGCATCTCCTAAGTAGGTAAGACCTGAGGACATTCCTAATGTTAAAAGTTTGCCAAGAACCCCAAACTAATAACACCAGGTGCGCAGCAGCAAGTTTGATGACAAAATTGCACATGGCACCAATGTTCACATCCTGTAAATTTGTAGAATCAAGTGTAAAATTTATGATGCATGTAGGTAATTGCTAAAGCTTTAGGTTTTCACAATGTACTAGTCCTGGAATATGAATTGCTAAAAATAATTCATTCATGGCATTGTACAGTTTCTGGACTTGGAAAGCAGCTTTTTAACAGTCCTCATACATCACAAAAGTCTGCATGGACACCACATATTTCAAGCCATAATGTAGAAATGTCTAAACTAAATCGCAAAAGGATTATTCTAAAGTTGAGGTTTTCAGTAAATGACAAGACCTGTTAAATTTGCCTTACCGACCACTAAATAGGAAAATGCTCTCATTAAAGCTCCAAGTCAGAATTAGCCTCAAGATCAACCAAAAGATGCATTAAGTCCAATGTCAAGCCTAAATGAGCCCACAATCCATTACATATTATAGTTTTGCTGTGCTAGGTTTTGTGCTGCTGACTTTAACCTTAAAAAAAAAAAAATCTCACTATGTTGTGTCTGGGTTTACTTTTAACTGAAAATGTGCATTCACAGAATGTGAGAAACATCAGATCATGATGGGATAAGGTGAACCGGAGCAGGCAATCAATTCCCATATATTGGAGTTGTAACAGACCAGAATGGAGGCATCAAGTAAAGAGATGGCTGCTAAAAAAGCAGCAGCTGGGAGACTTTCAGGCCATACAAGGGATTTGTTCATTTTAGCAAAAGAAATTAGCAAGAGGACAAATATGGCTGTATATTGACCGCTCTACCTATCTGACAATCACGGGCAATGACAGCTCACAGAAGCCAGCTATACACCCCAAAAATGAGGTATATCAGAAACGTGGTTTAAGTGGCAAAGTTCACAATCAGCCAATATGTTGTGACCTTAAATCCGTGCCCTACAAACTTGAGTGGAAGTCATAGTTACGATGGTCTGGACATGTATGCAGAAAAGGAAAAATCAGCCATGAGGCATGAGAGGCTAAGAAGCAGGGAACCAGACCTCCAGGGCGACTCAGGGTTCACTGAGAAACAACATCCAACAGTCCCTGGACTGATAGAGGACTAGAATGGAACAAAGCCAAAAAGAAAACTGCTGACAGGATCTCTCTAGCAAACTACACCCCACGTTAAAAGAGAAGCGACTATGTAAGTATAATTAAAATGAGAAGCCATGTACATATTAGAAATCAACGATTATTACAGCTGAAAAGTGTTTCCCAAATCCTAATCCTCAAATTGCCTAGATGGTTGAGACAGTGGCAGACACGGTCAGGCTAGTTAAAACTAGTTCAAATGTGGCATTATACAGCACAAATTCATTAAGCAAGGCGATATTCTGATATGGTCAATACGAATCTGGTCTACTTGTTACAGTAAACAATAAAATCTTTTCACTAGATACCGGGCAGCAGTAGATTCTGAACTGGTTTTATGTAACCTATGCACAAATACATATTTAGCATTTGCGGTCCCGATGCCTTCTTTCTTCTTCGCGGTCACCAGCTGTAAACTCCAGCGACAAGTTTTGGTTGCTAGTTAACTTTTGACGCTGAAAAGTCAGTTCCTTGTAAGCCCAAGGTGTCCACTGTCATGTTGGTCAACCTGTTTCCTCTTTCAGAACTATATCCATTACTGTTTCTTTTCAAACCATTATGTCCTCTAGAGATCCCTTCAGATACTCTCTCATCACTTATGATTTCTATGAATGACTTCAAAATGTTGACCACCATTTAAAGGGGCACTCAATGCCTTAATAGAAAGTATTACCAATCAAACTTACAGATACCCTTAAAAATTATCCATGAAAACTGTTGCTGCTAGGGAATTCATGAAGACAATGGAATCCAAGCTGACCTCAATGGTACAGAGAACATGCAGACATTTCAGCCTCTGTGTAGGGAAATTTAACTCCATCCTCCTACCTGGTAATCTTAGTTTCAGCTTCATAGCAAACGGGTCACCCATAGTTGCTCCGCTCCTGTGCCAGCAAAAAACAAACTAGCTCACAGTGTCACGCCATGCACTCAACTCAGAAGCTGCGCGACGAAACTATATCCTTCCAGTCTACAAATAGAGCAAAAATGCAAGGCCACCGTCTAGCAGGAAAAAAAAGGTGGCTGTGCCTAGCGTCCATTTTGACCTGAAGCATTATATGAGGGTTAATAAACGGTCACCCCAGCAGTACCCTCATTAATAGCTGGGGAAGGGACTTAGGACATTACATCCACCAGCAGGCGTCGCCCCTACAACGACCTGCCTGTCTTCATTAACGACGGTTCACTCAACAACCATGCAGTTCTTTGGCACAAAAGGGACACAGTGAACTTGGGTTTCGGACTGCCGAGACTCCATACAAGATATTTTATGTTTTTTTTCTTCCAATTACACTTCATGTCACTGCACATTAGGCATACCCATGCGTGCTCAGTTCTCCGAAGCAGCAGCCACTCCAGAGTACTTATACTAATTGTCCCCATGAGAAGCTGGTTGGGTGAACAGCCAACGGAGGCAGGCAGGTCGTTGTAGGGGCCCCAAAGACGGCAAAGACGTGCATCACCATGCTTAACTCCCATGTCACGCAATCGTGTTAAGTGTCAGAGATTCCTCATTCTCCACTAGCCCAGTTCATACAGTGTTGACAGTATCTGCTGTGTCCATGCTTTTTCCTGCAATCATTAGTGCAGTGCTTGCCAGTTGGTCTGCTCGCTCATTTCCTTTTGCGCCCTCATGACCCGCTGTGTAGATCCAGATTACGGAGGTTAAGTGCGATTTCCGAATGCATCCTACCTATCCCTGCCCATGTGGGTCTACAACCACCAGGAAGGACTTATGATGATCTGCACATGCTATCTTTGCTTCCCTTTGGGTTCAAATGGCAATTCCAACTGATACAATATGAAGACGTGTCGTGACTCAGGCTGCAGGACAGTCCAGTGGGTCAGTCCAGACAGGTTAATCGCTCAACAGAGCAATAGATGCCAAAAAGAATTTTGGTTAACAGCCACAAATCTTTGACATTCACTGACTAGATGGATAGTTTAGGCTGTTAATCCACTCTGAACCTTGTTTTTTTCCCTTACACTTAAATTATGCGTGAATGTTGTTTATTCACCTCTAAGGCAGATGCATCTTAACTTCGAAGAAAACATCCATTCCCCAGCCATCTCTGGCCTCACTCCTTACATACAGTATTCAATTTCTACATTTGGCACAAAAACAGCTAACACATTCCTATTTAGCTGGCACATGCTCTTTCAAATAGTAATAATAGCATCATCATCATGTAGCAGGTCTTTTGCTGAACGTCGCTCTAATCACGGTCTGCCTAAAGAAACTTGGTCTCTCGCCAGCTCTCCCACCTCATACACTTTCATAATTAAGGAGTCACTTACATACTGTGCCCATCTTAGTGTTGGTCGGCCTCTGCCCCTCTTTCCTGGTACCATGTCTTCTGCTATAATTTTTTTCCAATTCGTTGTGGCACTTGATGTGACCAAAATATTTCAGCTTCTGAGACAGGATGCTGTTTATTAGCCAATCTTCCTTGATGTTCAGATCTTTCAAGACGTCAGTATTTCTCTTCTTCTTTGTCGAAGATATTTTGAGAATCTTTCTACAGCATTTCAGCTCAGAAGCCCCTATTCTTTTTCTTATGAACTGGGAGTCCACGAAACATTCGTATATTACTACAGGGAAGATGCATGCTCTCAAAATTCTAATTTTGATCTCCTTACTGGTGCCTAACCATAGACTTTTAATGCTGGTTAATAATAATAGTATAGTATAGCAAGTGGAACAGTATAGCATCTAGGAACATAAAGTGCATCACTGCTGTCAATTACCTGCTTATTTACTAAAAGTAAAAGCCAATGAAAGAACCCCATATTAAATGATTAATTTTTATGAACAACACAAACAGCCCTTCTGCAAAATACTATTCACCCACTCACTACTGCAACATTGTCAAAGATCCATCCAGCAATAGTGTCGGGCAACATTATGCTTGTGTTTAAATTTAATACAGCCTGAAAAGATATACCTGTTTATTTTTGAGCTTGTTTCTGAACACATGTTTGTAGAAATACTAGGCCTTGGAATGAGGTTAGGTTAGGCATAAATGGGCTGGCGCTAGGAATAACAGTGGTAATGACATGAGATCAATGGGATAAGGGGTCACACAAATTCACAAATAGGCATTTAAATATTTCACATTTTTTAAAGCCATTTGTTCCTTATGATTGGGAGCTCGCGTGTTATGATTATGAAGCACAGTACATGTGATTATTTCGATAACATTCATTACTTACACATAATATACATTTTATAATATTTTAAGTTTTTTAAGACTTGTGGAATTTATTTTTACTTTTTTTTCCCCAATTTTTTGTCTTTCTTCGTGCCGTAAAAACAGTGTATAATACTGAATAAAGTGTATTTACTGTTTATTAAATGAGAAGATGTTCACACTTTATAAACAACAATGTATCACGTCTTGCTCACGATATTCATCAACAGTCGTACTACCACAAATTACGTAAAAGACAAAACATCGCGCCATTAAAACAAATCACATGGCATGGCCCTTTTTTTAGCTTAGGAGTTCTCCCATCTCACTGACACCATTTTCTTCACAAAACTCACCAGGATGTCCCTCTCCCACCGACTCCGAAGTAAACAGGAACGACCCAATATCATCCTGGCTGCATTCTTCAGCGTAATGATCGTTTAATTCCCGGTAATGATTGCCGTTTTCCGTGTTGTTTTGAGACATTTCTCGGCGTGATGGTAGTCCCTATGTCCTCTATGTTGTGGTGGAAAAGAGGCCGAGCAGACGTCGCCACCCCTATGTATAGGCAGCGACAGTGTCATGTGATCGTGGGACAGTCATGTGATTGGTTGACCCGGGGATTGAGAGCCTAAGAAAATGGAATGGTGCCGCGGCGAAAAAAAGTTTGAAAACCGCTGATCCAGACTGTTACATTAGTGGAATCAGTAACAATATACATGCATGCAATCCAGCTGTCGTGTTATTATTCACTATTAGTAATGCTTATACAATTTAGAGGCTTATATTCACGTGGGATTGGAAAAAAAATAATAGCAGAAGTCATGGTACCACGAAGGAGGGGCAGGGGCCGACCAACACGAAGATGGGCACAGGATATAAGTGACTTCTTGAGTATGAAAGTACATTAGAAGGGAGAGCTGGCGAGAGACCGAGTTTCTTTCAGGCAGACCGTGATGAGAGCGACGTTTTGCAAAAGACCTGCTGTATGATGATGTTGATATTCACATTTAAACAAAAAATATTTGTTTCCTAATGATGATGACAATGACAAAATCGAGAAATTTTCGGATGGGGTGTGTGGGGGGGGGGGGTGTTTGTAAACTGACTGGCTTGGGATAGCCCGTCTTCAGTTCAAGATATTATGTACAGGTAAGGTAAGGTATGTCGGGAAATGTTAACCAGCGTCACTGCACACGGTTATAAACCAAAAGCGCTCTGCCACCAGTACGAACAGCTGATAAGAAACTGTCCGCCTGTATCGCCGTCCGCACGCAAACTCCATAGCTACAGCGACGTTCCTCCATTTACCCCAGAGTGGTAACTCTAGTACCCATTACCTAGAGGCTGGGTGAACCCCAGGAACCGCCCGGTTTCGAACACCGGCCGTGGGCTGCAAAACCTTTCGACTGCTACCTGTTTAACTATGAGCTATATCACGCACAGGTTTATCACATCATCCTAAGATTACAGAATCTCAATCTGGACAGCAACCCAACAAGGCAGATCTCAGATACCCAGCATAACCTCTAAAGAAGTAACAATTAGGGCACCAGTAGCAGTTACGATAGCCTGCTGTAGCCTGCAGTCCTTTGTGGATAAGGACAACCTCCGTATGGGGGTAATCACCCTTATTGTCCGTTGAACAGTGAGACATTTCATCCGACCAGACAGCCAAATCCCGTCTTTACAAGCTACTAGGCAAGCATTAAATCACTGAATGGTTTAAACCAGGCTTCATTCGGTCGAACAACACACGATCGTCATCATCACGTGCCTTGCGAGGTTGCGTAAACGCCTTGTATCTTCACAGGGAGCCTAGGTATTTTTCATCCGATTGGAAGGGGAACTGAACCCAAGACCTTTGCACCGAGAAGGACCTGTGAGGTTTCAGTGTCCTATCTTGCTGGAAATGTACTTCAAGGCCTCCAAGTAATTACGTTTTAGAACCATGAATTTTTGGGGCAAAACAAATACAGACCCACTTCCTCCCCAACAAGCATGTCGTAGGAGTAGATTAATGGGAGGGGGCATCCTTAAAAGTTGGCGTACATCTGCCTGAGAATCAAGAAACCAAAGAGTCTGCATGCAGTTGAGCCAGATCTATGAAACGGATGTGCACACAAACCCAGATTTTGGAACAAGATTAAAGTCTGAAGGTGGACGAACACCCAGATCAATCACATGGAGTTTACAGCTGGTGAACGTGAAGAAGAAGAAGAAGAAGAAGAAGAAGAAGAAGAAGAAGAAGAAGAAGAAGAAGAAGAAGAAGAAGAAGAAGAAGAAGAAGAAGAAGAAGAAGAAGAAGAAGAAGAAGAAAAAGAAAAAGAAGAAGAAGAAGAAGAAGAAGAAGAAGAAGAAGAAGAAGAAGAAGAAGAAGAAGAAGAAGAAGAAGAAGAAGAAGAAGAAGAAAAAGAAGAAGAAACACGAATAAATGAATGAATGAATGAAGAACAAACAACACTGCACTTAGGACATACCCACATATGTTCCGTCCCCTTCTTCAGCAGCCAACGAAAAGTCAACACGCTAATAGTACCAGTTGCGACCTGATTTAAAAGTCCGCCTACGCCCCCCCCCCCCTTTTCCCCAAACCAGTGATCAATTTCTTCCGTTGAATCACACAACGTGTCATTCCTACAACCCGCCGAGTCAGTCTTTAGGAGCTGGACGGGCAGGTCATAAAACACCGACTGGTTTCAGCGGGGTTCGCTACCGTCTCTTGGTTCAGGCATCTCTTGAGAGATGTACCCTGGGGTGGCCGCTGATGTCAAATATTGTGTCGATTGGATCGGACTTGAGGTATGAAAATGTGCTTACTGTACTCAAACATACGCGCACACTACCACCATCAATACCATGTGCCTGGCTAAAAAGTAAAAAAGATCTTGCCTTTCCGCATAACTCAGTCCTTTGTTGTTTTGATTATATTTATCTACGCCACCTTTTATATCACACAACAACATTTATCGCCGAGCCATATGGGGAAAACCCTCGTACAATAAGTAGTTTTTAGACTTTAAACTTCAATAAATATTTGTGACTCTTTTGGTGTCCAACGCTTTTGCAACAGGACATTTGTCGTGGCGATAAATGGGGGTAAACTATTTTCCGCCCTCATATCAGACGTAATTTATTTATTTTAAAGCTCCACCCCGACTGTAGTCCGGGGCCCTAAATATAAACTAATGGATAAACGGGGCTTCTAGGACTTATGCCCAGGCGATTCTCATCTGAATGTTGGCACTTCGTGTCACCGGGTGTTTATCGTTTTGCGGTCCTGGTAGGGTTGAAAGTCAGTCAGTTTTGAATGGTGTCAGCTCAGGCGTATACTAATAGAAATCGCAATACACGGAGAAACACTATCCTCAAGCCAGCCGGCAAGACACTGGGTGATGATTTGAGGAATACGAACGTCTACGTGGTAAACAATTTCAGATCCTGCTGTTGCAACCGAGTTTTTGCTTGTATTAAAACTCTTTGGCTGAAGCGGAAATGGCGTCATCCTTGCGTGCAATGCAAATGATCCTTCAGAAACCAACCAACAAGTGCGGGTGCAATATGAAGCGCGTGGGGAAAGAGTTTATGACCTATATAGCCCCAATATGGAGGCAATTTTTGTTGTCATTTTAAAGCCCCCACCCGGCTGTCGTCAGGATCTAACGGTTGAAGGGGTTTCTGGGACCCGCGTCAGGGAGATTCTCATCCGAATGGTGGCACTTTGTGTCACCAGGTGTTAACTGCTCGTTGAATGGTTCTGGTGGGGTCGAACGTCAATCAAGCACATGTCCAATCCGGAAAAGGAAAGATGGGAGGAGTAGAAGTTGGGTGACGGTTTCTTTGAAACTGTAACATTAATTCTCATAAGATCCATCTCCTTCATGCATTTCCCATCCACAGTCGCATCCTCACTCTCCTGCCCCAAAGTCACGAGGAGCTTAGAGTTTACGGTCCGCCTCTAGCTCATGTAGATCAGGCTCCATGAACGCATTTCTTGTTGTTCTCCTCCTCCTCTTCCTTCTAAACCTTCACCTAAACTCAGCTGGCAAGTTATTGTTTGTTTATTTCTGGTTTTTGGTCTTGTTCAAAAATTTGGGTTTTGCGTGCACATCCGTTTTAAAGAGCCGGCTTATTTGTATGCAGACTGCTGATTCCTCGTATCTCGGGCAGATGCACTCGGACTTCGAGGGAAACTCCCATAGTTAGTCGCTGTTACGACATGCTTGATACAGAGATCGAGGGTCCAGATGCGTAGGAATGAGGGTGTGTGTGAGGGGGAGGGGGGGGGGGGTGGGGGACAAGAGATTATCCACACGGGTACCACCTGACATTGCAATGCCACTGAGTGGATCAATGCCCTACTGGAGACGGTTTTTGTGGATCTATCCCCCCCCCCCCTCCAGAATGGGGCCCTGGAACCCGCAAGCTGTTATATGTCAATTTCGACATCCTAGCCTATCAGTCCAATCCACACGTGCTCTGTCCTCCGATGCAGCAGCCATGTCATGGTCTCCATGCTCAACGTACCCAGTAGGAATTGGATTAGCATATTTTTCTTTCTTTCAATAATCAACACCCCCCCCCCCCCCCGGGTGAGGGGGGGGGGGCAACCTGTTCCTAAGAAGTGAATACTGGGTACTCACTCTAATTTTAGTTCACCCCATCTCGGGGAATCAGATAATTCCCATGGCAAGTCCAATATCATAAGGGGTTAGAGTTAGGATTACATGGTGCTCATTTCACACCCTAACATCCCTTTACCACTAGACTTTACCCGGAAACTCCCAGTCAACTCTCTGAGTTCTAGAGACGGGGTTAACTAAAATAAAAGGACCGGATATTGTGTTTCTGAGAGTGTATATAAAGAGCGAAGACATTGAAGACAACAGTCATTGTGAAGACGCCCCTCGCTGACTGATCTACAATAAGAGACTGGGGTATTTACGGCGATATCTTTGCACAGTGACAGTGATCACTGATAAAAACGAGATAACACAATTAATCCTCTTTTCTTGATTTGGGTCCCATTTACGGGGAAGGCTAACCCGGGCAACAAATGCCTGCAGAAGTCGAATGTGTCGGTGGAAAGGTGAAACAATCGATTCCAGAAACAATTAGTTGTAAACCCTTTAGCTCGGTACTATGGATATCGCATAAAATTAACGCAATGTAACCTACCAAATACCTTTTTTTAAATGTATTTTAGACAAAGCATTACGGTCTGCTGTGTTTGTAAATTGTTGGTATGTTTTTTATTCGACCTATGCTTTTTAAAAACACATTTATGTAACATATGGTGCCATTTCAATGGTTTGAGATGAATTCTGTCCGTATTCCAAAGTTGTGGATTTCAGGCTGTACGATAGACATGGCCAATGAAGACACCCTTTTTGGGGTTGCCTAGTTGACCATGTTCTTATGACTCTTGTTTCCGTAGCGAGGCGCACACCCCAATTGAGGAGACATGTTCAATTCCTGGCACGGTATAGCTTTTCGATTTTGTTTTTGTCTAGTGTTTCCTTCTATCTTTCTACTTCTTTCTGTGAGTGCTAACCAACACATTGTCTGTTTGTTTATTACATTTAATATGAATATCGCAACCCTATGGTGTTGAAAGTATGGTGATTTGATCTGTCAGGGTCCTATAAATATTTAAAACATACACCTACCTCCATGTACTCATAAAACTGACGCAATATGAATCAAGCAACAGAAGATAAGTTTATTGATTTTTGATCGTATAAGAAAACACTTTTCTTAATTAAAGGCTTCTATAGCATACTGTTGTCACATACATATTTTATTTTGTAATTATTAAGTTAATGAACGCTATCTCATTGTTAATGTATGCTATCCTATTGCGAAAATAAATAAGAGAAGTGTATGTACAACCACTGACATTATCATTTATATCTGGGGGAAAGGTTAGTAGTAACATACTGGACACATGCTGAGGAGAAGCGAACAGTGAATCTCCAAACAGGCGCTTAAATATGAAACAAATGGGACAGTGGTGTGTATGCGATACATCCTTGGTTTGCCGACTGTTGCAGGTAGGCACAAGGTGCTGCAGGCGAAGTCATATCTCAGGGTAGCTGCAGACACAGACCACCCTTTGCATGAAGCTCTGGATGCAGTTAAGGGTCAGCGGCTAATAAGAGGGAAGTCATGGATGGCTCAAGCAGAATACACAATCAGACAGGTCTGCATCCTAGAGAACACTGGGCGAGGAGAGGAGTGGGTTAAAGTGCCACCTGAACAGTCAGACTTGTGTAGGGTCATAATCACACTGAGCCGGGAATGCAGAGACTGGCCAGCAGATTCCACGGAGATAGAAATTCAGCAGTTAATTCAAGATAATGCTCGCTCAGAGGATTTGATTATTTACACAAACGGTTCAGTGCCAAGAGGCAAAAGAAGTCTTGGGGTTTCTTAGCAAAAGTTAATGGTCGACGTTTGGTGCAGGAGAGCCGAGCATATGATACCACAACATCTAGCTTAAGAATGGAGGTGGAGGCAGTCAATACAGTTCTCCGCTGCTTCGCTGCGGAGGACACGGGTGAGAAGTATTATATGGATTTTTTTTTCTCCGTGGGACGCCGGTGTGTTGGGAAATGAACAGGCGGACAGACTGGCTGGCTTTGCACAACTTGGTGGAATACTGATATATAAAAAGGCAGACGTGGTTAGTGCCTTTTGGGAAAGCGTGTACAGTTCGGAGGAGCAGATGGATCACCACAGTCTGGTGAGATTGATGCAGGGGGGAGTGACGAGAGGTTCTGGCAAATGCTCGAGGCTCAGAGGAAACGCAAGACGGGCGTTTAATCAGAATGCTACTTGCACCATTAGTATCAGAACTCTTCACTGGCTGCTGAAGATGGGGACGGAGCGCTTATGGGAATGTCCCGAGTGCTGTGATGTCGGTACTTGAATCAAATCAAACAAATGGACCGAGACATGCTCGTTACACCCAGGAGAAAACAATATGACGAACGTTGATGAGGGAGGCTAAAGGTGGTGGAATTGATTTCATGCTAAGACAATTGCACAGGACAGAACGGAATGTGAGCCGTAGAACGGTAGAAAAGGATGTGGAGCACAAAGCAAGTGCGCCATTTTAATATTTTGAGTACTGATTTATTCTTTCCTCCGTAGTGTCCACTCTCTCCCAAAGGACTTACAACGCCTAGTATGTCTTGCATCAGTTCATCACCAAGAGGTGCAGCAGCAGCCAGTCTGCCTGTTCGTTTCCCAATACATCGGTATCACCTGGAGAAAATATCTAAATGATGCGAATTACCCGGGACCGCTAAAGTGATGCTTGCTGCTCTGCACAGAGACGAGACGCATATACAGACTGTTACTCATGCCATCGAAATTGGAGCTCTGCGCTTGCTGCTGAAGATAGGAACGGGCCGCTTATGGGAATACCCGAGTGTTGTGATGTCGATCCTAAATTCAGAGTTCCACACCTTGAGTATTATCATTTATGTTTAATTCATTTTTAAACAACGCACGATGTGTTTGCCTTTTCTCTTTGGTTTGTTCGACAGACTGTTTGTTTTATTCCTGGTCAGGGCATAAGACGGGCATCCGCCTTCGCTATTAGCCACTTGTGCAGTTTAAAAGTCATGCACTTGAAGCTTTGCAGTGTGTTTTTATCGTCACTCTGCCATTCTACAGCCAAACATTTTCTGTTCGTTCTGTCGGAAGGGCTGTCGCGTTGAACCCCCCCCCCCCCCCAAAAAAAATCTTACTCTAGACGCATAGCTGTCTTAACAGAATTATATTTGATACCCAATGTGCTGTGGCCCCCCTACGACAACCGCATTGACATTTTTATTTATGGCAAGTACCTTGACATACACAGATTAGTCTGGGACTCCCTATGTCCGTGGGACACCCAGGCAAGTGCTCAATGGGCCCATGGATTAAAGACAGCCTTGTCTAGATAACACAGCAAAAAACAAATTCACTGTTCGGCTTCGAAGAGGGTAACAACCTGGACATTCGGTAATATCACTCTGACCGGCGTAACCTAATGTCCTGTGTAGGTAAAGATTAACTGCATGACCAACTCTTTATGGGTTAAAAAAGTGACCCTATTTTAAACACACGAAGTGACCCGCGACCTTATAACTAATATAGGCCTTTAACAAATTAGAACAACTTAAAAAGACTTTTCGGTACTCTAATATACGATCACATCTCGCGGGTTTCGATATATGGTAGGGAAATCCTCAGAACGTCCCATAGTATGGTCAGGGTTAAGCTTATTAATAGTCGCTATTCATTTAAAACTAGTCCTAGCCCCAATCCCCTAAAACATGGTACTGTTCAGGGAAAACCCTAGGGATCCTTAGGAATTCCCCATAAAATCTCGACGCCGTCAAGATGTGGTCGTATAAAATTAAAGTACCGATTTCTCTCTGTGCAGGACGCTATGACGTGTTTTATCAGGTATTGTAGAAACAATAACAAAACCCTCTTCCTTATTACACGAAAGGTATTTATCTTAAAATGTTTTGTTATTGTATCTATAATTTGAGAACCACTAATATACAGTTAACTCCAGAGTTTCAAAAACAGTGTCAGCGGCGACACATTAATCGTCAGCTTCAGTGTAAAGGTTATCGCGCAAATATAAAAGTGTAAATACGTCCAAATCTATTATAAATGGGTTAGTTGAAACTCTAGTTTGCTAGTAAATTGACTTACTGCATTTCGAAATTATACTAGTCTAAAAATTTTAATGTGTGACTAACATAAAAGTTTTAAAAGCTTTGATTTACCAAGTTGTGAACGGAGCGGACATTTTTGCCGAGTCATTTCCTGACCTGGATCCGGAAAGTGTTGTTGTTGAGAAAGAAATGGCCGCCGTTTAGATACTCGACCCGCTCTGTTACTGTTTATTTCTCTGTTTATGAACTCTAAATCTCAGATTTATGGAGAGAAGCTGTAAGTATAACCCTCAATGGAATCCAGTACTTGCACCTTTCTTTACTGTCACTGCTTTCTACCTATTATATTACTATTACCCAGGTGCTTTGAAAAAAGGATTGAATAAATAATATTGAATGCACTCGCAACATTTTCACTCCCGTAAGCACTCCGTCCAGATCTTCAGCAGCAAGCAAAGCTTCAGGAGATGCGGAAGCTGCTGCTCGTGGGTCCTAGCCACCTAGTTTAGCCCCAATCCACGCCGCGTGGGTGACTCGGGCGGTGGCGGCAGTCGCCGAAAAACAGCAAATTAAGTCGCGGAAGTGCTGAATTGACACGTGACTGTGGCTCGAAAGGATATTTTGCGGCCGATATCTTTAGTGCCCGAAGTTCGGAGGATAGCCTAAAATTCACTCTTGCATAGAGGCATATTTTGTTGTAATTCAGTACAGCACGTACATACTGGCAGTGGTATATAGCCCAGTGTTTTTCAAACCATGGGCAACGGCTTACTAGTGGGCAGCGGAAAAAGTTCAGGTGGGCTGCAACAAATTTCTGCCTAAACATGTAATGAACAAATGAACGAACAAACTTTATTTTCAAAGGGTCACAAATTGGGCACACAGTCCCATCTTACATTCAGCCCTTCCAGACACCCATCTTTCACACAGCAGTTGAATTTTTAAAAAATCAATTAAGCATGTTATGTTCATGTAATAATATGCATATTATGAAGCAAGCAATAACACAAAAGTATGGGTGGTAAAATGCATGCGCATGCTCGTGTGCACGCAAACCCTATCATTCACTTAGACACACATATGCACCACATACATACATACATACATCCATACACTCATACACACAGAGTCACACACACACAGACACACTCTCACAAACACACACTCATAGACCCAGCTGCACACACAGACGTAATCAAATAGACACACAGGATACACAGAAAGCCTGACACACACAGGCACAGACACACACAAACTCATAGCCACACACACCTACAGACACACGCAGACAGGTAAACACACTGACACACACACACAGATACACATACAAACACACCCTCAGACACACAGACATACACACACAACACTCACACAGGCACGCACATAGTCACAAATGCAGAAGCACAGGCACAGACACACACAGTCATTATCAAATAGACACACACGAAGCCACACAGGCACAGACACACAAGCATAGGTTTTTTACTGCACAACAATACACATGGGCGTCTGATCTTACCCAAAGGCCAGGGAAAATTACTAGAAGTCCACGTGAAAAAATCCCAGTCTTCACCGGGGCTTGAACTGGGACCTCCAGCACTCGAGGCGTACACCATACCTCAAGACCACTCAGCCCCCTGATGGGGTTGGGTAAGTAGTTTTTCTCCACCTGCAGTCTGTAGGATTGATCATTATCATCAACCCGTAACACTGCATGTCATGTCATAAGTTTCTGTTGACCGTCTGATAGGCTGTCTTCACCTTTGGCAGTCAGTTGCAATGGACTTCATGGTTACATGCCTGGCCTGTCCAGTCAGTCAGGTTCTGTAACCACGTCTTTCTGGGTTTGCCTCTTCTTCTCTTTCCCTCTACTGAGCCCTGCAGTATTGTTTTTGTGAGTTGAGTTAAGTTAAGAATTGACATCACAGCACTCAGGACATTCCCATGTGCGCTCCTTCCCCATCCTCAACTGCCAATACTAATGGTGCCGGTCGTAGTCTGGTTGTATGTCCTTCTTGCCTTTCCTCTGAGCATAGTGTGCCGGCCGAACCCTCTAGACTCACCCAGGTGCATCATTCTCTCAAGCCCATAATAATCTAGTTTCTCTTCTAACTTCATTACATGTTCCCAAAGGGCTCTGACCACATCTGCCTTGTCATGTATCAGTTCACCACCAGGCAGATCCAGCCAATCTGTCTGCCTGTTCATTCCCCACCACGCCGTCATGGTCTGGAGAAAAGATCCAAAGTGTGCTCACTATCTGTGACTTTGCAAGTGAAGCTTGCCACTCTGCTCGAAGCAATCCTGTCTTCACCTTTTTCATCATGCTTTCAGAGTCCGTTACAATTACGACATGTGTATGTATCCTGTTCTCTAGTCACTGGCAACCGGCAGTGTCGCCTCCACCTCCATTCTCATGCTAGATGTTGTGGCATTATATGCCAGGCTGTCCTGCACTAAAGATTTTCCGTTGGCTTTCGCTATGAAACCCCAGGTTTTTGAGAGGCCGTTAGATCTCATTCCATGTCCATACCATTGTATTTTCTGTAGGAGTAACAACCCCTCATATGAGAATCAAAAGATGCCTCATCGGATGAAAATGGTAATTTTGTGATTTAACAAAAAAACTGCTGTCTGCGTTGGATTTTGTTTCTGTGTGTTGGTTAGCTCTCAGGTGGGCCGCAAGATAATTCCCCGTTGTGGTGGGCCGCAGGTATAAACAGGTTAAGAAACACAGGCATAGTCTTCTTGATAATGTTCCTTCCACGCGTTTTTTTAAGGCATTTCTCTGTCTGTCAACAGACTCTTAGCTCAAAGCCCAGATGGAAATTATGTTTATTGCTATTAATTTTCCTATTAATATTTCCCCGCGGTAGATGAGGGAAGCTTAGCTGTAACACCTGGCACACATCCACACCTGTCACTTGAGCTTACATCATGTTTTTTCAGCGACGTAATATGCAACAGTTTTTGCAGAACAAACTTGTAATGTTTGACACCAAAGCACTCTTCAATACAATATTTGGTGCAACTCACGTTTTTCACCCCATCTTATTCAGCTGCGTAATTTCACAGCTGTTCCCACAGGCTGTACTATGTTGTAGGGGTGTTATGAGATGTCATCTTTCGTTGTTTGTACACAGTGTGCCGAAAACTGACTTGGATCTGTTCGATGAGGTCGATACACTGTCTCCCAGACGAAACTGCAATTTTATTTTCGCAACTCTTTTTTTTGGCTATCTTCCGAATAATGGTCCTAAATTATTGAGGCTGAAAATATACCCTAACAGGGCCTCAGTCACATGTAAATTGCGGACTTAGACCACCGCGAGAGTATCTCCCATGCCGCGCATAGCGGCGTGGATTGGGGCTAAAGTAGATGGCTGGGAGTCAAGAGCAAATAAAATAAAGGAAGCTGCAGGAGATGCAGCAGCTGCTGTTTGTGAGTCCCAGCCATCTAGTTTAGCCCCATTCCTCGCCGTGCGTAGCGGTGTGGGAGATACTCTCGGCGGTGGTGGTAGTTGCCGGAAGTGCGCAATTTAAGTCACAGAAAGTCTGCAATTTACATGTGACTGAGGCCCTGTTAGAGGATATTTTCGGCCTCGATAATTTGGGACCGTTATTGGGAAGATAGCCCTATTTTCTATGAACAAGTGTTGTTGCTGGAATGTGTTGTTGTGATTAGGTCTCAGGCGCTGCAGATTCCTGTATGCAAGGAAGAGATACTGCAGGGGTAAGCGCTGAAGACGTATGATTCGTGAATATCTAATCATTTATGTTTTTTTAAAAAAAATGTTTGTCGGCGGTTGTCGTCGGTGGGGACGTGCTTTAAACTTTGAAAACAAGGAACACATGACACCCTAGAACATAGGACAGCCCGTGGGAACCGCTATGAAATCACACATCTCAGTTGGGAGATGCTTCTTCCCTGTCGGAGTGCTGGGGCTCCATGTAGGGAAAATTAGAGTAGACACACTGCCTGCCCAAAAGCCTGTTGCACAAGTCGACTAAGTGGAAGCTTCCTTTGAAGTCGGGAGTGTGTCTGCCGGAGAGGCAAGAAACCAACAGTCTGCATACAAATGAGTCAGATTTGTGAAATGGATGCACGTGCTACACTTTGGAACAAGAATACAGTCCAGAAGTGGACAAAGAACCAGAAATTTCCGTCGGAGTTTACAGCCGGTGAACATGAAGAAGAGAAAGATGCTTTTTATTCTTCTGTATGTTCTGGGCCCAATTTTTTTGGGGAAAAATAATAGTAGGTACTGACGCTTCACAAGCATGTCATAAAATGTGGCTGATTAGGGGTGGGCTGAAATCATGTGTTTTGGGGAAAAAGCGCAGATATTGCAGCTTAGTAACAGAAAACATGTCAACCACCCTTTCAGCTCTTTCTGTACCACACAGCTGACTTTTGTTTCTGAGATATTCTTCTTCTTTGTTCACCAAATGTAAGCTCCGGTTAAAAATCCTGTTTGTTTGTCCATTTGGACTTCGGCTTTGTGTCAGGGCCTGAGTTTTGCCTGTACATCTGTTTGGCCGGCTTATTAGTGGGGAAGTGGTTGTTCCTGGCCTCTTGGGCAGATGCACTCGGACTTTGAAATAAGTGCCCAATTAGTTGACTCTTACAACATGCTTATTGAGGAAGAAGTGGGTCAATTCTGGTTTTCCCAGGAACCCACACAGGGACCTTAGATATTCTAAACATAATGCCATTTCTGAACACCTTTATGTCTCATCCAGATGTTGCGTTAGCCCATTCATTTCATCTGTTAATTTAACCCTCCCACCCTGAAAACAAAAACAATGGGTCATGACCCTGTTAGAATTCCAGAAAAAAAACAACCCTTAAAAACAACTAAACCTCACACAAGTCACTAATAAATTTGTTAATAATTTATTTGTCTGCATTTGTTAATAGTTGTAAAAGTAAAAAAAAGATATATGAAGGGAGTAATCGACAAACACGGACACGATAAAGCTCTACATGGAATGCATTCCTTTGAAACTAAAAAAAAACCTGTGTCAGATGACTCATGCCATGACCCTGTGACCTCAGTCACTGAGGCTTACAAAAAAATGTAAGGTCAGCTTGGCTTCAGCAAAGCAATTTGGCTCCCCCCCCCCCCCCCCCCCCCCCCCCCCCCCCCCCCATAAATGTTAGTTTGAGTTAATTCATGTTTGCTGGATGCCAAATGATAAAAATGAGACATGGATGACCTAAAGAAACCTGGAGAAGGACAGTAGGAAGGGAACTGAAGGAGCATAAACTGACATAGGGTACCATTGGTAGATAGACAGCAGACCGGCAGCAATGGAGATCGCTTGTGAATGCCTTATGTGTTAACAGTGACATGAAGAGGATATCTTCTTCATGTTCACTAACTATAAACTGAGTTGGAGAATTCTGGATGTTTATTCACTTAATGTTGGTCTTATTCTAGAACTTGATTTTTGTATTCATATCCATTTTACATCTTGCTATTGATATCCAGATTGTTGGTTCCTTGCCTCGAAGGAAACACCCTTAATTAGTTGATTTTACGACATGCTTGGTGAATGGCAGTGTGTCTATTCTCCCCATCATCCCACAGTGGAGCCCTAGAACCCACACTGGGAAAGTTGATATAGTTAAATAGATATGTCTATATTGATCTAACTCTGTAATGATACACCTGAAGAAATATAATAATTATTGACATGATTCACAAAGGAAGGTGGAGTCCGGTTTTCTTTGTATGGTATGGGTTACATCAGTCCAGGGGTCGCAGTTGGTGATAGTCACATGGATGTTTTTCCTGCGCTATTCAGGTGTATTTGGGAATGAGCAAGCAGATAGGCTGGCTGGACTGGCCCCATTTGGGGGTGTACTGCAACCGCACAAGGCAGAGGCGATCTCTTACCTGTGGGACAAGGTAACAGATGAAATGGAAGTTTTTGAAAACATGGAGAGAATGATGTAGCGAGGAGTGGATGTGGGCTCAATGAGAAGGCAAGAAGAGTTAACCAGATGACAACGCGTTCCATCAGTATGGAACCTCTTCACTGTCTGCTGAGGAGGTAGATGGATCTGACGTGGGCTTGTCTCGAAAGCTGTGATGTCAAATCTTTACCCACACATGAACAATTTTATTCCCAGCATCTCTGGTGCAGACGGCATGTCAAGGCATCTTCATCACTGTTCTGACCGTGCTATCAGTGAGCTGGTTTTTAAACAAGATCAAGAAATACTTTACAAAATCTGTCACAGGTAAAGAGTTAATTCAAACGGTTTTTCTCCCCATGTAGGTGCCGGGGCCCCATTCTGTAAAGGGGGGGGGGGGGAGATAGACCCACTGCTTTTTGAATAAACATGTCATACAGACCAGGTGACTAATCAGGGAAGTTTCCTTCAGAGTCGGAGTGCATCTGCCTGAGGGGAAAAGAACCAACAGTCTGCATATAAATAAGCCAGATCTGCAAAACGAATGTGCGCACAAAATTCAAGTTCTTGAACAAGATAAAGTCCAGAAATGGACGACAATCAAAACTTTCTGCTGGAGTTGACAGCCAGTGAACACTAACAAGAAGAAGAAGACTTCCAAATATTTCCTAGTCCTTTGAAAGCTTCTCTGACCTTTTGTATTCTTATCTTTATATTTCTGTCTGTTCCCCCATCTCTGGATGCAGGTTTGTAATCTCTCCCCTCCCCTCCCCCAACATGTTTTAAATAGTTCATTGCTAAAAGACTGAAATAGAATGTCCAGAAGGACTACTCAGAAACTCTCTAATTCTAGGGAATTAGAGTGTCATAACATAATAGCTTGCCAAGCATGTCATAGAAGCCAACTGAGGCTAGGAGTTGGGCTTAGATTTATCTACCCATCCTACAAAAAAAAAAGCATCTCTGTCTTAGAAGCCAACCATCGGTGAGCATGTCTGAAAGGCTTGTGCTCAGTTGGTAGAGTATTTTCTCCATTGAAAGATAAAAGGCAAAGGACAAAGGTGAACGAGAAACAGATCTAATGTACTTGCTGTCTTTACCAGCCGATAGGACAAGAACATAAATTTAAGGATCTAGGACATGGATGACATCTGACGGAGGATGTCACAGAGAAACAGAATAAGGCAGGCTAAAACTGCATTTTATCAAGGGAAGAACATTATGTGCGATAAATCCATTCACTGGAGGTTAGAAAAAGAATTATCAGAGACGGTTTTAACATATGGCTGTAAATCCTGGAGAATTAATAAACAAGCAAAAACAATTTCTTGAAGCCTTAGAAATGTGATTTTACCGAATATTTCTTAGAATTCCTTGGACGGCCAAAAAGAGCAACCCAGATGTTTTGAAAGAAGCGAGGGCTTGAAGACATCTTATCACAAACATCAGAAAAAATACTCTGCTGTTGACGATCACAGATTGTGGAGAGGCATGATCGCCCATGCCAGTCGGCAAGACACTCGATGATGATAATGATTTTATAATGATTTTTATTTGCAGCTTCCTGTTTTCTGAGAAATTATGTTAGTGAATAATGTTTCATTTATTTGTCTTTAGAAGCCTTGGTTTCCAGGGCCCCATTGTGGCAAAAACTATAATAGACCCACTGCCTCCCCAGCAAGCATGTCAGAAGAGTTGAATAATGGGGGGGTTTTCTTTGAAGTCAGTGCATCTGCCTGAGAGGCAAGGAACCAATAGTCTGCGTACAGATAAGTCAGATCTTAAAACAGATGTGCACTTAACAGTCAGGTTCTGGAACAAGTCTAAGTCCAGAGGAGGTTGATGAACCAGAACTTTCTGCTGCAGTTTACAGCTGGTGAACGCGAAGAGGATGAAGAAGAAGTCATGGCTGCTCATTGCTTAGACACTTGCCTACCGACCCAAAGGGCGAGTTCAGATTCACAGTCAGGTTATTTAATAATTGACTTGACTTCCAAGTCAGTCCAGCCTAAAATGGGTATTTGGGAAAACTCCTGGCAGGTAAGGATGGCTTCTATGATGTTGAAAACATCATATATCAAGTGCTGATTGGTTTATAAAAATGTGAGTTTACAACAATATGTCAATTAGTGCAGGATTATTGGGAAGCAGCAGAGATGTGGTTTTATAGATGAAGGATACGAATACTCTGGACCGATAAAAAGGTGTCTTGAAAGAAACTGACTGACAAAGAAACTGACTGACAAAGAAACTGACCGACAAAGAAACTGACCGACAAAGAAACTGACCGACAAAGAAACTGACCGACAAAGAAACTGACCGACAAAGAAACTGACCGACAAAGAAACTGACCGACAAAGAAACTGACCGACAAAGAAACTGACCGACAAAGAAACTGACCGACAATGAAACTGACCGACAATGAAACTGACCGACAATGAAACTGACCGACAAAGAAACTGACCGACAAAGAAACTGACCGACAAAGAAACTGACCGACAAAGAAACTGACCGACAAAGAAACTGACCGACAAAGAAACTGACCGACAAAGAAACTGACCGACAAAGAAACTGACCGACAAAGAAACTGACCGACAAAGAAACTGACCGACAAAGAAACTGACCGACAAAGAAACTGACCGACAAAGAAACTGACCGACAAAGAAACTGACCGACAAAGAAACTGACCGACAAAGAAACTGACCGACAAAGAAACTGACCGACAAAGAAACTGACCGACAAAGAAACTGAACACCTACTAACAACCCCCCCCCCCCCTTCCTTTCCCCCATTTTTCTTTAATATTGGACTTTCTCGGGAACTGCCCACAAAATCTTGGAGTGCTGAAATGAGGTGAACTAAAAGAAAAATATCCCCCCACCCACAACCACCAAAATGGGGCCCCATGACCCACAGAGGAAATTCTTAATAATCTAATTCTGTGTGTTTAGAAATTTCAGGTGTTAGAGTTGCGGACACTGAGCTGGACACACCTGACAGTTATAGGAAAAAACAAGATGAGTGTAGACAAAGAATGCAGGCGGAGCATGAGTCCAAGGTAGCTGATTCTGTTGTTTGCTTAGTAATTGGGCCACACAGAAATCAGTCTTGTGGTATTTTACACTTTTGTTTGGTAAACTGGACAGAGAAATTAGCTCGAGATGTGCCAAAGCTTATCAAGTAATGAGGCAACTATCTCCCCTGTTGACACACAAGCAGATACCCCGGAGTACTAAAGTGAATCTTATCAGAATTATTGTTTGGCCAAACGTGGATACTTACATCCTCTAATGAAGGTAAAATTGTGACAGCAGTGATGAAATGCCTTAGAAGAGCTGCAGGAGTTTCAAGGAAAGACAGAATACAAAATCACGAAATCAGACGAATGATAGGAATGAAGCCAGTCTTACAGGTCATCAAAGAACAACAAGTGAACAAGAATGCCCTGGTACTATTTGCGACAGCGAGCCACACTGAAATGTTACAACGGGTATAGAGCAAGTGGAAGACCTCGGAACATATGGAGTGATGGCATTAAGAACAGCCTTACAGAAATGAACATCAGTCTTAATAGTGCTCTTGACAGAGCTCATCAACGAATGTTACATCTCCTCCTCCAACACATCGCTGAGGTACAAGGTGGAAGAGAAGAAGAAGAAGAAGAAAAAGAAGTTTGCTTTATGTTTTTAAAAGCAAGCAAATTTGTAGATGTTTAAAAGTGAAAATTATAGATATTGAAAGAGAAATGTTTGGATATTGGCAAGTGAAAATTGTAGACTTTAGACAAGTTTTGGATGTTACACATAGATGGAATATTTTAGGTGTTAGAAAGTGGCCATTTTAGATTTACATCATTGCTTTATCATATTATAAATCACATAAGTCGTGCAATCTATTCCTGCATTCTGTTCTTTCCTATGTAATTCCTATCAGCTCATGGTTGTCATCCACCACCTTTTGCTTCTCTTCAGTGTTTCTTTTGGACGACCTGATTTGTTCAATCCCTTTATTTTCTATCTCAGTGTCTGTTTTATGATTCTCTGCTCATTTATTCCCAGGGTGTGTCCAGTATAGCACCATTTTAGATGTTAGAAAATTGAAATTGAGGATGTTACAAACTGAATAATTTAGATGTTAGAAATTCCCATGTGGGTTCTGGGGCCCTGTTATAAGGAAAACAAGAATAGACCCACTGCCTACAGAAAAGCATTTCATTGAAGTAGACTAATTGGGAGCTTCCTTCAAAGTTGGAGTGCATCTGCCTGAGAGGCAAGGAACCAGCAGTTTGCATACAAATGAGTCAGATCTGTAAAATGGATGCACACGCAACACTCAGGTTCTGTAACTGGACTGCAGTCCAGAAGTTGATAAATAACCAGAACTTTCTGCCAGAGTTTACAAGGGGTGAACCCAAAGAAGAGATGTTAGAAAGTGAGGATTTTGAATGTGGGAATGTGAACATTCTAAACGGTTAAAAGTTAACATTCTAGATGTTGGAAAGTGAACATTCTATTATATAAAGGACCCATTTCCACACCTTCAGGCGTATTGGGCATAGAGGGTTAGACCTATATTCTATAAAGCAATCGGTACTTGACAAGTGATGCAATCAACATCACGGCGGCCATCTTTACTTCCCAGGACTATACCTGGTACCCGCTGAAGGCTGGGTCGACTTGAGAGTCAAGGTCATTTTTGAAAAAGTCAGACCCTGTCAGGACCCGACCCCCGCGACCTTCTGATCCGAGCAGGCAAGAATCTAGCTGAGACACAATGGTGGCTCCTGGAAGAAGATGTTAGTAAGTAAAATTGTAGTTGCCAGAAAATAAACATTTTAAATGTTGGAAATGACTTAATTCAAACTGGTACATATGATTTACATTTCCTTTAGGTGTCACATCAAAGAGAGAAAACCAGGAAACAGGAGGAAGAAAGAAGACACAAAAAAGAGAAAGAATTTTATCACTTCTCAGATGGAGTATTTCTGACGGAAGGTGTTGTTTTAGGGGTAAGCGATTGTCATTTGTGTGTTGTTTTTGTGTGTTTCTTGGGACTAGAATATTATTTTTTTTTCAACGGGTGGGACATTAAAAAAAGGGGGCGTGGGAGGTTTGAAACTTTTCCTTAGCATAAGCCCTTGAGGTTCATGGCTGCAGATATCACCCGTCTGCATTCATCTCTGTGATTGGTCCTCTCTTTTCAGTTGATGACTTCTTGTGCTTGTAAGTCTTTCTGATATTATCTCTTCACTGTGTTTGAGAACTATCTTAGCTATAGTAATTTAGCGAAAGGGAGAGATGAGAGAAGAGGAGGGGATGAAAGGAGAGGATAAGGTGTGAGAGTAAGAAAGATGAGATAGAGGTCAGGACGAAAGGAGAGAGGGAAATGGATGCCAGAATCATGCAAGCAAAGGTTTTCTGCAAAGGACCTGCCATATGACGATGATGATGATAGTATCGTAGAATCTTCTTTGTTCACTGGCTGTAAACTCAGACGGAAAGTTCTGGTTGTTCGCCCATTTAGACTTTGGCTTTATGCCAGGGTCTGAGTTCTGTGTGTACAATAGTACATCCATTGTACCGGCTAATTTTTAGTGCAGATGGTGAGGCAGTGGTCTGTTCCTGTTTTTCCCACAGTTAAGCTCTGGAACCCACACAGGCAGTCAAATAGCATCATGTCACAGCATTACTTACACCTTTAATACAGTAGGCTTTATTTACTCTTTTTAAAGCGCTGTGGCTCTGGTTCAGATGATGATGAAAGTAACGATACACCAGAAGGACGTCGAGCAGCCAGAAAGAGAAAAGTTTTGGAGCAGATTAACGAAACATTTGCCGCAGAAGTAGCAGCTGCCACCACAGCAAGACAGAAACCTAAACGTGTAAGCGACCATGTTTTTGGGTTGGTTATCTAGTCTTATTGTTTATTTTTCTCAATATGTGGATTCCGGGCCCCAATTGAATAGACTCACTGCCCCTTCCCCTAATAAGCACGGACAGGGAAAATATGAAAATCTATACACTATACTAGTGGAACCCAAAAAAAAATGAGGTATGCACTCTAACTAGAGAAAACAATTTTAATTTAAATTAGTTAGTATGGCTTGTACAATTTATAATTTTAACATATGCAAGTGAAAGTTAAATGAAAATAAAATGGAATGAATTCAAAAGTAGTGAAGAAATAAGAGAAATGTCTGGGAAACAGCTAGTATTAACAGTTATAAGACAGAGAAGATGGCGCTACGTTTGACATATCCTGAGAAGAAATCACTAGAGAATCACCAAAAAGGCATTTAAATGGGGAAAAAAGAGATTAAGAAGGCGAGGACGCCCCAGAAAAACAAACCCTGAGATGAATGTTGATGAGAGAGGCGAAAGCTGCTGGTATGGATTCCACTTTAAATTGGACATTAAATTGCTTCTACAAGATAGAATGGAATGGAGGAAAGGACTGCAAGCCCTATGGGACATATAAGGGCACAATAGGATAATGAATAAATGAATACAATTTTTAAGGCTATATTCTGATGTTCCTAAAATGTATTAGCTCCTTAAAGATTAGTGATAATAAGTTCATGGATTTTTAGGGGGGGGGGGGGGGGTGGCCTCACTTGTTTGTGATGTGTTGTTTTTAGCTCAAAATATAAATATAGTTGCCATATATAGCAAACTATCATTTGTGATGTGTGTATTTTCAGCTCAGAATATTATGGTCGCCCTAGATATAGCACACTTTGTCGTGCGTGATGTGGTCCCTGTATGGTATACCAATGATCTTCTCAAAAGATCTAATTGCCATTTCTTATATGAGTTGATGGTCTTGAAATTCAGGTCAAATACTTGTTTCCACAGGTCATTAAGCTTCCGGATGAACCAGATGTCAGTGAAGATGGGGTTATAACCATTAGTTTGAGAACCCCTATTGGAACAATTTGTCAGCGTAGATTTTACAACTGTGATACCATTCAGGTTAGAGTTTGTAATTTCTTCTTCTTCTTCTTTCTTCCTTGTTCTTCCTCTTCTTCTTTTGTTTTGTCCATATAATGGGGGTTGGCACATTGTGGGACAGATGCAGTATTTTGTATGTTCAGCCTAACACATTATAATTTGGCTAACCCTTATTGCTGAAGGTGTCCGTGGCTTAGAATTTGTGGGTCCAACTCGTAATTCCAACGTACCGCAATCGAAACTAACTGCTAGCTGTGTGGATTTTTGTCGTAAATGGGCACCAGGATGTATGTCTTGGGGAAGTAAAGACGGCCGGCGTAATGCTGACCACATTACCCACCTAGTGCTGATGGTTTCTAAACATATGGGTGCTCTTCTCATATGCCCGATGCCCCTAAAGGCGTGAAAAGGGATCTTTATCTAATTGTACTTACTTTATTGAAAAAGGGCAAAAACTTTGAAAATTGTGGGTCATCCAGGACCAATGGCCTGAGCCCCAACCTAGAAAGATTATTAATGCAATTACAATTCATTGGCAGGTGATCAGCAAGCAAGAATAATAATAGTGTGCAAATGCCAAGATGCATCTCTCTCTCTTATCCTTGTTCACCAGCTGTCAACTCCAGCTGGAAGTTCTGGGCCTTCGTCCACTTCTGGACTCTAGTCCTGTTCCAGAACCTGAGTGTTGCATGCACATCTGTTTTACAGATCTGACATGTGTATGCAGACTGTTGATTCCTCACCTCTCAGGCAGATGCATTCATGACTTTGAAGGAAGCTCCCAATCATTAGACTTTTACCACATGCTTGGTCTATTCTTGTTTTTCCCACAGTGGGGCCCCGGAACCCACGCGGGGAACCCCAGGAATAAAAGAGCAGAGATTCATCAAACAGGGTATGAGTTAGGAAATAAAGGGATTGAAAAAAGAGATGCTGAAGAGAAGCAAAAGGTGTTGGGTTACATCCATGATCTGAAAGGGTCTTTTACTTTATTTTCAGTTGTGAGAGAATACACCCCTGTGTCATTTCTTTGCACCTTGAAACAGTTTGATGTTTCTCTAGGCACTCTTACGCCTGCTTGTTGTTCATCATATTCTTCTTCTTCTTCACCGGCTGTGAATTCCGGCGGTAGGTCCCGGTTGTTCGTCCAAATGGACTTTTGGCTTTTACCTTGACCTGAGTTTTGCGTGTACAGCCGTTTTACTGGCTTATTTGTTTGCAGTTCTCGTTGCCCGCCTCTCCGGCAGATGTACTCAGACTTCGAGGGAAGACGTCAAGCCTATTTCTAGGTTGACTGTGGCGATTATTTTGTGTGGGTCGAGATGTTGCCTTATTTGTGTGGTGTCCTCTTTGACCCTTCACAGGTGTGGCCCCCAAAGAACCCTCCTTAGGGCAGCCCTGTGTAGAATTGTCATCCCTCAAGGGAAGGCAGGGGCAGATCATGGGCATTCCCCGCCATCCAAGGAGGCTTCCATAAATGCAGAGAGGACACATGATGCTCTGGTTCTGGGCTCACCCAAGGAATCGTCACGTCCCGCCCATGACTGCTTAAACTCACAACCGTATATTTAAACTCCACAATAATAAGAACATTTATCCTGTCTTGACAGTGCCTTCTTGATTACATCACAACGCAAGGATTCAGCCAGACAAGATACACAGTCTCTACATCGTATCCAAGAACGCTGCTAGAAAACCCTTGTAATTCTTTCTCAGACTATAACTTTGGGAAGAGAGTCACTTTAAATATCGAGGAAAAGGATTGAGTTGTGATTGAAAGAAGTATAATTTGTCACATTCAGGAAGACTGATGAGATTATAGTGACAATGAAAAAAGTAGAAATGGTTGCATCGGATGTTGTTTAAAAATTCACATATGTTTTTCAGACTATAAATTTGGGAGAAGGTTAATTTTACAAAGTGAGGAAAAGGATTGAGTTGTGATTAAAAGAGGTATAAGTTGTCCCATTTGGGAGGAATACGTCCCCTTTTAAAGTTTGAACAGACATAAACTATAAGAGTGCACAATTTATTGCCGGCATATTTTGCGGCATCCTGTCAGGTGCTCAAACGTGTGATATTCTAGAGACATCTTTACAACAGGAATTAAACAATGTAGTTTCCTGCAGCTATGCAAACCGCATGCAAGTAAACATTGGTAAAACAAAATGCATGTTAATATCAACAAGACAAAAGCTATAATCTTTATCTGCACATAATACTCTCCACAATATGGGATGGCTGTCCAAGTTCAGTCATAAAACGGCTTAAAGCACTTCAAAAAAGAGCTGTACGCTTAGTCAGTAATAATCAGGGAAGAGACAGTTCCATTATACATAAAGATCTTAAGTTACTATCCTTCCATAAACTACTACTTTTCAATAAGGCCAAAGTTATTCATAAAGTCTTATTACAAAAATTCTCCAGATTACCTTTGACCATTCTTCAAGTATAATGGGTGACATAGCAAATGCCTAAACCCAGAATAGACTTGTACAAAACAAGCTTGGCGTATTCTGCAGCATATCTGTGGAACCAACTTCCACAACCAATCAATAATATCAGCAACCCCTATAAATACAGTTGGAAGCTTTTTGAATATTATCTCTCTACAGACTACATGCCCCCTCAGAAGATAATAGTTTCCTAAGAATACTGTTGATTTCCACAAAGATTTATTATATTTAGTATTATAATTGTTTTAAAATGTAGGTATACTTAGTGTACATTGTTACAAAGATGTTTATGATGATGCCTATTAATTCTATTATTATTATTATCTGCTAAAACAATGTGTGCATGAAAAATGTATGCATGGTGTGAGGCCAGAAGGGCAGTACGTAAGTCGGGCCTGTGTGCCCAATTCTTAACCCTTGAAAATAAAGTTTGTTCGTTCGTTCATCGTTCGTTCATACTACAGTATGCTAAAACAGGTCAGTTCATTTTATATTTCAGTTAGAAGCATTTATTTATTTGCTTTATTTTATTTAATTGTTTCTGTGAGATACGGTGGATTATACCAAGCAATCAATTGTGCAGTCAATAGTCTGTGTCAGGTTTGTTGAAAATTTCAAAGGGGAAATATTCCTCCCAAATATGGCAATTTATACTTCTTTCAGAATTTGGGGCTGCGTAGCCTCAAGGCATTGAATCCGCCTCGTGTGCTGGAGGTCATGGGCTCAAGCCCTGAAGGCTGGGATGTTTTCATCTGGACTTCTAGTAATTTCCCCTGGTCTCTTAGTAGTGAGATCAGACGCCATTGTGCATTGTTGCGCATGTAAAAACTCCCTTGGCAGTTGAAAATCAAAAAGAGTAGCCTAACGGCGCTGCCCAGGCAAAATTTGGAGTTAAAAATCTAGCCAAAGTATTTCAGAAACCTCGCCTGTGCTACAGAGTTCGTGCACTGCACTGAGATTCTTTGGACTCAGGCTTGAGTCAGAAGTAGAACGGAGCACTTATGGATTACTACCCATGTGCCATGATGTTGATCTGTCCTCTAAACCTAAAGGTTTCCAACATTTTGCAGTCTGTTATTTGTCTTCTTTGTTAACCTTTGGGAGGATTGGTGGAAAAATGTGTACTGTGCTGTCTCTGTAAGGTCACCAACAGCACAAGCAGGGACAGGGTTACGAATACCAGCTTTAAAAAGAAAGTTGGAATAAGACCCCATGTCTGAATTACATTGACACAAAGAATGAATTGATTCATCTATCTACTGAAAATGCAGCCAGAACAAACTGCACACAAGACTTTTTTTTTTTAACAGCAGAAATCTGGAAGGAAGGTGAGGGGAAAATCACAAAACAGGTTGATAGATGGTGTGGCTAAAACCTGCCAAAAAAAAATAAAAAAATCCATCACCCATTGGAAGTGCAAGACATACAGTAAACCATGACACTAGGGCTACAACCTGATATTAGTGAGAAGACAAAAGAAGAAGGTGGTAAGATAATGGCAATGACGCAGTTGAAATGCTGGCATCCGGTGCAGTTATTATGATTTATAAAACTGTTAGAAAAACCGTATACATGTTTTGCAAATTTTGGAAAGACAACTAGTGCAGTGCAGACTGCTTAATGTGATCTCAGATGTGGTGAATTTCTGTTGCGAAGAACATTTTGTTTATCCCCTGCAATTTTTCTTGCTTGTCTGGATAAGAGGAGTTTCTGATAAGAAGAACCATTTCTTTTGTCCCAGGTGATTTCTTCTTATCAGGTCTGAGGAACAGGAATGAGTAGTGGTTGAAAGAAGTGTAAATTGTCACATTCTGGGTGGCTGGTAGGATGATAATGACAACTGAAACATTGAAATGGTGGCATATGATGCATGTATCACTTATAATGCTGTTAGAAAACTTGCTTGAAGGTTTATCAGAGTAAATTTGGTAGAAGTATAGGAAAAGGATTGAGTTATGAAAATTTTTTTTTTCTCACTTACTCCAGTGGAAAGTTGTGGTTGTTCATCCACTTCTGGACTTTGGTCTTGTTCCAGGGATTAAGTTTTGCACAGGCAATCTGTTTTTACAGTTCAGGTTTATTTGTATGCAGACTGCTGGTTCCGTACCTCTCAGGTAGAAGCACTCTGACTTCAAAGACAGCATTCCTGATTAGTTGCCTTGTACAACATGTTAGGGAGCAGTGTCTATTATTACCCCACCGTCCAGTCTGCTCGTTCATGGCCTTTAACTCCATCATGCCCTTTAACTCCATCATGCCCAGGTGTGTGTATCCATAGAAGATAAAATATCCTTAGAAACTCTGCCATTCTCCATCCTCCAAGTATGTCCTGGCCATCTGAATTTTTGAAGACTAAACTTTGAGAAAACAGCTTTTTACAATACCCATCTTTGTGACCATCCTCGTTCTATGTTTACCCTTTAAAGGGCAGCTGGCACATTGTATTGTGGTTTACAGCTAGGTTGTGACATCGACACTTTTCGGCCCGACACATCGAACTTTAACAAAACCCTAATTAGTTGCCTTTTTTGACATGCTTGTTAAGGGGCAGTTGATCTAAAAAGAATGGGACCCAAGAACCCACATGGGAGTAACCATTCAAGACAGCCTACATATTTTGTATATATGTTAATAGTTCATTTTTGTTGTTGCTCCCTCTTAACCAGCCTACCATTTTGTGTATGTGTGTGTATTTAGCAATCTTCCCTACTTTCTGTGATACCATATCAACTTCAGTACGTTGCTGTTATATTTAATTAAACTTAACTGAGCACTAATTAAAACAAATGAGAAAAGGATGCTCCATGCAGATTGGCAAGCATCAGAATTGCCCTGAGATTTGCGTCCTATGGGAGCTTTTCTTTGGATTAATGAATGTAGAACATTGTATACAACAATAAAAAAGCGACAAAGTTCTCTGGTCTTGTGAGGAGAAAAGTAGCACTTGAAAATATTGCGACCACTGGAAAGATCACTGGTAGAAGAGGCAGAGGCAGACCAAGAGAAATGATGGTGGGTGGCTTAAGACAGTGGCTTGGAGAAATATCCAGGCGTGGTACTGATCGCATCACCCACCAAGCGCCGATCGGTCTGTAAAAATATAGGTCTAGTCCTATATTCCCAATACGCCTAAAGGTGTGGAAAAGGGACCTTACTTGGAGGAATATCATCAGTGGAATTGATTGCAGAACACCAAAGACTGAGATCTGTGGAGATACATGAGCGCCTACTCTATCTTGCAAGGCACTTTATGATGATTATGCTAGTATGTTGGGAAATGAACAGGCAGACAGATTGGCTGTTTCTGCACCACTCGGTGGTGACCTAATGCATCAAGCTAGATGTGGTCCAGGCCCTCTAGGAGCAGGTCAACAGTGTGGAAGTGTTTAATAGATCTTTACAGTCTGGGGGTGCAACAGCAGAGGATCTGGCTGGTGCTCTACGCTCAGAGAAAATGAAGATGGACATATAATCAAACTGCTACTGGTACTATGAGCACTGGAACTCTGAGGATGGGGATGGAGCGCTTATGGAAATACCCTGAGAGTGTAAGGCAAACGGCTTAGCCACCGTATCACGACCTCCGTTAGTGACCCACTAGAAGTGACTGCAGTATGACCACGACCTCGGTTAGTGACCCACTAGAAGTAACTGCAGTATGACCACGACATCGGTTAGTGACCCACTAGAAGTGACTGCAGTATGACCACGACCTCCGTTAGTGACCCACTAGAAGTGACTGCAGTATGACGCATGACCTCCGTTAGTGACCCACTAGAAGTGACTGCAGTATGACCACGACCTCCGTTAGTGACCCGCTAGAAGTGACTGCAGTATGACCACACCTCTGTTAGTGACCCACTAGAAGTGACTGCAGTATGACCACGACCTCTGTTAGTGACCCACTAGAAGTGACTGCAGTATGACGCATGACCTCCGTTAGTGACCCACTAGAAGTGACTGCAGTAAGACCACGACATCGGTTAGTGACCCACTAGAAGTGACTGCAGTAAGACCACGACATCAGTTAGTGACCCACTAGAAGTGACTGCAGTATGACCACGACCTCCGTTAGTGACCCACTAGAAGTGACTGCAGTAAGACCACGACATCGGTTAGTGACCCACTAGAAGTGACTGCAGTAAGACCACGACCTCCGTTAGTGACCCACTAGAAGTGACTGCAGTATGACCACGACATCGGTTAGTGACCCACTAGAAGTGACTGCAGTAAGACCACGACATCGGTTAGTGACCCACTAGAAGTGACTGCAGTAAGACCACGACCTCCGTTAGTGACCCACTAGAAGT